AACTATTCAACTGATTTTATAAACTCTTTCATCTATAGAAGATACATTATTAGCTAGTAACGTAGGTTATAATTATTTTCGAAACTTGTATGCGACCCGAGCGAAACCACATTGGATCACTAGTATTAGTCACTATACCAATGCTATACTCTATTAGTCATATATATGGTCAAATTACAGCTATTTTTAATACATTTACATTTCACCTTGTAGTTGACGACCAAAATTTTTCATTCAATTTTGATTTTCTTTAATCGATTATCAATTTGTCAAGTGATAATCTTACAATCGATTTATTTTGTATATATATCATGTTCGCGGTTTTGGGGTGGCGCAAAGGCGTCCCTAGCCGCACCCAAACCGACTGTCTCATATGCTCCTGTCCGAGTAAAGTTGTCGCAAGTCGATCATCGATAATTTGGTGGGGAATCTGCGATCTGGAAACCTTTTTTCTGACTTCAAAAAATCATTAACATTACGACACGCTATTTTTACAAATTCCAACATGATGTGTTTAAATCAGCTGATCATTGTTTATTTGCGGTAACCGTTTCATAATATTTGCTTATCTCACTGTACGCCTTGTTTACCGTTCGTTATGGAGTGACGCGATAGCGACCCCCGACCTCTCGAATTATGAAACAGTAGCAATATGTTTAGGGTTGATGCGTATTTATTACAGTCGAAATTCGACCACAATCATGTTATTGTTCACGTTAATTTATAAGCCTTAACGGCAACGTAAACATGTTTATTTTGTACAGGTTTGTCTACGTACATACAGCTGGATACAGTAAATCCTAATGATAATAGGGTCATTCCTCTCTTTTTTTGTAATAAATACTAAAAATACTTTGTATTATTCTTTAAGTAGTGCAATAAAGAGTAAATAAATAAAAAGATATATTTTTGATGTTTAAATCTTGAGGGGGAATCTAACTGACAAAGGAGTAACACGAAAATATGGCGTAATATTTGCAAAATAATTATCAAAATCGATCAACAATTAGTGCAAATATTGAGTTTCAGTATATTTACACTGTACACAAAAATAATTACAAATGTATAAAGACTAAAACATTCTTTTTGAAATCGTTTAAAAATTGTAAGATAGCTAAATATTGGAAAATGAGACTTGTAAATATAACTGTCCAAGACAGTAACGTCAGCTTTATTTCTACGATTTGTTATGTTATACTACATAAAGTTATGTAAATAGCGAACGAGTCTATGACGTGGTAACCCTAACGGAGGTTGTATAGAGCGGTGGTTGGGTGGTGCGCGGGGCAGGGCGAGAGGCGGTGGCGGCGACGGCAAAGCGTGCGCGCGCACTGCGACGAGTCACCGCCGAGACCGGCGCGTGGCAGTCCGGCCGCCCCCGCAGCTCGCACCGGTCCCGGCGCTGCCGGGCTCCCGCTCGGATGCCGCTGCCGGCCGCCGCCTGCGATGGTCCACGCCGGGCCGGCCGCGCGCGCGCCCTCTCGCGCGATGTTCGCCGCCGCTGAGAGCAAACCGCGTCGTGCCGTCTCGCCGCTCGGTATACCCAAGTCTCCCTCGTTCCACTCGGGCCTCGATCTCGTCGCTAATCAAGCGGTCACCAAGCGCTCCGAAAGTGTATCTGACGTAGCGCGCGCGTTTCGCTTCGCGCTGTTTGCCGGCACCGGCATGGAGGGCCAGGGTCCACCGCAGAAGGCGCCGTCGCCGCCGGACGCGCGCAGCCCACCGCCCCCCGCCGCTGCCGCCGCCGCCGTCTCGCCCGAGCGCCCTACGCTGATTCCCAACACAGATAAAGAAAGTTTGATGGTGCAACTGCCGCTACTGAAAGGTTCGTCAGCGATGATAGGATCCTACAACACTGTTCACACCAATCATACACTTGAACAAGTCAGAGGTTTCAGTTTAAAAGACCAAGGTCTGTTTACAAACAGTTCTTGTTGATTGACTTTTTTCGATACGGTCCAAATGTCCGCGGTTATTTTGAACATCGATAAATCGTAATACGATCGCAATCCGTTAGCTCATCACTTCGTGTAATGGCGATTTCCAGTTGTTATCGCACATAACGTCATCGATTGTAAAAGCGACACGCTGTAATAGCAACAGACTTGCTGATACCGCCCACACTTTGTAATTAGCAACCTTGAGATGCTCGCAACCGCCAAAATCGAACAATGCCTCCCGCTGTAAAACAAATTAGTTTTAGTATACAGATATGTGTATACCTACATAGGATAGCTAAATGGCGAAAACGCCGCTGAAATATATCGACCCATGGGCGGTCAGTGGACGGCCCTGCTCTGTATGCTATGGAAAATAGATTGACGTCCCCGCATTCTGCAGTATTTCCACTAGCATTATACATGCAATCAAATGACGTTTACAACGTATAAAGAAGGGTAACTCAACTTTGAAAAGGTTACCGGCACTTTATCGAATACATTTAAATATGATTGTTTATAATCAGTGTGCGTGGGCTGCTGTCTATTTTTGCGGACATTGTTTAGACTGAGTTGTGAGGCAGATTTGTTTTTTATTCGCCATGTGCCATCAGCATTCATACAAGAATGTGGTTTTGCGAATATTTTTAATTCTCCATGTGGGTGTCTTTAGGACTCATTTATTTATGTTTAACCATTACAGATCGCTAAAGTTTTACTTAAGATTTAGTCTGAAATTATAAAAAAAATTGCTATACAGAATCTATAGAATACTCAATTGGTACAAAAAAAATACTTATAACGTTTACATAATTAAATTTTAACACAGAGTAATGAATATAATTAAAGATTGTGTTCCACAAAAAAACTCGACTGCAGTTGTGACAAAATGTGTTATTTTGATCTAAAAACTAAACTGCTGAACAGATTTTAATAAAATTTGTATGGGAATAATCTGTAAGTATATTTATTCAGATGAAAAAATAATTTTCCCTATCGGTTTAGAACTGACGGTGTTATGATATAAACAAAAAAATGCAACCGAATTGGATTTATTTTTGAAGTTTGTTGAAAACTTCTTTAAACTATGATTATTGATTATGAAACAATTAGGCTATATAGAAGCTGCTTATTACGAAAGTGTCTGTTCATCTTAAAATTAGCAGTAAAGAGAACTAATCCTTCTATTACACAATAAAGGAACCAGAAGGAGACTATAAAAAAGTAATCTGCATATACTTTACCTGCATAATAAAACAATGCTATTCTCTATCTATTTAACCCCGTATATGTATTACCTAAATATACATAATTCGCGGCTTTGCTCGCATGAGTTGAGTTAAAAAGTATCCCGTGTTAATCCAGGATAAGGTTCTTCTTTGTACCAAATTTCTTTGAAATCCGTTCGGCTGTTCAAGTGCGATTCAGTAACCAACATCCAAGTACGATTAATCCGTAACCAATCGAACCATGGCTCCCTCAAACCTGTACCTCAAACATCCCTTTACAAGTGCTAATTTAACTTCACGTTTAATAATAGTTGAATCAAATCTTGCAAATATCTTCAAAACCAATTTCCGTTCGAGGAATTGATCTATATCTATCAATTTTTTCCACACAGACGTATCACGTGTCATGTTTTTGGCAGCAAATTACGTATATTGCGTCGTGTAAAAAAAAAAAAACTACATTCTATTTTCTTCGTATAATTTATACTACTCGTATTGTAGAAAAAAAAAATGTGATTTTAAAATAAGAATTTAGATGAAGAATTGTGTTAAAAATGTGATTTTGTGTATATGCGGTCTGAAACACCATTTCAGTAGATTACAATAAATATATTTATTTATTTATTTATTCACGTATGTACGTGTACAAGGCAGACTTAATGCTAAAAACATTCTCTCCCAGTCTACCTTAGGCATGTATGAGAATACTCGATTGCGGTACTAGTAATAATTGATTAACATACATATATAAACTTACATACATAAATAAATATATATGTATAACAATTATACTTACACATATATAAGATATACACGAAGATGAAAATAATAGATAATACTTACTGTATCAGCTTGATTTTTCTTAAATAAGTATGTATTTTATAGAATAAAAAAAAGTATAAGAGTGAGAGAGGGAATATATTACCAGAGGGAGACTTTGTACAAAAGTCGATTGCTTGGGTATCTCTGTCCCATTCGTGTTTCTACCGTGAAGCAGTTGTGTTTGCATGACTGTGTTTCGATTTGAAGGGTGGAATATGGCGTGAATTTACAGGATACAGAGGAATAACACCTGAGTCCTCAGGAATGGCAACGCATGGGGGGTATCATGGGCGAAACAGTATACTCTGTTATGTCCATGGTACTGTTCATGTCTGTAGGCGACGGTTACCACTTTCCATCAGGTAGGCCGTCAGCTTGTTTGCCATTCTAAGTTGTATATAAAAAAAAAACAATACTACGTCTTAGATATTCGTTCTATTGTTGTGTTTTATTGAGATTACTTATACAAAAGACTTTAATTATTTTTTCAATTTGTCCAATGTATAAAATTACACCGCGCGTACGGCCTGACACCTGTGGTTGCTTCATGCTTGACTGGTTACCTAACACAACTATCCGTATTTGTATAGAATCATTAACAATTGTATTTGTTCTGTGTTTGAATAAATTTAAAAAAAGAATACTCGATTTTCAATGACGTTGAATAAATTAAAAAATAAAAATACGTAATCTAATGTAAATAGAGCCATTTTCTCTTCGCTCTAATTCTATCACATATAGAATAAAAATTCCTCGTTATAGAAGAGAAAAGATGAAAGTAGAAGGAAAAATATGTCATGCGATTATAACCTGTTTATAATTGCCAGCTAAAGCAAGCCGCAAAATATATTGTGCATCGTAAGACGAACAAATTTTTTGCATTATCATCCGTATAATCAACCAAGATGATGATAAAGGGATGATGCTCATTCTTTTTTCAGATAATCATTCCATTCGCTCCCACTAAAAAAAAAGGCTATGAGTGATGATGACGATGGTATTTTTTTCTCAGATGCGCCAGCCGCTGAGAGAGAGCAGCTCTTCGTTCAGAAGTTACGGCAGTGCTGCCTACTGTTCGATTTCGCCGATGAACCGTTGTCAGACCTCAAATGGAAGGAAGTGAAACGTGCCGCCCTCCTGGAGATGGTGGAGTATGTGACGTCACAGCGCGGCGTCATCACAGAGGCCATATACCCAGAGGCTGTGAATATGGTGAGGAGTTGTTTTTACCATTATATTAGCTAATGGGCAAGGTGGACGGTTACTCATGTTAGTATTAGAACTCTGATCCTCCAGATCTGTTTTAAAAAAATGTATTCTAACATATTACTCTCACACTGTCGCATAAACGCGGGTAAACGCTCGCCCATTAATCGCATTGTTAACGCTTATAACTAAAATTTCAACTCCGTTGATATTATTTCGGAGCGTAATGGTCATTCGCGAGACTTATCGGTGGTCTACTTGAGATGGAGGAATGATATTTTGTTGTTGATGTTGTATTTACTTATTTATTATTTTATTTTTATTGCTATATTTCAATTTTTAAAATATTATAACACCAATTTGGAAGTTCTTTGATTTTGACTGGATCACTGGTACTCTTTAAATATCTGTCATTCATGTATGTGTATATGTTTGATTTTGTACAGGTAGTTGCACATAACCATTTTGCATATGTTGTTTAGTAATAAGTGGCCAACGTCGTTGGTGGCACTAAAATTATTGATATTTAGATACATATGTATGTATATATATATATATATATTATTGTGTCTACTGTTTGTTGACCTAAATAAAGAGAAAAAAAATATCGAGTGCATTGTCGAGAGACAATATCTCTGTATATGGGATATATTAAGAAATATTGACATGAGAAGTCTTACTTAAGAGTAAGAGAGGATGAGGCAGTATTTTTTAGAAATTTTGTCTGTCTGTCTGTCTGTATATTTCTTCCGGTATCATGCAAAAATTACTGTACGAAAATGGATGCGGTTTTCACAGTTGTATTCTTAAATGTCTAACTTAAAAATTGGTGTATGTTTTATCGTGATACGCTTTCTAGATGTGTAGTGTATACTTCATTGTATTTTTTAGTTCTGAAATTCCGCATGTACGAAGTCTAATGTCAAAAATCTAGTAATTTATGTAATCATATAATATAATATTGTAATTAAAAAGGGATAAGACCTATACAGCGTAATAACTAAAAGCAGTAAATTATCTATTTAAATAAAGATCACTATATATTATTTAACTACTTTATCTTATTTAACATTAGATAGAGAGTAACAAACAAAATGTATCCTCTAGCAACTCCATAAATTAATATGAACATATAAAACCTACTTCAATATATTCCATAAATTATAAAAACTTTCCATGAAGTGGACAGACAGCTTGTTTGTCATTCCAAGTTGTATAAAAAGTGTAATTTGAGAAAATGTACCAAACTTTTGTATTAACTCTCGCCCATATTCTCTTGTAGAAAATAATTAAGTTTTTAACTCCATTTATTTCATTCTTTAAAGAGTTAAATTAGAAATAGAAACTTAGTTGAAAAACCAAAATAATACGTGATATTGTAGTATTTCATTTGAAATACTGTTAACTTGTTCTAAAGATATTTTGATATACTTACTTGTTTAATAAATGTTAAAGTGCCTTCTGACGTCTTAACGAGTCGCGTCGAGAGAACGTCAAACTGAACCAATTATTGTCAAGTTTGGCATTTAGATAACAAGAAGGATTATTTTCTACTGGACCCGATATATAGGAGAACCCTATGTTCACCAGTGGACAGTTAACGATTGATATGATAATTCTCCTCAACTCTATCCACAACTCCCACACCAATACCAAATCTCTTACTGTGCAAGTACAAAAAGATTTTACAATACAATTGACAGTATATGTATATTAGTTATTCTGTATTTATATATATTTATTTTTATTTATTTGTGTGTAGAATCGACATCACTAGCGAGTCCGTCAGTTGGAATGAATCATCCGACGTTGCTAGCTCATTCTCTTTACATTTTATCGATGTCGATTTCATTGATGAATTCGTTTGCCACTTGTCTAGAGAACCAGATATGTTTACCGATGGTTTATATGTTTTTTTTTAATGGGTGATGATGAAATAGTAGTAGAACCCCGCCTATGCTAACGGTATAACCAGTGAGTGATGATAGGTGAGGATAAAAAGACAGGTCAGTTAGCTCATCATGATGAATACACTTGAAATTTAACACGATGGTTTCCAGATGGAGGCCGATCTGGTTTGGTATACTCGTATTGCTAGTAATGGGGCACTTAGTCTCCATTATTAACAACCTCCCCCCCTCCCTCTATATGTAGAATTAGCTGGGGCGGGTCTCGTATCCGTACTATGATAATGTTACTATATATAATGTTACTATATATTATATGAAAGTTAGTTTATTTATTACCTCTTGCCACCTTAATGACTCGACCAATCGTCATTAAATTTATTATATACATAGTATTTGTTATAATGAAGGGCATAGACTGCTTTTTATTCCAGTCAGTCAACAAATCTTGTAAAAATAGGAAAGAAATCGGGAGTAAAATCTTGTAGGTCATATTGTTTTGGTTCCAGCAAAAAATATTATGTAAATACGCAGGCACAGTTAGTTATATGATCAATATGACTAAATTGAAAGTTGGTGAAAACTTCGTTCCAACGCATTAAACTGCGCATATTAATTTGATTGATTTTGCAAATGTAACCAGTAGGTAAGTCGCGAATGAAATCGAGCGATCACCAGTTATATTCTTTTTCAATAGAAATTAATGACAATCGAATAATTTTACTGATCCTATTATACTCGTAAGACAGTTTGCATATGCCCAATAGTAGTTATAAATAAATTAGTTGTTTTGTATGTTGCGATTTGTTACTACAATTTATTTGTCAACCGACTTCAAAAAGAAAGAGGTTCTCAATTCGATTGTATTTTTTTGTGTTTGTTACCTCATAACTCCATCAGTTCTAAGCCAATTTGTTTTTTTTTTTCTATAAGCATATACTTACTGATTGTGGTCCTCTAGAAATTTTATAAAATCGATTGAATAGTTTAATTTATTTATAAAAAAAAAAATGGTTTTGTCACAATTGAAATCGGTTTTTTTTTTTGTGGGTCACAATCTTTAATTATGTACGTGTGGGGTGTGTTTAAGAAAGAAGAAGAAAGAAAATAATTAGTTTTCGTGACAATTGTAATAGAAATTGGTTATGTTTTATCTATCAGAATAGACTATACATTTAATTGTACAAAATCTCGCATTAAGCATATGAAATTGCTTACATTAAATAAAAAAAAATCAATAAGCTCCCGAATACATAATCAAATGAGATGGTAAGCCAAACCGATGTATAGGTTTACCCTCCTATAATCCCCCTTTTACTCCAACTTCACGAGGAACCATATTTAATAGCCTCAAAGCATGCGATGATTGTTTTTTTTTTTATTCTTATATTAAATCGGTGAATCATTACTTACGCGGTATTCCCTAGTTCATTTGAATTAATCAATTTTTTTTAAATTACTCGTTACAAACGAGTATATAACTTGCTTACATTCGATATATTAGGTATATTTCCCTCTCACAATTTGATAATGATTTTTAAGCTTGGTATTGTTCCCAGATCTTATTTTGGTTACAGTCATTAAACATTTGTTTATTTATTTAATTGGTTTCCATGGCACGATTTTACGATAAAAAAATAATGACGTTTTTTATACAAAAGTTCTTTTTACCCTTTTAAGTGGTTTATATTGCCAGGAATGTTTTAAAACTTGACATTGTAACTTCCTGTAACTAGCTTTTACTCGTGTCTTCGTCCTAGTAATTAATGTTTATTTATTTATCTCTTTTGAGTACAACTTTTTTGAGTACAATGAAACACTTAAAATTAATACCATAGATACATAAAAGTTGTAGAGAACTGGTGTCTGAACTGGGTATCCGAAGAACCCGTATCACAAACTGTATCATAAACTGTTTCATGCCAGGACTCATCCCTGGCATGAAACAGTTTATAATAATAAATACAATGAAGAATATTGACTGGAATAAGTTCACTGACTAGGATAAAAAGTAGCCTATGTACTTCTTCATCTTATATAGTGTATACCAAGTTCCATATTAATTAGTTAAGCCGCTAAGGCACTAAAACATTTTTTTATGACGCTTGGAAAGGCAAACAAGTTTATGGTTTACCTGATGACAAGTGGTGACCATTATCGATAATTATAAATATTATGCACAGTGCATTATGTGTATAATGCCCATGCTACTCTATCATGCATTGTCTTTCCTAATTACTATAGTGCTATGCTTCTGTATCATGTCATTTCACTGCCATATTCACTTCACCCTTCAAACTGCACACACCTTTTGGAGAGAGACAGCTTGTTAATAATGGAAACATTAATTCCCATTGCTAGCAATATATTTTCTCAGGTCGACCTCCTCGCCGATCCCCCTGGATACCATCGTGATTAATTATTGTCAAATTCATCGCGATGGTCCAACTGACCTGCTTTCATCCTCACCTATCATCTCTCACTAATGCCCCGCCAGTATATACCGATACCGCAAGTAGAGTTACCAGTTCATTATCATCCATTAAAAAAATCCAAACTTACCCATGCATGTTTAATGTTGGGAGAAACATGGATGGGACAGAAATATCTATGTAAACGACCTTTGTACAAAATCTTACAATAATGTACAATATTTTAAGCAGCGAAAATAAAAGCTACTGTCTAATTAATTTGCGCCTCAAATAACACGAGTTCACGCCATTATATCGATTCCAATACATTATCACATGACATTAATGTGACCTATTATTCGAGTATTATCATTTCGATACTTTTGTAGCTGTTTTTTTTTTGTGGTTTAAGTATTTGTGTGGGCTGCCGAAATTGGATATCTATAAAAAATGAGTACTTACGTAGAAGCTTGAAAGTAGCAATGATAAAAGATTTAGTGGATGAAATAGAATGTTAACCTCGCCTGCGCTATCGATATACACTAGCGAGTGCCAGTTAACCGACTTCAAAAAGAAGGTTCTCAATTCGGTCCTTTTGTTTTTTGTTACCTCATAACTCCAGCAGTTGTTAACCTATTTGAAAAATTCTTTTTTCATCTGAAAGGATATATTTACAGATTTTATATAAGTTTTATTAAAATCAGTTTAGTAGTTTAGTTTTTAAATCAAAACAACTGGTTTTGCCACAATTTTTTTTATGGAATCCAATATAAATAATGATGGATGCAAATGGAATAACCTGAGCTATTAGAGTACAGTGTATACTAATGTAGATGTAAGATGAGGTTAAAATTAGATTGTATCAAATTTATCAAGAATTGACCACGATGGTTTCTAAGGGTGGTGGGTCCCTTTGGAAGTCGATCTGATAGGGTTACTAAAAATATACTATTGTTGACGATTAGTTGAGTTCTTCTAATTTCTTTCCTCATCATAATTTGTATACATTAAATTCACATAACTCTGTCAAGGAATAATTTTATGTGCTAGGAATCTCCCCAGATGTCAATTTACCATATATAATTAAATAGCATTTTGCCTCTACTTTGTATGTATGGATTTTAGAAGTAGGCAAACCAATGGAGCTGCTTTTAAATGGCGTATCAGGATAAGACATTCATCACGTTAAGTTAAAACTTCGAAACCACGACTGTGATATCCAATTTGATACAGTAGTTTTTGCGTAATACCGGAACAAACAGACAAAATTTCTAAACGAGACAGAAAAAATAAATATTATAATTATATTATCTCGACTATTACTAGAACGAGAGCCATTACAAGATATCGACTAACGTAGCGTTCATTTTCCTTATTGTAGGTCATTTATAACGCTTATTATTTACTAATTGTTGTGACTTGAGATCTTACTACGTATAACAATAGGTCATTTATATCGATGATATTTCATAAAAGCATATACATTTTATAGTGGTAAACAGCGTTATTATTTAACTATTACAGTGTTTATTCGTTAATTAGGTATATCAGATTTGTTTTACGAAAATAATACTTACAAAATTATATAAAAATCTCGTAGAAAATTTATTCTTACAGTTAATAAAGTTAATGCCATTTTAAAAGAAATTGATGAAAATATTGCATTATAAAATACTCGAAAAAATACAGTCCTTTTAAGATTTTTTCTAGTGTATTAATATTCGTATTTATTGAGGTGTTTCTATATATTTTTTTATATCTACAACTGGGAGTAATAAACAATTTGACACACCATGTCTCTTGACGTCTGTCTAGACATAAATAACCCATTGTTTTTCTCATGTGTTGCCAAAGATAAAGTAATAGTAATACCTCGTACTTACGCGCTTACTGACTGAGCGATAACCACGTAGGTCGGAGTATATAATTGCTTACGTATTCCTGTGAGCTCTGTATCCTGTATGCACATTAGCTTAACAATAGTGAAGGGGGGACGAGTGAGTGAGTAATCCTAGCTTTCAAACAATCCAATCGACGAGATTTAAAAATCGTGTAGCTGTCGATGTATTATTATATTAATTTGTAATTTTTTTTATATCCTGTTACAGTGTGTGTTGAACAAATATTATGTATTTCGGAAACTTCAAATCTGTTCGTAAAATAAATATGTATAAAGGTCGAATTTTATTGAAGTTTTTATACAGACCAATTTTTTATGTCTGTACTTACTAAACAAGCCAAATAAAAGTATATTATATTTAATCACTCTTAAAATTTGCTAACATTGTTATTAAGTTATTGTTGTTACTGTATGTTTTAGTGCAATAAAGAATATATAATAAAATTCTTTGCGTAAAATACATAGATGGACTGGTCTTAGTATAAATTCTTGCTAATATTATACATGTGAATATATGTTTGTTTGCTACCTTTTAGCACCTTAACGGCTTAATCGCTATGAAATTTGGTGCACACGTATTATATGGGATGGAATACAGAAGAACATAGACGTACATTTATATCTCGGCTAGTGAACATATCCTGGTCACGCAGGTGAAGTCGCGGGTAAAAGTCAGTTACACACAATAACGAATACTCCCGGTTATTGCTGATACTAGAAAAAAAAATATATAAACTACTAGTTTAATCCTATTAACATTATAAATATGAATGTTTGCAATGATGCATGGATGGATGTTTGTTACTCTTTCACGCAGAAACTGCTAAACAGATATGAATGGAATTTGGTTCACAGGTAGATTAAATGTTAACATAACACATATTTTATGTACTAATTCACACGGGCGGAACTGCGAGATACAACTAGTTCATTTATATTGAATCTTTTGTCTCCAGTTCGCGATAAATCTATTCCGGACGTTACCACCATCTTCCAACCCGAACGGCGCTGAGTTCGACCCTGAGGAGGACGAGCCCACGCTCGAAGCGGCCTGGCCTCACCTGCAGCTAGTCTACGAGCTGTTCCTCCGGCTGTTAGAGTCGCCAGACTTCCAACCAAATATCGCTAAGAAGTATATTGACCAAAAATTTGTATTACAGGTGAGATGCTAAGGTAACATAAATCATAAACATTAATATATAAAAATAGCTAGATACCCACTCAATCGGAGATTAACAGCTCTAAAAATAAATTTAATCAAACACTAAAACTGTTACATTTACAAAAAGTGTGTATAGTTTTAAATCGTGGCGGGAAATCGATAGATTCAAGGGGTGTGGAAACGCACTTTGTTGTGATATATAATATGAGAGAACTGTGGTCAACAATAAATGATGGATGAGATGGAGAACATCCTCATTACAAATGATGGTATTCTAAACATTGCAGTTGTTTCTAAAGATTCGGCTACATTTCGAACTACAGTCGAATGTGCTGAAATTGGCCAAAATGATCTTACAAATTGTGTAAAAATATAATGTCTAGATATGTACGTTTCTTATTTGCTGTATTCATTCGACTCTATTCACGACGACCTATTAGAACTATTATTTTAAATTCGGAATAGTTTTAAGCGTATCTTTTGTATTGCATTGTGAATCTTGATTTTTTTATATCAATGATACATTAAAAATTTTAATATGATACAAGTGCTTCAATTTTATCTCTATAACCTAGATATATATCAATGTAGTCTAGACGTATAGGTATGATCGGAACCCTATGAGTGTCTGATAAAACAGACAGACACTTTCTATACATTAATTAATATGAACTAACTAATTTAGTGTCATAATCGATATCAGTAATGAAGAGGAATTCGTAAGTGTATATAGGACCTGATCGATGGAACTATCAATTAAAAGGGTTCACTTCACCCGAACAAATTAATATAAAGTGCCACATTAATACACCAGTTGCCGGCTTCTAAAACTCGGGTGTTCTTGGTTTCTTATTATAATGACAAACCATCCCACGAAGGAAAGAGTTTGTTAGTAATGGAGACTGAGAATTCCATTGCTAGCAATATACCCAACCAGGTCGACCTTCTCGCGGTTCCTCTAGAAACTATCATGATTAATTTCTGATGAATTCATCATGATGGGGTAACTGGCCTGTTTTTATTCTTATCTATCACCCTTTACTGGTGTTCCACCAGCGTATCCCGTTAGCGCAGGCATACCATTTTTACCCATCAAAAAAAAAAGAAAAACTACACAATGGTAATCAACGAATTATGACCCATTAATGCTTTGATTTATACCACTTGGAATACATTATTATTATATCGTTAGGCATGAGTACAATTGGTACCACTTCGGCATCTACTCGCATATATTTATTTTTTTATGAATGGAAATGAAATAGTAACCCTGCCTGCGCTATCGGTATCTATACGTTGGCGGCGCACCAGTGAGTAATTATAGGTGTGGATGAAAACAGACCAATTAGCCCATCGTGAATTCTGTAAAAATTAATAAACGATGGTTTCCAGGGGGAACCGTGTGGAGGTCGACTTCATAGGGTATATTGCGTGTAATATAGCTGTTAAACCCCATTACTAATAATCCCTTTCCCCCACTCGTGAGTTCCTCTATACATTGTAGGCGGAAAAATGATCATAAAACAATTTTTACAGAAAATGTATGTTTATTTATTTTAGTTTCAATTGCTGTTATTAAGATCTTTCATATCAAATTTTCTTAAATGTTCCCACAATTCTTTTTGTACAGAATCTAGTCTCATATTTTTAGATAATCAATACCTTGAAATATACGTAACATATCCGACCGTACCTTGTACGTACATCCTGAAATATGTAAGAGCTCATTAGATACGCTCCATTAGGATTCCAAATATGTTAACGATATTTTCCATCATCGGAGATTTAGTCATAAATTCATATCAAAAGATGATATAATAATAATAATTTAATTTGCAATGATTTTGGATATAAAACATTTGATCTTATTCGATTAAAAGTACCTTACAAAATCTACTTAGGTCAAGCGTGTAAATATTGAAAACAAAAATTACAATAATTTAATTTTAAAATTTTTATAATAACAATAATAATAAATAGAATTTATTTTCTCTTCACAATTCATCGCAGTGAGATACAATGAGACATGCTTATATTAAAGTAATCAAATTATAAATATAATTGTGAGAGACTGGTGCCTGAGATAGGTATAAGAATACCTGTATTACAGGTCACCAGGGCCTCACTCCGCAGGGTTACTTACTTAGTACTTGTAATATAATAAGTGAATTCAATGTAATGAATATAATTTATAGGAAGAGATAATTAATTATAATTCAATCTGGAATTTTTGTGTGTGTGCGTGCGTGTGTGTGAGCGCGCGCGCGCGCGTGTTTATGTGTGTGTGTGCGAGTATGTGTGCGTGTGTGTATGCGTGTGTCTGTAGGTTTATATTTATATTTGATGAAAATGTATATTAAAAGATGGACATATTGTCCAACTTTATGTCGTTCTTAAAATAGGTATATGAGTCGAATTACTATCATTATCATCTCCCCCTATGGGGGGTTAGTTAGTAGTTACCACACTTGCCTTACGAGTTGGCAACCGCAATTAGGCTTTAATGATGTTTAAAGATTATTATAATACTATTGAAAAAGTGTATAGATGGGATATATATATATTTAAGGACAACCAACAAAGCATACATTTATATCTACTTAAAATACATGATAATATGGTTACATTATAAAATGCCATGCTGTTATTAAGCTGAATAAATTTAACAAAAGAATCTATACAAAGTTCAAATATTTTATGAAAATTCAAATATTCAAAAATTAAATATATATATGCAAAAGAATTGTTAATGATTGGCTATTAAGTAAGACATATGATGAAACTGAACTAATTTATTATTAGTAGTATTTTAGGTTATGTTAGGTTACAGAGGAATAACACCTGAGTCCTCAGGAATGGCAACGCATGGTGGAAATCATGGGCGAAACAGTATACTCTGTTATGTCCATGGTACTGCTCATGCGACGATTACCACTTTACATCAGGTGGGCCGTCAGCTTGTTTGCCATTCTATGTTGTATAAAAAAAATTTTTAGAATAACTTATCCGTTCCATACACTCACAAATTAGACAGTCAAGATTCACTTACAAAATATTATTTGGACAAATTAAATTATTATTGTATTAGTACCTTAAGTTTTACTGTTTCTTTTTTATAAATATTTTGTGTCATTATGCCGTATAGGTAAGAGCACTGCTTATCCTAAAGTGCAGGATTTACCTATTTAGGGAGCAGGGTTTCACCTATATTTAAAATGTTTCTAACATTTATTTTGAAATAAACTTATTATTATTATTGGATAATAACATAACGTGTTATTCCTATTTCAGTTACTAGAGTTATTCGACTCGGAGGACCCACGGGAGCGTGACTTCTTGAAAACCACACTCCACAGGATATATGGAAAGTTCTTAGTACTGCGCGCCTATATACGGAAACAGATCAATAACGTGTTCTATAGGTGAGTGGCACACGTGTTTGTAGACTTTACACATTATTTAGATGGTTTTGAATAATAAAAATAATAAATATGTTATTATATTCTTCATTGATAGAAAGATACCTCTGTCCCATTCGTGTTTCAACCGTGAAGCAGTTGTGTTTGCATGGCTGTGTTTCGGTTTGAAGGGTGGGATATGGCGTGAATTTACTGGGTACAAAGGAATAACACCAGAGTCCTCAGGAATGGCAACGCATGGGGGTATCATGGGCGAAACAGTATACTCTGTTATATCCATGGTACTGCTCATGTCTATAGGCGACGGTTACCACTTTCCATCAGGTGGACCGTCAGCTTGTTTGACATTCTAAGTTGTATAAAAAAAAAAGATAGATAAAGAATTTATTTGCATTACTTACAGCACACAAACAACAACAGACCTTTATGTGTATATTTCAGTCTATATTTATATTACTGTATTTCACTTGAATTATTCACTTGTCATTGTATATTTTTATTTATGGTGCAATAAAGAGTTAAATAAATAAATAAATCGATGCACAATGAAAAAAGATAAAAAAATACATGTACAAAAAATAAAAAAAAAGCAAAATGCATAAAATAAGTAACAATTTTTCCCTTCATGCATGTGCCACAGTAACACAAAATGGCCACAACTCAGCTTATTGCTTTGCCATAAAAAGAGCATAACACTAATATTGCAGTAAAATATACTGTAATAATATTTGGTAGTAATGGAAGCAAAGGAGAATTTCTCTCTAAAAGAGATTTCTTTCAGTCAACCTAATACAGTGGCATAGGTAGTATTGAGTGGGCAGCAGTAGTGCAAAATGTATGTATGTATATGTTTACCACAATAATCCCTTATGAGCTACTCAGAAGCATATGTTTTTTTTTATGGATTATAATGGAATGGTAACTCCTCTGTTGGTTTACCCTGGCGGGGCACCAGTAATTGATGATAGGTGAGAATGAAAAGGCAGGTCAGTCAGCCCATCGTAACGAATGTTGATACATTTTTTATATCGTGATTTATTGATATAAATCGCGATGGTTTCCAGAGGGAACCGCGATAATATCGATCTAACAGGGTATATTGCTAGCAATGGGGCACGCTAATCATTACTAACAATCCCCTTTATTCCATTCGATAGATGTTGTCCTGTCCAAATACTTACATTTTCCTCCCTAAAAATTTAATCGGACTATAAACAAACATTTCAATTAAATTTATCAAATAAGTTCAGCCATTTTCAAGATACGAGACTTAATAGTATATAAGTCTGTTACACGAAGTTTACAGTTTTAGGTAAGTAAGTATACTTTGGATAGATGGCTTATTGAAAAAACTAGAATGTGTTTTTTTGGGTGTTAATGGTGCTTTGTTTAGGCATCCCGTCCTCGCTAATGGATACGGGTGACGGGATGTCTTTTTTGATGAATGCATTATTTTAGTTGGGGCACAATACGGTCGTTTTTTTTTATGGGTGAAAATGGTATGGTAACCCCGCCTGCGTTAACGGGATACGCTGGCGGAGCACCAGTGAAGGGTGATAGATGAGAATGAAAACAGGCCAGTTAGCCCATCCAACTAATCCCAGAAACGGCTTAATTGATTTGAATGCGGTTTTCACTAATACGTTGCGGTTTACTCCAGTTAATGTTTATTTAGTGGTTGTTTTATTTCAATCGGTTTATAAATAAAAAAGTTATATATCAATCTAAAGAATCACATATAAAATGCTATAAAATAACCGATCGGTTGAATTGGTTGAAACTTTTTTTATTATATGTGATTTGATTGATTTTCGAAAATTCTATTCGTGCGAAGCCTGGTGGGTACGCTAGTTGAAAATAATCATTTACTAAAATAACTAATATTGTTAGTTTTCTTGAGTGTATTGTTTCCGTGTACTCGCGTCAACTGCGTCGTTAATAAATTATAGATACATCAATTTACAATTTATTATTGTTCTCGAATATTCTTGAAGGAAAATAAATGTGTTGGATGCATTAAAGCAATCGATTTATATCACATTAGCGGCGCACGACAGATTACAAATGTATTTTAAAACTACGCCTATACATCCTTATTGCTATTCCTACACTGCATTAGTAATATAAATTGCTCCTACTAACAATGTAAACAACAAGTAAGTACTTACCAATAAAGAAAATGTCTTCTTTGTTTTTTTTTGTACATAATTATGTACTTTAGCGATGCGTGAATCCGAATGATTTTGTTTTTCGAATAATTAGTAATTACTAATTTTATAATTCGACTAATAAATTATGAATGAATAATAATTAGTAATATCGGTTTGCTCAATGGTTGACTGGTAGAGAACACCGTCCAGTGTTAAGTCCGCCAAATGTACATAGATTTTTACTGTGCATTAAAGTTTAAATAAATAAATAAATAATATACATTAATATATGGCAATTATTCCATATTCGAATGATTTTATTAATTAGTAACTAATTACAAACAAAGCTGTATGTACAAGAGCGCAAAGCTGCAGACAAACTGCAAAGCAGTTTCGCGGCACTAAGAATATGTACATATCGTCTATGTACTTACATAAATAAAAAAAAAAGATATTCAAATATCCAATGATATGGATTTCCGCAAGATAACACCAAATTTAGTAAAATATTTAAAAACATCATTAACTGTTCTATAATATCTTTTAATTATATTATATTAAAAAAAAACAATTAAAAAAAAATTAGAAAGATAATTTTTCATTTCTGCTCTGTATTCATGATAATGTACATTATAGTTAATATTTGACAGTATAATTGATCCTTAAACATTCGTCAAAGTAATTGCCTGGGGAGATTTTGTCAAATTAGTATTTCCGTGTTGTAATTGGAAACGCACTCGACCCCAATTGATTAGTGAAAGCTGAGAGGGTTCGAATCCTATAGAGGTTTAAATTTGTCCTGCTTCATGCACCATCAAGTTACTTGTAAAGTTGAGAAGTTAAATCTCTCAATCGTATTATTTAAGAATCTCGAATAAACATAAGAATTATTTTGTTTAATTCTGCTACCATTAATACGTGTGTGAGTTCCAACAATCAAAGATTTATCAAGAAGTTTCACAATCTTCCATATTAGCTATCAATCACCGACTGCCATTTTGTTCAGGCACGTTTTGCGACACGTATTTCACCTCTAAACGACGCATCTCCAGACAGATTTATTAGGTCGTTGCTATGAGCCTTGTGTTAACCGTTGGACAACCAAATTGCGAAACGAACCGTATTTGCAGTCACACAAATATTTAGTATAATAATAGTATCGGAATTAAACTAAATAATTTGAATCAAATAATTAGTGATATGGACTTCAGCATGGTAAAATAAATAATCATTTTATTAGGAAAGAAATAGATTCTATATTTGATTTTCTTCTGTGATATCTTTTCTGATTTAATAGAAAAGATTCATTTTTGTATGTCATTTTTTAACCGACTTCAAAAAGGAGGAGGTTTTTAATTCCGTTGTGTATTTTTTTTATATTTGTAACCTCATAATGTCGTCAGTTGTAAACCGATTTGTAATATTCTTTTTTTTTTGTCTGAAAGGATATATTTACAAATTGGACCAATAGAAATTTATTGTTCAATAGAAAATCAGCTCAACAGAAAATAGCTGCCTATGCTCGGTGAAATGTGACTTGTGTGAAATTCGATCGTTATTCTCGTCATTACAGCAAAAGTCGATAAACTGGCTCTGACCTCTCCAATGACGGTTACACGGTTGTCTTTCATATGATTATCCTTCTAATCAAAAATTATCTGAAAGAAATTGCTTAACAATAAGACCTATTCTATGCTTCTTGAAAATCCTTCAACAATTCCTGTAATACGGGTACAATAAAATGTTAAATCTACACTGATATTATATTTTTAGATTCGTATAGTATTAGATTTGTATTTTTGTGTGTATGTATGTTTGTAATGAATAAACTTAAAAACTACTTAACCGATTTCAAAAAATCTTTCACCATTAAAGCTACTTTCACTCTGAGTAACATAGGCTATATTTAGTGCTAGAAAATATTAGGGTTCCTTACTTTAAACTACTACTAAAACTTTAGTAACGTAACTCAAGGTGTAAAAAAAGTACTATAAAATATTTTTCGTCGCATGCGCTGCGAAAACTATTGGTGATAGAACAAAAGTATATTCTACAATATTGAAGAAAATATAAAAAACTTCGCCATACTATATGTCCAACTATTATCATTATGTCACAATCGAATTATCCGTATGTGCAGAAAATATAACAATGTATGCAAGGAGCTTGATATTTTCCAACAATCCTTGCAATGTTACAATTTGTTACTTTAAATTTATAGCCGCCATTCTTTTAATGTATATAATATCGAATGTTACGCAGAGCAGTTATTGGAGTGCAAATTTAATGCCGTTTTATGTAATATTTATTTTATAAATGTATTAATTTGTAATCTGTTGCCTTGCTATAAATAAATAAATAACCACTTTTTAAATGTTGTAAAAATGTTCACCCGTGCGAAGCCGGGACGGGCCGCTAGTAAACAAATAAATCGGTTATAACCAAAAGGATACACCAATTTTGTTTTGTTTAAAAGCTTGTGTCCTATACTATGAAACGCAATTACGAACTTTCGAATTGAAATTTAATATGGATGATGGCACATATTTACAGTATGTTTAATTGAACGTAATGGAAACGTAACCGAGTTTTGTTGACATTAACACAGGAACACTCGCTAAATAAAATTAGTAATAAATCCAAACATTCCATCAATTAGTCGATTTTTTATGTTTTTTTTTTATACAACTTAGAATGGCAAACAAGCTGATGGCCCATCTGATGGAAAGTGGTAACCGTCGCCTATAGACATGAGCAGTACCATGGACATAACAGAGTATACTGTTTCACCCATGATACCCCCCATGCGTTGCCATTCCTGTGGACTCAGATGTTATTCCTCTGTACCCTGTAAATTCACGCCATATCCCACCCTTCAAACCGAAACACAGCCATGCAAACAGAGCTGCTTTACGGTTACAACACGAATGGGACAGAGGTACCAAAGCAAATGACTTTTGTACAAAGTCTCCCTCTGGTTATGTATGTTACTATTGAATATTACTGGACTGTCTTATGATTAGGCCATTTACTCAATTGTTTACACTTTTATTAAGTTCTATTGAAACGAGACTATAATTCCTCCTAATCTTATTTTATTTATTTATTTATTGTATGGGTCTAATCCTTATTAATATTATAAATCTGAAAGTGAATTTTAAACATTCGAAGAAGCAGGTATGTAGGTACTATTTACCTGCGTATTTTATCGCGTTAAGTCCTGATTGTGTATTTAAAATATATAAAATTGAGTTAGTTTGTTTTACCTAATAGCGCCTTAGCGCTATGAAATTTGGTAGTATATGGGCCGAAGATGAATATAGGCTTAATTTTTACCTGGTCACACGGATGAAGACGCGGATAAAAGCTAGTATTACATATTGCTAAATATATTATTTATATATTGGCGTATGTAGGATTATTTGTTCAAGACCTGGCCACTTAAAAAGGCTGCAAATGTGCTCTTAGACACGTTTTTCTGAAGCTTCATTCGTATCCAGGGGGTGGACCCCAGTCATTTCTGGAGTGAACCTCTCGCCCCTTAATTTGCCTATGTAATAGTCCTTTGCCAATCAATAATCTTCACCAATTTAACTGCAATTCTTTCGCAATTTTACCGTCACTTAACAGGTTTAATCTAGTTTTTTTTTTCTCTACACAATACTGAACGGATCCTCAACTGCGCATTATTAAAACATCCAAAACAGACAACAAACATGTCACAAAAAGTGCTTCCCAAGTTTAGCGGCGACAATGGAATGGTACGTGCGAGTGCGGCCAAGAAGTGGGATCGATAATGACCGCCCGTCGACTCGTTGTGACGTGGGTAATGGCCTAATGGCTGTTTGGTCAGGTTCCTTTATCATGCCGCCGCCTTTTGTCATATTTATATTATTCATTACTGGCTACTGTCTGCGGATACGCGTACTAAAGATTATTATAAGATTAAGATAATGTACTAAATCTCACGATGCTACGTGTAATTTTTTTATATTTTACTAGCTCTATTCCGCGGCTTCAATCGCGTGAATCAATATAGAAAGTGTGCCTATGTGCTAAGTTATGATATAACCTACACGTGTACCAAATTTTAATCAAATCCGGTCTGTAGTTTTTACCTGAAAGAGTAGGAAACATCCATGCACGAGAGAGAAACAAGCTGACGGCCTACCTGATGGAAAGTGGTAACCGTCGCCTATAGACATGAGCAGTACCATGGACATAACAGAGTATACTGTTTCGCCCATGATACCCCCCATGCGTTGCCATTCCTGAGGACTCAGGTGTTATTCCTCTGTACCCTGTAAATTCACGCCATATCCCACCCTTCAAACCGAAACACAGCTATACACAACTGCTTCACGGTTGAAACACGAATGGGACAGAGGTACCCATGCAATCGACTTTAGTACAAAGTCTCCCTCTGGTAATCAATTCTCTTAGTTGCTTCTTATGATACCCATGGAACAGAAAGGTGGTCCATTCTATGCGGAGACCACACGACATACATATACACACACGATACATATATATACACGATATACATAAATAATCTAATGTAAAAATTTTTGCCCGCAGGTTTATATATGAAACGGAACATCATAACGGCATCGCGGAACTCCTGGAGATCCTCGGCTCCATCATCAACGGGTTCGCACTGCCGCTGAAGGAGGAACACAAGCTGTTCCTACTCAAGGTAACGTCATACTTTTGTAGAAGTGTCGACATCATTCTTATTTCAGTCTACTATTGAACATAGACTTTTCCCATAGAATAGAAATAATTTAATTAATATGTAATTAATGCTTGAATTCAAGCATTAATTAAATTAATTAATTAAATGATGTAATGATGATGACATCATCACCATATCAGCCTTTAACTGTCCACTGCTGAACATAAGGCTACTCCTTGGGAGGTTTTGCCAGTAGTTGCCATGTTTGGCAAGTGGATTGGCAACTGCAGTCAGGCTTTAGAGATGTTTTAACAAAGATGATGCTGCCCATCCCCCCCCCCCTCCCTTAGTCGGCTCTTACGTCCACGGGAAAGAAAGGGGTGTCCTATTCTATGCCGGGACGACAAAACCATACTGTCACATTATCAAGTGTAATTTATATTATATATATAATATTTTTCTTACAAAAGAAAGTATGTCTAATGAATAATATAATAAATAAAACAAGTGAAATCAAGTCAATTATTTATTTGCACAAACATAGGTTACATACATTACATGGTATTATATACATACATATGAATGACATAAAATACATATAGATATATGAATGTTTTGTTTAATGTATGTATAAAATTAATAAAATCTTGCTGTGAACAGGTGCTATTGCCGCTGCATAAAGTGAAGTCGCTGTCGGTATACCACCCGCAGCTCGCGTACTGCGTCGTCCAGTTCCTAGAGAAGGACCCCTCGCTCACGCAACCTGTAGTTAGGTAAGATTTTTTTTAATAACTGTTAATTTATTTTTTAATGGATGCTAATGGAATGGCAACCCCGCCTGTGCAGGGGCGAAAGGGATTGTTTGTAATGCGACCAGTCCCATTGCTAGCACTATACCCTATAGGGTCAACCTTCATGTGGTCCCCCCTAGAAACCATCGTGCTGCGCAAACGGTGGCGGGGCGCCAGTAAATATTGACAAGTGAGAATGAAAACGCAGGTCAGTTAGCCCATCGTGATGAATACACTTGGGATTCAACACGATGGTTTCTAGGGGGAACCACGTGGAGGTCGACCTGAAAGACTATATTGCTAGCAGTAGGGCAGTTAGTCCCCTTTACTAACAATCTTTTTTTATTTGAAAAGATCCATTTATATATTTTGTACCATAGAAATTTTATGTAATGCAGTTTTTTTCGTTTTGAAATCAAAATAATTTATTTTGCCATAATTGAAGTCGGTTTTTTTATATGTTTAACACAATTTTATTAAAAAAAAAAAGTTTTTAAGTATTTCTGTCTGTTGTCCAGTATAAATAGTACTCATAGAAACTATAATAGAAGCTTATTAAAATTCCTTATTCCCTTTAAATTGTAAATTTTATGCAAAAGAAAAAAAAATACTAAACACGTCAAATAGCTAAAAAAATTATTTTCGGGTTTCCATTGTACTTACTACTTCATTATTTTATATTAAATATTTTAATGTGTCTGTTATAAATTATGTACACAACAATGTATGTATCCAACTGTAAACTCATATTCAAAAAATTTTTCGTTCATATTTTTCGTGGACGATTATGTCACGTGTGCACGTTTTTATCCTCAATTATGTCCGCGTGACCGGGTTATATTGATTGACCGACATAAACAGTAGCCCATCTCTTTCTCCGTATACCAAGTGTCATGACGATTGTTTGATAGACTGGTGTAACGAATAAACACACTTTCACAACCATGGCAATTACTATAAACAGGAAAGATTCGATTTTTTATTTGTTTGTTTGTAATGAATACGTGCGTAACAGGGGTAGATATCTAGTTTATGAATAAATATAATAATTGAATCCTTCTTTGAGTGCAATAATAAAAAGTATTTATTCATTCATTCATTTAGATACAATATACAATTTGATCGGCTAAAACACAATGTTAAAGCATAAATATACAGGCTTTATATGTATATGTAATCATCCTTATAAGAGAATATTCTACTTGTGAACTTAAAATATCCCTCAAAGTAATGTGTGTGATAAAACGACAAAAAAATTTTGATTCTTCCATAGCAACTTTACAGCTGGACGCGCCATTATAGTATGAGAAGCATTTCAATTTCACTCTGTATATATATATATATATATATATATATATATATATATATATATATATATATATATTTCTATATTATATTTCTAGGGCATTATTAAAATACTGGCCGAAAACACATTCCCCCAAAGAGGTGATGTTTTTAAACGAAATGGAAGAGATCTTGGATGTGATCGAGCCAGCCGAGTTCCAAAAGATCATGGATCCGCTATTCAGGCAGCTCGCCAAGTGCGTCTCCAGTCCACATTTCCAGGTAACTTTTTTTTGCAACTTTTTTAACTTCCTTTAATAGTCTTTCCGTTCGAAAGTTGCAACCCAATATCATTTATATTCACCACAACAGGTAGCGGAACGCGCACTGTACTACTGGAACAACGAGTACATAATGTCCCTAATATCGGACAACGCGACACACATACTGCCCATAATGTTCCCATCGCTGTACCGCAACACCAAGAGCCACTGGAACAAAACCATCCACGGGCTGGTCTACAACGCGCTCAAGCTCTTCATGGAGATAAACCAGAAGCTGTTCGACGAGTGCACACAACAGTACAAGCAGGAGAAACAGAAGTAAGTACTAGGCGGTCAGAAGTGACGCACACGTATTTTAAACATAGCGTAATGAGCGAAGTGCGGTATGTATTGATACGACGAAGTTGGTAGTGACGTATATTTCATTTTTATAACAACTGACGTACAGCTGGGTTGTAACTGACCATATTAACAGATAAAAAATATTTTATATACTAAATACAAATTAAGGAAATTAAGATAGAAATGGTGGAGCGACATATTAACCAAGTACGTTCAGGGTTAAATTGGCAATTGTTATACCATTTAATAAACAAATAATTTACTAACTGCACTGCACGCATAAATATGACTCCATAAGCGCTTTCATAAAATACGGCTATTACACATAATATAAAATAAATAGAAGAAGAAAGAGAATGAGTACTAGGCGCGCAGAAGTGACATACACGTGTTTTAAACAAGCTTACATCATTTCGAGAAAGGGCTTTCATAAAAAATTACATGATTTTGACAAACAAGATAGACAGTAGCAAATATTAGGGACGCAGAAGTACCGCATACGTCTATATTTATCTAATAATACGAGCGCTTTTGTAATCACTATTCACTATATAAACAAGAGAAATGAAACTAAGTACGTAGAAGAGACGCACAAGTGTTTTAAACAAACTTACATAATTTTGAGATAACGTAACGAGCGCTCGTACTTGTTTATATAAGTGAATATTTATAATTACAATAAAACAAGTATATTTTTTTTAAGTACAAAAATCTTTGAAATCGCTGTTAACCTAGTCACTATTCACCATATAATAGGTTAGCAATATAAATAATAGAATCAAAAGTGAGTACCTACTAGGCACGCAGAAGTGACGTACACGTCTATATTTAAACAAGTTTAAGTAATTCTAAAATAATTTAACATTTAATTAGCGCTTTTATAATTTATTGTAGCATCGATTCTATTTTTGTATAGCAAAAGAGATGCGATTATATAAAGACATTTTTAAATTTTTATTCACATTCACGTTCTTGTAATTTTCCTGCACGACCATTGTATAATTATATCTAAAACTAAATGAACAGTCAAATGCAAAAATGAATTATTCAAATCCGACTAGTAGATACAGAAATAATTGCGTTCAAACAAATAAATTGCGCTTTATTGTCTCAGTACGAATATAGATTAATTGAAGTTGTAATAAAGTCCAATTTCTATTGTAGAGTATATAATCTACTAGTACATGTCACATGTTTCTGTCGCCTTGGTTGTCACAGAGAACGCGAGCGGATGCTTCAACGCGAAGAGTTATGGCAACAGATAGAAGACCGCGCGGCTACCAACCCCGCGTACCGGACACTAGTCTCGCCCGCCCCCGCGGCCTCACCCGCCCCTGCTTCATTATTAACAGACGATGGGACTCCACTGGCCCCCGGGGCTACGCCAGATCTCTCTTATCAAAGGCTCGAACAGGAATCGCAAGAAGTAAGTAAAAACATGGCTGTCTCAATACTGGTTATGACTGTACTGTTTTTAATGTGATTAAAATGTAATGGTGACTGAATACTGGCAGAGTACCAGTGAGGGATGATAGGTGAGGATGAAATTAGGTCTGTCGGCCTATTGTAAATATTTTACCAGGAACTAACCATAACAATTTCCAAGAAGAACCGCGTGGAGGTTGTCCTGATATACGAGGTCTGTCCGGAAAGTTCGTATAAAAGTGTTCTGGAATGCGAGAAAGAGGAGTGGGGAGGCCAGGTAAGCGCAGGACCCCTTCCTTATGTCCCTAACAATGCTTCAGTTCTGGTCTGACCACCGTGCGGTGCGAACTGGCTTGTCACGCCATCTGTGAAGTTACCTCTTAACGAAACCCCGTCGGCATGGAGCCCGCTTCCGTTGAAGAGCAGCGCGTCGTAATCAAGTTTCTCTCGAAACTCGGCAAGAATGGCCGTGAAATTTTTGCCGATCTAATTCGATAAGACATACGGGGAACCACGAACAAAAAAATCAAGAAAATCCCGCTCAAATGTCAAGACAATGTTGATTGTTTTTTTCGATGTTCGGGGGATTGTCCATCAAGAATTCGTCCCTCCAGGCCAGACAGTTGATGGAAAATTCTACGTCGATGTGCTCAGACGCCTCAAAGCTCGTGTGGCACGAGTTCGTCCAGAATTGGCGCGAGAGGGGCGTTGGATTCTTCACCACGACAATGCCCCTGCCCACACCTCTCTTGTTGTCCGTGAGTTTTTGAGTAAAAATTCCATTACGGTGACCGAACACCCCCCTATTCGCCGGATTTGGCCCCGTGTGACTTCTTCTTGTTCCCAAAAACCAAATTGGTACTTCGGGGGCGGCATTTGGGGGACATAAATGAGATAAAAAAAGCTACGACGGGGCAGCTGAGAAACCTACAACCAGAGGACTTTCAAGGAGCCTTCTCACAGTGGAAACGGCGTTGGCACAAGTGCATTATGTCACAGGGGGAGTACTTTGAAGGGGATAAAATTGATTTACCTGAATAATTGTAAAATAAAATTTTTAAAAAACTTTTATACGTACTTTCCGGACAAACCTCGTATATTGATTGTACGGAATCGCCACTCGAGAACCTTTCTTGTTCAGACATCGGAATCAATGTTTGTTATTATAACATGGGCGCGGAGGGGAAAGGAATTGTTAGTAATGGAGACTGAGAATCCCATTGCTAGCAATATACCATTCTAGCAATATGCCAGGTCAACCTCCTCGCGGTTCTCCCTGGAAACTATCATGGTTAAATCCTGATGAATTCATCATGATAGGCTAACTGGCCTGTTTTCATTCTCATCTATCACCCTTCACTGTTACCATTTCATTATCATCCATTAAAAAAGCCCTCTCGACGCATTAATCCACTCGTCATGAAATTTAAGATGGAGTAGAACATAAAAAAAAAAATCCCAGTTAAACTTACTGAAACATAATAATAACATTTGTACCCAGGCGCGAAAACAAGGTTACAACGCGAACAAACCGCTGCTACGCAAGAAGTCGGAACTGCCAGCGGACTCGACAACCGTGAAGGCGCTGATCGAGCACAAGCGCGCCGACCCGTTCCTGCCCACGCCGCCCGACGTCAACCAGTGCTAGCGTGGCGTGCCTCGCACAAGGGAACACTTGTTAGTATTTTGTCGAACTATGCAATCATGAAATACCTCGGGTGACCCTCGTGATCGGATATGCGAAACTCGCCGTACGGTCGTGGCAGTGATGTCGAAATTTCCAGAACGTTCCATTAAAAAGAAATCGCTCCGACTTCTCTACAGTGGATTAGGATTCGAGAACATTGCGTGCAAGCGAAAGGACGCTACTGTGGCGCGTGAGACACGTTGTGGTCTATATAAAATAAATAGTTAGTACACATTATTATATTATAAAATTGGTAGTGTTTTGTTGTTTTCTATACACCAGCAGATCGACTGCGCGGGACGCATAAAAGCTGATCACTTCGATTTGGTGGAACTCCGATTTGTCTTGCTCTTAACAAAGGAGATAGAAAGAGACGACCTATACAAAAGCAACGCTGAAGACTGTGTTTTTATTTGTCCGTATGCATTTAGTTTAATAGTCTAGAATATTCTATCTCTTTACACCTTCTGATACGAACAAGACATTAACGTAGTTCGACCAAGGGAGTGGTCATAACAAATGTCAAATTTAAAGTGTATTCGATTTTGTTTATAAGCTGTTAAGGTTTAGAATAAGAAGTTACTGATCGAGAATTGGACACAGCCTCTGTTTGACAGTCGATCGCTCAGGTCTATGCCGCACTGGGTAGACAATGCTGTTGATTTTATAATGTTAAAATAATAAAGCTTATGCAATTATTGTACAAGATTGTATTTCGTTTGTATGTTTTATTAGACTCACGTCCGCTACAGGAAATTTTAACAAAATAGAGTAATTAATGTTAAAATAATAAAATTAATGATTTTTTTATATATGCAAGCCAATTAAATTCGAAATTATATACGAATATATGAATTGAATTATAGAGATTTTAGAATACTGCTGAAATAATGATATATATATATATATATATGGCATACCCACTTCAATTTTGTCTGTTGCTCATACTTGTGATGCGAGTAGACGTATTAATTATACTCAAAAACATGTTTGGTACTAAATAATGTACCTGTTTTAAGGGAAATAAATTTACAAATGGTACGCCTCATTTGTTATCATTACTGAGGCTTGAGTTATGCCATCGCATCCTGCAATATCTGTGCGCTGCCATATCGCACCTTTCAAACTAAAATAAGCAATCAAGCACAATTACTTGGTTGGAATGTATGCGAGAACATTGTACAATTAAACGAACTTACCTGAAGTGAAGTTCTATTGAAATTTTACGAGATGCTTAGTCCGAGACACTCTTCATATATTCACTTGTAGTTTCAACAATCTCCGCATTGTGTCTTCGTGTTATTTAGAGAATAGCGAATGCTTCCATTAAAAAGTAAAAAACAAAGCACTGGCAAGTCCACAAATGTCACTACTCATTATTTTTAGAACGTCCTGAAAAAACTTTGCGTCTGTCTACAACTCTCAACTTCAGAAAAGAAGGGTTGAACAATAAAAAATTGTACAGGCTGGATGGGCGCTTAGTGTTTCGGACTAAGCATCTCGTACAATTTCAATAGAACTTCACTTCAGGTGAGTTCGTTTAATTGTACAATTATACGAGATGCTTAGTCCGAGACACTCTTCATATATTCACTTGTAGATATTTAGAGGTTGGGAGTTGTAGCAAGGCTTATAGGCTAGCAGTAACAAAAAACTCACTATTAATTCACACAAATAACATATATTTTCTTCACAAATTAAATACTTAATACGAAGAAAACAGTACTTATTCAATATTCTCTTAAAACAGTCAACATAAAGAGAATGCCTAAACAGACTATATTACACACAGCCTCAGCAAACATGTAATCAGTGTTAGTTTGAAGAGATCTATTATAATAATTCGCAAATACCTTCGAACCTATAGGAAACAATAAAGAGTATCTATCTATAACCTATAGACCAACCTGCAGTCTTACAAATAGTATCTAGAGTTACACCTTCTCTAAACGCTGAGGAAGTAGAGGCATGCCGTGTGAAATGGGGGGTAAATTTTTTTATATCCACACCACTATCCGACATTACTTGTCTTATCCATCGACTTATTGTTTGATTATCGACATAATTATGAGGGTTTTTTTTTTTTTATAAGAAATCAACAGTTTATCTTTGGAATCTATATTCCTCAAGTTTTGGAGCTTTTCAACGTAACACTTTAATGTTAGAGCTGGACAAATTTCGGGTTTAGTGTGAAAAAATGGAAGTGAAAGACTGGCTTGGTGTTTTCCTGGAGCAGAAGTTTTTAACAAATTTGTTATTTTAATCTTAACCCCTTTATCATCAAACTCTATATTATTTAATCTAATTACAGATAATGTCTGTATGCGTTGTGCACTTGTTAGAGCTAATAAGATGTCTAATTTCTTTGTCAGTTTTTCTAGCTGTAACTCTTCATTGGGAAACCAGTTGCAAATATAGTTTAAAATTATTGTAGGGTCCCATGTGTCATTGTATTTCGGTCTATAAGGCTTAAAACGGAAAATATCTTTAAAGAACCGTCTGATAAGGTTGTCTGTGCCTAAGCTTGGCTATAATAGTGACAGTGCTGAACGAAAAGTATTCAAAGTGCTATAAGAGGCCCCTTGTTCAAAAATTTCACTAAGGAATTTAAGTATCTTGGGGATGGATAACTCGTACACATTTTTCCCATTGCAATAAACCCACCATTTTTTAAGTGCTACTATGTACGAACTACTGCTTAACGGTGTTATCTGATCAAGAAGATATAACCTTGATAGCCTCCTCCGGTATTAATCTCTTCCTAAACACTTCCCTGATAAGATGCAGGCTCCCAGGGAAAGGCTGCTGTGCAAGGGATACAGATCTCTGAAAGGTGATATCAGTAAATATTTACGAGGGTGAAATATTATGATTTGAGATACAGCCATATCATTAATAAGAGGATACCGAGGTTGAGACGTCAACATAGGAAAAACCAAAATACCGGTTGCTTTATAATATTAAATTTTTTGAATAGTTTTCAGGATTAAAGAAAAGGGTGGAAATGTATAAAACAATGTATAATTTGACCAGTCGACTGTTAATGCATTAATATTTACTGCATATGGGTCTCTGTGCCAGGAAATATATTTAGAACATTTAGTATTGGCTCTGGTTGCAATAAGATCAATAGATGGATTCCCTAATAATCTAGTATTTTTTTAAAGGCTTTATTGCATAGCTCCCATTCAGAATCTATATTCTGTACCCTCGAATTAAAATAAGCTTCTATATTTTCCTTAGATTTGATATATGATGCAAACAACCAAATATTTTATTTGACAGTACAAAGACCAAATGGCATACAGTTGAACTCATACAATATACTCTGAAATTCAAATCTAAGAAACTTTTTATCTTTACCAATTGAGATTAAAAAATATGCATCTTTCAAATCTATAGTGCACATATAATTATTTTTATGAATTAAACTACATAAAGTTCTCATATCTTCTATCTTAAAATGCTCAGATAAGATGAACTTATTCAATATTTTTAAATTTAAAATGAATCTAATTTTGCCATTTAGTTTTGATACTGAAAATATTTTTGATATAAACTGTCCCGGTTCATGTTTACATTTTGAAATGACATGTAATTTTAACAATCTTTCAATTTCCTCTGTTATACCTAAAATTTCTTTAGGCGAGAATTTAGAATGTTTTGGTATTATATGTTGAATAGGGGGTTCTAAGAACGGAATATCATATCCACTAATCCATGACAGTATAAGTCTATCTTGAGAACCCAGGAAGCTTCTACAATGGCCCAAATGAGAGACTAAGTGCGGAAAATAGAGTCTTTTTCACATTCACATTGAAGTCTATCTTGAGTTATTTTTTCCCAACAGGGAACAAAATACTTAAGGCGGCCAGCAAAAACTTTTACCTTCATGATTGGCGCACAGGCCTCCGTGCAGGGTGGTATGCTTTGGCTGCTGGACGCCGCTGCTGAAGTCTCACTGAGGTCCTCTGCTGATACCTCCCCTCCCCCCCTCCTTGTTTGTATTGACCTTGGCGAGGAGGGCCTTGATAGTTTCCCAAAAGCTGTATCCCATGACTTCGATTTTTGTTATTGGGCTTTTGAGTATTAATATTAGAAGGTTTCAAAATTGAAGCCGCAGATTTCTTAATGGCATTAGCCGATTTAACATTTTCATTGAATTTTTCTCCAAACAGGAAACTATACCGAATAGAACTATCAACGGACTTTACTATATTTTTGTCTAAATTGGCAGCAATAAGTTTTCTGCGTGTGACTGTATCTTCCCAATGCAAGTCACTTAACAATTTTGTCACATCGGTGAGAATGGTAATAGTGTTAATTTTATTAAAATTACCCTTTACTAAGGTGTCCATTATATAACTGATAGTAGCAAGGGCAGTACCCAACTGCTGTTGCCGTTCCTCTACTTTCTTGTCTCTTGCTTTTACAAGTTCTGTCAGGAGACCCTGGAGCTCCACATTTAACTTGGGAGCATCTAACAATTTACCATTTGCAGGTATTAAATATTTTTTAATAATCTCTTCTTTTATCTCTTTCTTCAAGCCACAGGTCAAAATATTTTCAAACCTTTTCATAATTTCTGGATGTATGTCTTCCCCATATACTTTATCAGTGTTAAAGGTGTTACCGAGAGCTGACAATATAGACTCATCCAATGTTGGAATAATGTTTTCATCTGTAATAAAAATATTTTCCTTAATTGGAAAACATGTTCTATAATTATGAAATGCTACCAGCATTACATAACACAGGCATTAAAATAAGGCCACCGAACTTATTTTATATAAAAAATAAAGAGAACTTCTCTTTATATAAATATAAGTACGTCACTCGACTGGAGTACGTATTGTATCAAGTACCACTAGTTACAAAGGGACCAAACATTACTGCGTACCTATGGCTGAAAATAAAGAATTCAGATAAAACATACCTTGATTTTGTTCTGCTATAAGTGAATCCACTACAGTTAGATCTGCACAATCATCGGTTTCAACCTCCACCGACTCCACCGGTGGTTCTGGTGACGTCGTAGAAAAACGTGATTTACGACGTTTTTTATTCAGATTTCTCTTTAATTTCGTAATTTTACGTTCAATTCTATCCTCATCATCACGATCTCTACGCCTTGTAGGCATAATAATAACTTTTAATTAGTAAAAAACTTAAATTTTCAATATTTATTTGAAAAAGATTGACACTATTTTCACACAACGTGAAAATAATGAATGAGTGACATCTGTGAAGTTGCCAGTGCCTTGTTTTTTACTTTTTAATGTAAGCATTCGCTATTATCTAAATAACACGAAGACACAATGCGGAGATTGTTGAAACTACAAGTGAATATATGAAGAGTGTCTCGGACTAAGCATCTCGTATAATTCTGTTGTATACAGCGCTTTACTACTAACTTTGATTATATAGATAGAGCATCGAGCTTCCAAATTTGGTCAACTTTTTGTCAGCTAATTGTCAAATTAGATTACTCTTTTTTTAATCAGTGTTCTATATACTTACGTACATCGTACATATGTATATACATTGGATATATCTATGTAGATATATCCAATGTATCTTGACGTACTATTTAATAAATAAAATGAATGTTTACACATTAAAAGATGCAGAAATTATAAGATAAAATAAATATAGAAGTTGTAAAGTAATCACTCTTAACTATTTATCACGCAAAATTGTATGAAAAAGTTGACTCGTTTTTCTCGAGACATTTCTATGGAGGCATTCTATCTTAAATGTCTTTAACACTAAACTTAAATGTTTTTTAATGAAATTATTCATTTAAATTTAAGAAAGATCAATAATAATTAATGAATCAATTGACAAAAAATTATTAAATTAACAAAATATTGTTTACCTATTTGTGAACTCTTAATTAAATTAAATTATTTCATTAAGAAGTACAAGTGTTTACTAAAAAGCTAATAACGCGAACTATAAATGTTTCCAATCGACATTATTGGCTACCCAGTCATGTATAGTTTTGAAAACGGTGCAAATGTATGACTGACATGTTATATTCTTAATAGCTGATGTGTACCGTCAGCTAGAACCACAAGCCAGGTTGCTTTTTAAAATTGTATAATTACTTAATTTTTTTATAAGTCACTGTCGTGCTTAAGAAAAAAAAAATCATAAAAATTTCATTATTTTTATCGCAACACACAGTTGTCTTTAATTGAATGAAAATGGTAAATCCCGACTGGACTATAGGTATAAACTCGTATAAACGGGAGGGAGGACAGATGAGAAAGAAAGCAAGACAGCCCATCGTGATCAATTCACCAGGAATTAAGGAACCGATGGTTTCCAAGGGAGTCGCGTGAAGGTCCACCTGATAAGGTTATATTGCTAGCAACGGGGTCATTAATCACCAATTGCCCTCTTTCCCTCTCAATTCAATTATATTGTATCTCAAAGATATAATGAGGCTATTAGCCTATTACTAAAAAGTAAACTTGTATAGGTCTATGTTTCGAGGTTTTTCTTTTATTTTTCTAACGCCAACGTATTCACGTTTTTGTACACCTAGCCTACTCTTATGACATCCCGGGGATGAAATGGATACCGTATCGATAGTTATGTTTTGTACCAGCTTCAAGAAGGAAGTGGCTCTCATTTTTTACATTTTGTTACACTTTGTATATGACACGCATTAAAATTTTACATTACAATAAATAATTTTTCTTAAGCACGACGATAATAAATAGGTATTCATTCCACTGCAACCACCTGAGAAAAAATATCAAATATATCATTTTATTATTTATATAGTTGTAATTATGTTTATACAAGAGCCATATGTTGGAACTTAGGTCATAATTTATTGTTTGTAAAAACCAAATATGCAATCTTTGTGGGTATATACACGTTTGATATAAGATTAAAGGTCTATCCATATCACAACCGACGGTGAACGGGCGTACGAGGCAAGTCTATTATAAAATAATTCTTAATATATTGAGTGTTTCATCGTTCATCTTGATCAGACCGCAGCCAGACGGAGGAAATGACGATACTGTCAAAGTACTGTATTTTTTATCAATATTAAACTTTGCTTAGTTGGCACTAGATGGCGTTAAATGCACTTTTTCGCCCGGCTGTTGTAATATGGGTAATCTCTATGATTTCATTGTCATAATCAAGTGAGTATAATAATATATTGCGTTACATACGTGTTTATTAATTGAGTTTATTTATTAGTTGTAAATTAACAGAATAGAAATTGACAATTTTTAATCTAATTAAACGTCACTTTCCTAATTTGATTTTGCATTTTTATTCTGAAGTAAATTAAAGGTATATATAATATATTATTACACAGTTTCTATAGTTGTGTTTTGATACTTTTTGTAATTTTAAATTAATAATAATTTTTATTTTTCTACAACTTTATGGGTACAATTGATCACTTAAGATGCCACAATGTATAGATATATATTTTTATTCTTCTTCTCTAACTATTACTCTTAACTCTCTTTTTCTCTCTCTGATCTCTGTTAGCAAGCCCTTGTAGTTTGATTTTAACATATCCTTAAGATATAATTTACATAAAAACGAATACAAAATCCGGGATTTTCGCGAAAGCTTTTTCTCGTATTAGCTTTATTTTGTTGTATTTTTCTTTAAAAAAGAAATAATTGTGACAAATGAAATCACTATGTCAAAGATAGATCTAAGTTATTTTAAGGGGAAACTGAATGGTTCGAGACTGACTCGTGTTACTGCAAAAGAGCTTATAAAAATTTAATTACATGTACAAGCGACACTTTATTATGGTGGTTTGTCCGCTCATGAAGCTCTGTGAGTAATATCTATATTATTAAATAAATAGTTGTATAAACGTCAAAAACACCATAATTCTATGCCGCCAGTGTGAGATACGATCTCTCCCATGAGAAAAGAATTGCAATAACGTTTTCTTAACTAACCGAGTCAGTTCCCGACTGTAAAGATCCATAGTTTTAACATTATTTAAAATATGCCTTTCTGCCTAAGATATGTAATGAAATATTTAATTATGGGCACTGTGGACTTTGCATCGTATTGGAAGCTTCGCTTAACAGCTGTTCTACGACTTCACATGCCATCGTGACAAACATTGCATTTATGTGTATAGAATTTTGTAGGATATTTTAAGAAAGCAATGGCTGTCTGTACATTCCATTGTCTATCAATTTTGGGTCATTAATAACAAGTCGAAGATTTTTCAGTTTTAACTTTTAAACCCTAGAATGATTTCTAATTTTTTTTTAATTTTCATGAAACCCAACATCTATGATATTAAGCTCGCGATTCACCCTGGCTTCACATGGGTAGATAGGTAGAAAAATAGATAAAATAACCCATATTACTCGCTGATGTTGTAGCTTTTTATAGATGACACAATTTTTAATATAAGTATTTTTTAAGTTTATCTGTTACAAAGAAGAAATCACATTTTTACTCTTTATAACCTAATATTCGTTTGGATAAAATTCATAGTGAACTCTTGTCTTCGTATCCATTCGTTCCATGTTATAAAGAAAGAAATGGCATTCTTAGAACCCGCACTAGGCACTCTTAAACTTCGGTTCTAAAATGCAATATACAGACAAATATTGATTTAAATGTGAGCTTCCTATCGCAAACACATAACTATTCATACTATTCATAAGCATGCAAACATAATGACAAAATATTCGTAATATCAATACCCTACTGAGTGCTAATTTGTCCACGAAATCTTTAGGTTCCCTATCTCTAGATCTTATATTTTTAAATAAAGAACATACTAAATGAATTAAAATTCTGTAGTCACGTTCTAAATTTTACGTTACTTTTTTTAAACTATACGCAGCAGCTTCGCAAAATTAAAGTCAATTTGTGACGTCAATTGGTACTGGCTGTTGAACGATGCATCTAATAAATATTTACTCCTAATTATGTTTATAGTATACCAAATGTATTTATGTTTGCGCGTGAATGAAATGTAAAGAAATTACCAGGAATTTTACTTAGTAAATGTTTGACTCTTGTAAAAACAAAGAGCTTCGAATTCAGTTGCTGGTGATGATCGAATAATTAATTATATTAAATAATTCTTGAACAAAGACGACATTTTAGATTAGAGCACCTGCTTCACCCCTCACATATACGAGTAGATCTTGCATAAAACAAAATTATATTTAAAACGTACAATTAAAGAGTTAAAAAAAATCGTTTTGTGCTAACTTACTGAACATTGTTTGTCACAGCAAATATCAACTGACGTAAATTTAAAAAGGTCGATACCATATTACACTAAACCTTTCGCTAGAAATACGTACATAAAATATCTAAACATATCTATACATTTCGCACCCAAAACAGTAGGCTTAAAAACTCCACTTTACCCATGTCATAATAAGATTTGTTCTGAATAATCCGTCGAGTTTAATTAGCATCTCGCACGGAAGGCGTATTTATAAACGGACTAGTATATTTACATTGGCGGGATGTAAAAAGTAAATCTTTCTATGATTCGTGTGGAACGGAGTTTTTAACTTCCCAGGATACATACGACCCCTGAACTAGTGGCAAGCGAATATCGGTAGACGCGTTCCTTTAAAGAATATTGCGTGTTTATTTTCCATAACTACATTGTTTTGTGTAAAACTAAAAATGTAAGACTTCAAGCTATTTCTATGCCAAATTTCATCCAAATAAGTGTAGCAGTTTAACTTTAATAACAACGTATCAAACTTTGTACAATAAACTTTTTTATACAACTTAGTACGGGTACTAATTTCCATTAGGCGAGATTGACGGTTCACCTATTGGAAATTAATAACCGTCAGGCAATCGTGATCAGAGGGCCTACCATGAAATGTTTTCCGAAATTTCGGAGCCGAACGAAACACAAATTTGATGTTAAAATTACATAATACTTACCGTTTAAAAACATTAAAAATATTATTCTTTTGGACTTTTATGATAGGATTTATGACGAACGAAATGTTAAGCTCCATTTACTGGGCCGTATTAGGTATAAACGAAAACACGAAAGTGAGTCCGAAACTTCGGAATTTCATTTCATGGTAGGGCCCCAGTACCGTAGTCATCACTGGATTAACTATAACACGCTCACGCTCCCCTCCCGTACCCAGTAATTTCACTACGCTCATATTAATAATCATTATACGGACATTAATTACTCGCTGGTTCAATTCGTGCTATCCTTGCTTACATAAGATACTTGTGCAACTGAAAAAAAGGGACAGCATGATTTAATAGTTCAGAAATAAATAGACATAAAAGGCTAACCTTAATAAACAATATTGTAGGCATCGCATATGTTGTTTCAAGTTGAATCAGAAACCTGTTAACTATTTTAATATAGAAAATAAATACTACTGGACACTAGGTTTTGTATTAAAACTGCCATTTATTACCAGACATCACTGATAATTATAAAAAAAAAACTAAGATTTTAAAGTACATTTCATGCATACTTACATATTTCATACTTCATATTGAATGTGGCTTAGCTACGCTATTTGTGATGGTATATGGATCTATAAAAAAAATAATGTAGGTTTTGGTACAATACTAAAATAAAAAGTATAAATAACTAACTTTTATACTACTACTCCTCCCTTATAAAAAATTAAAACCTACGAATCTTTTATAATTATTACAGTATTTTGTCACTTTTCTTCGAACTGAGAATTTAGTACAAAAAAAAAAGAAACAGTTCAATAGCTAAAATAGGTTTATAAGAGATTTGACGTTTTTATGAATAAGAGGGTAAATCTGAAGTGTCTTATTGCATTAAATCTGTTTTACACGCATATATTATTATTAATATCACTCTTGTATCAATAAAATTTGTTTGACAATAATTTTGCTATTTCTTTTTGTGTAGAAGGGATAAGTTTTAAGAGTAATTCTAAAATCCATTAATTACCCTATTCATGAAAACATTTACTGTATACCTGTTCAAAAAAAAATTATAGTAAGACTTTTTTAAATATGTAAATTCTTTAAGGTGGTCACTAAACAAAATTAGACTACAAATACTAGATGGCGCTGGAATCGAGAATTGTGGTTTTCGTTGATTATTTTGTAATCAAAGATAATTTAAAGTAAAATTTTTAAATTGGCAAGTGTTTTTTTATTATTATGTGAATAAACTTACTCGCAAATTTAGAAATTTTGTTTTATATTGTTTGTAAATGCAATATAATCAACAAAAACCACACGTCTCGATTCCAGCGCCATCTAGTATTTCTTGTCTAATTTTATTTAGTGACCAACCACCTTAATATAAGTAATTTTAATAAGATACGAGATAATACCAATGTGTAATTAAGGTCTAAATACCAATGATGTCTGGTAATACACACACCAAGTGACTGTTCTACGGCACGCAAAAATAATGATTGTGATGAACGATAAATATTTGATAGGGCTTAACAATAATGGTAAACTTCTTAAATTTATATCATGCATCAACACCAATTTTAAACGTACTTATAACTTGTATATTGATACGCGATACGCTTCTGGCGAGTAAACTTGTATTTTTATAAAATTCGTAAACAGTCACTTGCTACCGTTACATCTTACCAACGTTTCAATGTACTGCCCTCAAATTAGCGAATTATTTGCAAAGCTGTTCAACAAATTGATAAATTTTGTATAAATATTTATAACGATAATATAACTGTTGAAAACAAATATTGTAACAGAGGACATATTGTAAGGTGCTTATGATTATCGTTATAATACAAAGTTGTGCATATAAAGTGTTTTTATTTATAACTAACATTTGCCCGCAACTTTTAATAATGACTACATTTAAATCATCAATAGAGTACCTTTCCTGCACTAGATTATCCACCAATTAATGATTTTCTCTCTAACTACACTGGGTTGGCTGGAAGAGTATCTAATCTTATATCTAATGTAATATCTTTTAGCGATAAGCCCTTTCTAACAAATTGTTAAATTAATCGCTGTATCTTTTGTTCAAGTGCAATAAAGAATATATATAAAAAACGCGCCAGATTTTAAGCTAGCATATCAGGAATACTACTGTGAAAACTACATCTAGTTTGGTGCATTCATTTAAATCTCTCCTATTGTTGATTCTTAAATATCAATAATTCTCTACTCCAAAGCAATATTAATATTAATATATCAGCCGTTAACTGTCCACTGCTGGACTTAAAGAGTTTTGCCAGTAGTTGCCACGCTTGGCAGGCGGGTTGGCAACCGCAGTTAGGCTTTTAAAGATGTTTTACGGTACGTTAAAGGGACGATGCTGCCTATCCCTCGCCCTCCCTTAGTCGCCTCCAACGACATTCACGGGAAAGAATGGAATGGCCCATTTTATACGGTGAAGCGTCTAATTACAGTAATCCCATCTAATTACAGTTATATTTATAATATGATGCGCCACATCTTCATGGTTTATGGTTATTTTGTTGCCATTAAAACAAAATGTAGTGCGTTAACAGAAATCTGGCAACACATGCTACGACTGGTTTCTAGACAAATGGTAAACCATTCCATCGATGGAAAGAATATCGTTAGCTATTTTATGAGGTAGAGTGAGATAGAAAAATCCGTTCGATGTTTCATTCTATCTCATGGACTCATATTCATTCTTCCTCTGTTGTGAAAATTCTGGGCCAATTTACATGAAAAGGTTTGTTGGAAGAAATTTCTTATTAGAGATAAGCTCGCCTTTGTACATCATGTTTAAAATGAATTGTGGTTAACATTATATTTTGCGTACAATAAAGAATAGATACCAAATACTGTTCAAATCGCCTCAGTATTTCGCACGATTAATAGACATCGGTTTAAATTTCATTAAAAATGTCTCGACCTCGAGACTGTTGGAAAGATTAAACCGATTTTAAACAATCCACAAACATATAATTTTCAAACATATAATTTTGTTTATACATTTTGGGAGTTAGAATATCACAAACGTGCACAAATTTCAAATCCCTTCAAATTTAAGTTACATCGAGGTTAAAAACTTAACCTTTTAATCAGATTTATTTGATAAACATTGTCATGCCAATACTGTGTGCGAACCTATATTTTTTATGTGTATAACCTAATAATTCCGTCAATTGTAAATCAATTTGAATCATTTATACCTACAGATTGGTCCCATAGAAATTTTATCAAAATTGGCTCAATACTTTAGTTTTTAAACTAAAATAATCGGTTATGTCACAATTCAAGTCGGTTATTTGTGGATCTTATTTTTCCCTTTATTTAGTTACCTTCATAACAAATTAATAAAGTATAGACAATAAAGAAGAAAGTTTACAATGTTTTTAAAAATTAATTCATAATCAGAAATAATTAAAGATACAACTTTAATATTACCGATTTGAATCCAGCGCCAGGAGCACAACAACCGCTATAAGACAACGAGGTCAAAAGGTAAAAGATATTTCAGTGGTTTAAAAAAAAAAAAAACAACTATAATTATAGTTTAGAATGTATTTATTTGTGTCACTTTAAGATGCATTTTATGTATGTTCAATTGTTTAATAAATACTTGTAACAATTCACTGAATTTAATTCTCCGAATCTATTACCAATAAGGTATAAAAGTAACCCTTGAATATACAATAACAATGTATTTACATATTTTTAACGTTATTTATTTAGCAATACGCAAATAATACATGATAAAGACTCGGGCATTACTTTTTATACAGTTTTATAACACAGCCGATTCAGACCAAATGAATAGTCATAAATTTTATACATTTTACAATTTGATATTAAAAAGCTTCTAAAATAATACATTTTTGACATTTTTAGCCTTTTGACTGATTGTAAATAATATTTAGGCTCAGAACACATGGTACGGTTTCTATCATGCCTATCGCAGTGACAGGATGCCCGCAAACTTGACTGAGATATATTTAGCCTATTTTAAGTCATATAATGATCGCTTAGTATATTACAGTATGGAATATTGTTCTCATATACAATTATTGAAACGCACGTTTTTTTTCGTATTTACATATATTATATTAAAAAAGGAAAACAAAAAATAATATCAAATAAGACTTATGTCTTTGTATTGCCACTTAGATTTTTATATAAATAAATTGATGTTCAGAAAAACCAGCGCCATGTCGAGTGATTTTGTAAAAATCTTTGGTGTCCACTGTGTGGTACAAAATGAGTCTCAATTACTGAACATATCTGAGTCCGCAAATAAAACGTACAACGAGTACTTAAAACAGAATTTATTAATTAAAATGTGTGTGTTAATCTCTAGAACTAGTGAATTGATGTTTAAAATAGATTTTGTAATAAAAACTACACTATCCTTGTCTGCGATATTACATTATCAAATTTATACATAAAATGACACGCTGACAGCCTATATGAAGTGGTAACCATCACCTATAGGAAGGGGCTGGGGGACTGTTAGTAATGCGAACTACCAGTCCTATTGCTAGCAATATACTCTGTCACGTCGATCTCCACGTGATCCCCTCTGGACCAGCCTTATCATTCTCACCTATCATACTTCACTGCTGCCCCGCCAGTGTATACCGTTAGCGCAGCGGGGCTACCATTCCATTATCATCTGTTAAAAAAAAAACCGTCACCTATAGACATGAACTACACCATGGACGTATCAAAATATACTGTGATGCCCACGGTGCCTTCATGCATTGCCATTTTTAGATACAGTAACAAAATTGAAATAAATTATAATGTAAAACTTTGATATTAAACGTGCATCGACAGAGAGCTTCATAAGTTGGTAATGATCTAAATATGATCTATTTGATAGTGTAATACGCCCCTAACTGAGACTACATTCTATCTTGACTTCCAGATAGACGAAATTGCGGACATTGCCAGCAGCAAATATATGCGTTTTATTTTTTCAAATTGGAAAATATATAATAAAATCCATAATAAAAATTCCACAATAATTCGTTTTGAAAATTATAAAACTTGCAACATTGCGTACAATTTTTATCCTTACACTAAGCGAATAACAAGTGATAATTATTAATTTTTTTTTATTTATTTTTTTACATTTATACATTTCCCACTAACAAATATTAGCTCGATTGTACTAATATTGGACATAATTTTGTGGTTATAATTCATATTTTGTAGAAAATAAGGACACTCGTGTGTTTTTATTTTATCGTACACAAGTTACAGTATTCTTCAATATGACTTCAATTTATACAACATCAAAATAGAGTACAATAACATGAAATAAACATTATTGTATACATGAGCCTACTCAGTGGAGGGGGGTGGGGGGGTTTAGCTATTCCTCCTCTCTGAAAACTGTCTTACAATATACATTAAGCGTTGATATTTGAATAAACCGCGCAGACAAATCTGACACCCCTCCTCTCCCACCCCCCACCCCCCGCCAGAAATTGAGTACGTCCATGATCGTGTCATAAATAAACATATGGAATGCCGTAATCATTAATGTTTACTTGACATTTCGTGTCACAGACGCAAATGTCTTGAGGCTTGCGCGAAATATGGACATTTTATCAGAGGACAAATGTTCCCTTTATGTAAGACTAACTTTTACCTGCGACTTCGTTTGCGTGACCGGGATAAAAAGTAGGCTACGTCCTTCTCTATCCCATATAGTACGTGTATACCAAATTTCATAGTGATTGGTTAAGGTGTTAAAACGCCAAGAGTTTTATCATGATACCCCATATAGAAATGGCCTATTTAATCGATTTTCCTACTTCTGAAATCCACGTGTACGAAGTAATGGGCAAAATGTTAGTTTATAGTATAAAAATATATAACAAAAATTTTTGTGTTTAATATCATATCACCAGTAATTAGCCACATAATTAATAGAAGCATAGAAACAAGTGTATTTCCCAGCAAACCAAAAGTCTCTGTAATCAAACCGATATTTAAAAAAATTATAGAGAAAAAAATCCAATTCTATAGACCTATTAAAAAAAAATATATTACTTGTATTAGACAAGTAATAACAAAAAAATTTTAAACAGTTATCTACAAGTCTATGTATGATTTCTTTGAGAAAATAAAGTTCTTACAGATGAACAATTTGGATTTAGAAAGGGAAATTCAATAAATTTAGCCATCCATGAATTTTTAGAAAAAATTATGAGTGATCTAGATAAAGAATACAACTGCTTTATTTATGGACATGATTAGAGCTTTCAACCATGTAGATCATGATATCCTCGTTAAAACATTAGAGATATATGGGATCAGAGGAAATGTTCATAAACTTGTAAAAACATATTTACAAAGCAGAAAACAAATTACAGAAATAACTAGAATAGACTGATAATACTATGAATGAATAGACTGATGAATAAAACAATAACACTGAAACGAAATATCAATATGAACAAAGAACTGTAAATATGGGGTACCTCAAGGAAGCATTATTATTATTATTTCTAATTTATATTAACGATCTGCCTAAAGCTATTACTGATCCAATGATCCTATATACTGACTACAGCACAGAAATTTCTACTAATGACGATTCCAAACTTTACGAAGAAGATATAAATAACTCATTAAAAGACAGTCTCCTGACTAGAAGCTAACAATCTAAAGATGAACATAGATAAAACTAACTTTACGACATTTAAAAACAAAAAAATTCTGAATAATATAAATATTAATAATATGGGGAAGAAAATTAAGGAAACTAATTGTATTAACCTTTTAGGTATCCATATTGACTCTGATATGATTTGGACAACAGATTGATCACGTATGTACAAAAGTAAATCAGTACTCCTATGCACTTTACATGTTACGAAAAGTCGCTAAACAATTTGCACTTCTGAGTGCTTATCATGCGTTTGCTGGCTCAACACTTAAGTATGGAATTCTCTATTGGGGAAATACCTCAGAGAGAGAAAAAGCTTTTCAAAAGTCAAAGAAATGTTTTCGTTCCATATGTGGAATACATGAAACAGAGTTGTGCAAGCGATAAGATTTTTAAGAAATTAAAAATCTTGAAATTACCTTCACTTTGTATCTATGAAGCTGCAATTTTAATTAAATCTAATATCACAGATTATGAAAAAAAAAGCAAAAATCATATTATTCGAGTCACAAAGTGTAACACAACAGTATACAATAATAGCATTGGTAAATATAATCTCATCATTTGTATATGCATTAAACATTTCCGAACGCAATATCCTTCTACCCTCCTGGGATAATCTGGGATCACATTGGGGGGTGGATGGACAAAATCAGTCTATAATCCAACTGCGTGTCGAGCTGATCAAGTTCCGCCAAGATCACGAAAAATCTCCACTAGTTGCGAATTATTCAATCAGCCGCGATCTCCGCGCAACATACAGTGATACTTAAGCAAATCAACAAAAGTGTAGGATAATTTGAAGAGAGAACGAGAACGCGTACAAAAGACCTACACGCGGGGACTAAGTGACCCAGGTTTATCCTTTACCCTTTTTTTTATCCAACAAGCATAGTCTGAAAGTATATAAGAAATTACCCCAATATATAAAAGACATTAATCATTTGCATCTATTTAAGAAGGAACTAAAGAAGATACTAATTGACAAAGCATACTACACTCTAAATTAATATATGACAGATAGTTTTAAAAATTAAACAAACGATAAATGACTGCGTTGTATTGCCATGAGACAAGAGACAAGACAAATTTTGATGTAATAATTGTTTTCTTTTTTGTTCTATAATCTATTATAATTAAGACATTGTGATATATTATACTATAATAATGGAACTTTACTAATATTTATAGTAAAAGAAGATTTGCACGCCATTTATGGTAAAATATGGGGGGGGGGGGCGGTAATAACCTAATAATGTACCATCTGTAATACCCATATTTGAGCGAATAAATTATTATTATTAACATATTCTTGTAGCATATAGTAAATACCTATGTATAATGTAGTAATACCTAATATAAAGTTACCTTTTACCATAGTAATAATAATAGTTCCTCATAAGGAATAAATATATAAGTCGAGGATTGACCACTGTTGGCGCAACCCTTTGTGGTAAATATTTAACGCACACAATTGTAGGTTTTAGAACTCTAACAGGTATTACGGTTTGAAAGGAACAGTTCTGAGCTGTTATTTTTTTAAAACTGTTATGTCTGGTTGTTACGATATATCGTCATAGTCGTAGAATACTGACGGATCTGACGAAGATTACATATATAGATCCGTCAGTATTCTACGACTATGACGATATATGTCTCACCTCTAGTACTGACTACTTTGCATTTGACGTCATAATATAGTTATATTCTCTGTCGTGCATACGTGTGAGAAATTATGTGTTCAAGAGAACAAGACAAGAAGTTCATTGTACTTACAAGAGTAAGTACAATGAACTGAGTGTAACCACAACGAAGACAAATATTTTAAAATACACGTTCAAGTCTTAACGCGACCTAATTGCAGGTAATTAATACCTGAATACCTGATTTTTATCGCCAACGTTTCGACATGGATGGCGGAAATTTAAAATTAACTCTAACTTAATTTTTTAATTTCCTTTATACCATATACAACATTGTAGCTTATTTAATGCTGTTTAGAATGGTTACACTTATATCTAAGCATTAATAACAGTCGTAACAAGTAAATATAACATATAGGTCTGAGTGTAAAATAAAATAAATTGCTATTAATTGGAAGAAATCGATTTCCCCCTACAGATTTTTAAGTTTTTGAGTATCCTTTTAGTATTAGATCTTTTCGGGTAGGGTAACGTTGCACAAGTAGTGCGAGTAAGGAATTTTGCACAGATTCGACTTAAGCAGCAGGGTCTTCTAAGTTTAAAACTAAAGGCAAAAAGTTGTACCGTTTGAGTATGTTAACAAAGAAAAAAAAGAAAGTAAAGATCTGATTCATGCCACAAAAAGTTTACATGTGAGTGAAAAAAAATTATTGAAAACTACAGTTTTCAATAATTTTTTTCAAAATAAAAACAATTACTTTTGAATTATTTTCTGCTTCCAGGAGGGACCCCGTAGGGGTCGACCTGGTTCGGTATATTGCTAGCAATGGTGCCCTTAGATTTCATTCCTAACAATTCCTCCACATAAATAGAATAGAATAGAATAGAAATCATTTATTCAAATAAACTTACATTGAAGCACTTTTGAAAAGTCATTACATTTTTTTTAATTTACCGCTCGTTCGGAAAGCTGTCTCATCACAAGAAGAACGAGCAAGAAACTTGCGTGATGCTCTTTTAAATAATTTTATTATTATTTTACATTTTTAAGTTTAATTGTGTGAATACAAACCACCAATTAGCACTAATTCAATTAAATACTCAAAAAGAAAAAAATATTGAATACATAACCAACTGGTTAAACAATTAATAAGAGGAAATCAGTCATAGTGATTAGAGCAGACCAGTCCCTACAAGCAGCACCCGTTCACGAGTATGACGGATGAGCCAGCCATCACTGCGCTCGAATAAATAAATAAATACACACACACATATATATACCCATAACATATAGACACAACACTAATATACATATATAACACTTCTAATATACACATAAAATTCTGATAGGAACGAAGGAGGCCTAAGTGATTGTAAGGATAGGAAGTGAGATTTAACAAAGTTTTTAAAAATAGCCAAGGACTGTATACTGACGTCAATTATAATATGTGAGATGTTTTCACGTCACAATCTAGTATAAAATCATTTTGTAATTTTAAATAGTCATTAGCGTATTTAAACTTATTTTTCTGGTGATTTTTTATAGGTGAAAATGGAACTCCGCCTACGCTATTTGTATACGCTGGCGGGGTACCTACCAGTGGAGTATATTGCTAGCAATGGGACAGTTAGGCGTCATTACTAACAATTACTTTTTCCCGGGTTGACCCCTTATTTACGCCTGTACAGATAGTAAAATGGATTGCGTAGACAAGGCACTCTATCTCTACAGAGAAATATGTTTTCTACTGTATTTGTATATATTTGTCTCGTATTTTCACGCTTTTAAATCGTACGAGAGAATCCTGGTTCTAAATTTAAGTTCAAGCATAACAAAAACCCTAGAATACATAGTCAATACACCTGTATTGTACAAGTAAACAGCATAAAAAGGTCCACTGATAAAATGTCCATCATCAGCGCAGACGTTAAAATAAAAAGTATAGATTGCAGTAAAAATATAATTAAAATATTACATTACTCTATGCATTACAGTGAGTTACCGGTATATATTTCTATGAGGACTACAGGATCAGTCTGGGTTACTTCTTCCTGGTGCTGAGCTGGTGCTTGAGAAGTTGGATCTCATCATGCTGCCGAGTCAGTTGCTCGTTGAGCCCGGCCACGTGTTCTGTCAACACTGACATCTGCTCCTCGTAATTATGTGACGTAGAATGCAGCTCTTCCTCCTGAATATATTACAGAAATAATTAGAATCAATTAATTTAAAATAGACAGAGACTTCATTTTATTACCCTAGAACCTAATGGGTACTTTTACTAATATAATAAAATTGTGACCACACGATGATAAAAAGAAGGTATTTAAGAAAAAACTTAATAAGGGTAATAGAAGCCAAAACAACAATTTTTAGATCTTTTGTCTATCTGTCACTATGTTTGTTTTAGCATTACGCAAAAATTTCTATAACAAATTGGATGCAGTTTTAACAGTTCCTGAAGGTCTAACTTAAAAACTTTACATTACTTAACTAAATCTATTATAAATTAATATAATGTAAAGTTTTTCGATTAAAAATCACTATCTCAATAGATACATTTGGCAATTGTGATGGGGGAGGGGGGGAATAGTACTTTCCAATGTTATTTACAAATAGATTCTATTGAACTGCTGATAAATTATATTTAGCACTATGTACAGTGTACATGGACATGGAGGAGAATGAAAAAGGATAAGCTGGACAGAAAAAGTAACCAATAAGGAAATCTTAAAAAGGGTGAATGAGAAAAAAACAATAATAAAAACAATAGATAATAAAGAGGCAAAATACTGGGCCACGAGCATAATAAAAGGAAAAAGAGAGGGGAAAAGAGGAAGGGAAGACCAATGAATAACTACATGGGACAGATATAGGAAACACTAGGTGTCATATCGTATAGGGAGGTCATAGATATGGCATGGTATAGAGCTGGCTGGAAGAAAATGCATGAATTAGTTGCACCGATAAGAAGAAACTCTTAAACGAAAAGAAGATGCAGTATACAACAGGCAGTACGACTCACCAGTCTACTGATTGTATTATGTTTCTCTTGTATCGTGTGTTGATCTGTTTGCTTATCACGTTCCATCTCCTCAAACCGTAGCCTCAATAATTCACACTGGAATAAAGAAATTGACAATATTTACTTAGAAAAGCAGATTTAGCCTAACAAAAAAAAAATAACTAATTTTAGAAAAAATTCATATGGGACTAACGTAAAGGTACATCTTATCGTTTACAAAACAATTCTTAAATTCGGTTAATATTTGATGAAGGTATACACTTATACAATAATTTTAGATTGTTCTACAAAACAAAAACTGACTTCAATTGTAACAAAACCAGTTATTTTGATTTAAAAACAAAACTACTGGACCGAATTTGATAAAATATGTATGGCACCGAAGTATATTCCTTTAGATAAAAAAAAGAATTTTCCAAATCGATTGATAACTAACGATTATGACAATAACAAAAAAAAACTGAATAAAGAATCTCTTTCTTTATTGAAATTGGTTGAAAATAAAGGTAAACCAAGTAGCATTAAACCCTTATTCATAAAAAAGTAAAAGCTGTTAAATAAATCATAAACCTATCTTAGCTGTTGGAATGTTTTATTTCTTTTTCTTTGCGCTAATTTTTCAATTTGCAAGACAGTGGCAAAATAATCTAATCAACCTAAAACTATGATACATTACTGACTTTGCTCGCGTGAATTTAGATGAAGTTTCGTTTCATAGAAACATAATTGTACTTAAAATGATTTACGATAGTAATATAAGTTTCTTATGTGTTAAGAAGGACAATAATGTAGTCAACGTCCATGCAGTTCCCCTTGGAAACGATTATGGTTAATTCTCTTAAAATTCGTCACAATGGAATAAGTGATTCACCTGTCATCTCTCATTGATGCCCCCGTCAGCATATATCGATATCACAAGTGGGGTTACCATTCTATTGAAAAATTCCAGTGAAAAATTCTTAAAAAAAAGTACCTCTTTCACATAATGTTCAGTCTTGCTCTTCAGCTCATCTTTTTCTGCACTCAGCTCACTGAGCTTATTCCTAAAATAAGTCTTCATCCTGTCTTCCCTCGACTGGACCTCTTGACTTAGCAGGAATGGTGCCTCCAAACTGCCCAATAAACCTGTGACTCTACCTTCCGAGTCCACAGAGGGCTCATTGAAGTTATTGAAGTCACCAGAATCATGACCGTCCCCTCTCCGTTTCTGAGAGGCTGATACATGTTTAGCTACTTCTAGTTTAAGGCTTTCGTTCTCCATTTGTAGGAGTTCATACTCCATTCTGAGTTTTTGATTTTCCTGGAACAAGAAACTTATTTATGTATTTAATTTAAAAAAAAAATTAGAGACCTATACATAGGCGTATTTATATGGGGATCCTCGGGTAGGTTGTGCCCATACCAGAATCGTCTAATGCCTACCACAGGATGCGGCAAAGCTTGGTAATTACATGTTTCAGAGTATATACAAAGTGTTCAAGTCCCCCTGGAAAATGAAAATGCCAATGCGTCCCTAGTTTGGTACATAAAAATAATTTTACCTGTTCTAATGTGTGTGTTTTTATACTAAGCTGTTCATTAATATTCAAGTCATCGACAGAACTCAAGGCATCTTCACTACCAATCTGAAAAAAAAAATGTTATAAATTACTTACATTATAAATATATGCAAAAATAAAATACATAATGAGATCGTTCATTATTTACTGTTTAAAGTAGGTCTTTCCCATAAACTGCTTTAAGAAACAGTCCTGAGCATTAATGCATTCTCATTTGAACAAACGTAGTGCAGGATATTCCAGATTACAGTGATGACCCACTTTATTATGGGTAGAAATTGATTATTATATATTATATAATACACAATAATCATGAATGAAAATTCTAAGAGTTTTAAGTCCACTTTTTTATCATATTCTCATTTACTCAATATAATTATACATTTAAATAAATAAATCATGGGCAATTAAATGTCACTTTTAATAAATGTTTAATTTTTAATTAGAAATCTTTTAATTCATTGAATTGACCTTATGCCAATTATCATTTTAGTAATTTTTTTAATGGGTGATAATGGAATGGTAACCCCACCGGCGCTATCGGGATATGCTGGCGGAGCACCAGTGAAAGATGATAGATGAGGTTGAAATAGGTCAGTTGGTCCATCGTGATGAATTCAACAAAAATTGTTCACAATGGTTTCCAGGGGTAACCATGTGGAGGTCTACCTAATAGAGCATATTGCTAGCAATGGGGCTGTTAATCTCCATTGCTAACAATCCCTTTTCCCCCTCATTTTAGTATTAGACATACAATAGTCACAACAAACTTCATACTGCAATCTTAATTAATTCATTTTCATGAAAAATCATAAAAGAGGATGCTGATTAATCGACTGACTGACTATATCAATTCACAACGGAAATCACTGAATTTAGAATCTTGTAATTTTGCAGATTAGTCTTTTAATATAGTATAGGTGAACAATAAGAAAGGAATTTTAACAATTAAATCTCTAACGAGGTAAAATGGGAGTTGAAAATCTGTAGGCAATTTTGTCAGTTTAATAGTTAGACACTTAATTTTAAATTTAGGCTCAAACAAGTCTTGAAAAATTTAATAACATACATGAGTGAAGTTGTGGCCAAAAAGATTAGAATATTCTTATTAACATACCAGACTGCCTCCCTCCGACAAAAAGTCACCATTACAACTGGCCGCTTGGCTGTTTCCAGGCAAGTGAATTTTATATGGAGTGCCACCAAGTCTGTCTTTTTGTGCCTCTTCAAGGGTAAACTGTAATTCTTGGTTCTTGTTCTTCAGTTTTGCTATCTCACATTTGTATTTACTGTCACACTCATTTATGCGTTTCTGATAATCCTCCAGGGAAGCCTTCAGTTGGGATACTTCAAATGTTTTATCTGATAGCTGAAATTGATAATAAGACAAAAGAAATAACATTAATGAAAAATAAGATTGAAAGTATTAATTTTAATTTTTGATACATGTTAATTATTCACACATTTTAGAATATATTTTATTAGAATAATAGAATATTAGAATTCACTGATTGAGATATTAATTGTATACCAAATTTTATAGTTATTACTATGAAATGTTAGAGATATAATTAAGATGCTGAGAGATAACAAAATAATCATTATCAAAATAATCATTATTTCAATTAAATCTTTTGTTTACTGCCAGAATATCTGGAAATTTAGCATTGGATAAACAGTTAATTTTAAACTATGGCCTTGTTAACACATATTTTGAATACACTATTGGGACTTAATGCCATGAATAAATTTTTATGCAGGTAAATAGTATCTACATGCATGCTTTTTCATTGTTGACAAATAAATCCGTAGTCACATGAAGTCTCAATAGTATTTTTAAAATATTAGATAAATACACTTGCAAAACCACACCAAACACCAACAAATTTAAACATACTTAAACAAATTTAAAAATACTGTTTATATTTTTAGTGTATCATTGAACATAATTATATTATCAAAGGAAGTCTACACAGTATACTACTACTAAGTGCAAAATCTCTGTGCAAAGTTCAGTATCTGCCAAACATTTGCAATATTTGCAACTTGTATCAAGTAGCATGCATGCAAGTTTAAAGTTTGTTACAATTTGTCTCGTTGGTTTTTGCCGGCTAAACCACTGAGATTGCAAACAAGTATATAGTCCTCCTGATGGTAAATGGTTACTAAACATATGAACACCTGCAATAGCTCTGGTATTACATGCATATCGCTAGTTCTAAAGAAATCTTAGTGTGGAATAAATCTATTCATAAATATACTGCATTTGCATAACCTGCAGACATCTCTGTATTCTTAAGGAAATTAACCTAGAGACTACAGCATGGGGTTCTTCAGAATGTATTAAAATTTCTAAAGGGTCTGCAATGCATGCATGACATTCATTGTTACAAGAGTCCATAGGTTATGGTAACCCCATTTTTCATTAAATATGTTAAATACTTGTTTACCACCATAGTTGTGTTGTGTGTAAAAAAAACAACAAGAATTGGCGATAAATTAAAACTTCACTTAGAATATTAGGTTACCACATAATAGAGACAAATCACATGAAATACACTAACCTGTGAGGCATACTGTGCATTCTCAATTATCTTCTTCTGAAGTTCCTCCTGTAGCAATCCTGGATCAAGTGGACCTGAGTTACTGGCTGCAGGGGGCTGTTTTTCATCTCCTTTACTTTTAGATTTCTTTGTTAATTTCAACTAAAACAGTAAATTAATAATTCTTACTTTAAATTTAAATACTCTATTATTATTATAATATTCTAGTATATTGAAGGTTTATATAGATATTTGAATAGAAAATATCAACAACATTGTTAATATAATTTTAAAAAAAGTTCACTTCGAATATGTTTTATTTTTATTTAGATTAAATATGGAAACCCCTTAAAAAAGAAATGCAATGCATTACATACATTTCTTCAAGCAAAAATATTAATTTATGTACTTAAATTACTTAATTTGATATGTACTTAAATTCAGTAATATAACTGGAAATGAAATATTCCAGATAACTTATCATGATAAGACTATCAACTTGATATTTGAGCAAGTATGCAAATAAGAGAGATCAAATCTATTGCTGTAACCAACCTGGTAGGCGTCAAGTTCATCTTGCAGAACAGACACACGCCGCGTCAACTGCTGATTCCTGAATGTCAACGAATCTATCTCCAATTCGCATCTCCTCAGAGACTTTTCTTTCTCCTTCAATGTATCCCGGAGCTCATTCGACTTAGCTTGTTCGTCTAGAACGCCCTTCTTTAATACCTTCACGTGCACCCTCAACTGCAACGGAAACAATAAATTTACACAAATTGCCGAAGTGTTTCAACACTATAAAATTATTATAAAACTCACTTTAGAATACTCCGAAGCCAATTTTTGGTACTTTGCCTGAATATCGCCTGTAGGCAGCCCTTCCATGATCCTGTTTCATGAGTTCATTACTATATAAATATAATGGAAATGTTTATTTGTTAATTCGCCGTTGTATTGAACACCCACTTTCGATTCATTCATAAATGACAATTGACAATTTAAAATTGATAACAACTAAACTGACATTGATTGATTTAAACTAACACACTGACGCATTGACGTGTCGTAGCCATAGATATATATAGATTTATGACATTCTATGTTTACGGTACGAACCAAAAGTAGGTACCTATTTAAAAACTGTTAATGTACTATATACTTAAATACATTCTGTTCCGAAGTTTTTACTATATACCTATCTTCAATGCTGCCTTTTAAAAACTATTTAAGAACTAAAATATTGTATCTTTTGCCATTTAATAATGATTGTTCAAGAAAAGTACATTAATTCAATTAACGATTAGAAAGCAAACCATGCTAAATAATGGAACTGATTCTGGAACGCCATTTTTCAAAACTTAATTCAAATTTTAAATTGAAATAATTCTTAAGTTTAAGAACCAATATGAATTAAGTTTCTAATAAGTTTAAGTCATTATTTTATGATGATGTAAACATGAATTAATTTCTAATTGTGATATTACGTCCATCGCTGTCCTATTCCACTTTTTTTCAAATAATGCGTGCATAACTAAAATTTTGATCATGTACGATCCAAAAATAATATAATGAATTGTATACGTGAATGATTAATGAATATGACAAACGTTAATTTTTGTCACTGGCAACTTTGACTCTGTTGATGTGTCGTGATTGTCCAATTGTAGAATATCAATATTTTGGGATTTATGAAATAAAAACTGCAATTTCTAAATTATTAAACGTATTTAAATGCTACAAAATATATTTAATCTTTCAATGATAAGTTCTTGGACATTAGGTAAGTTATTATTGCTTTCTGCGATACTCTACCTCGCAACAGGTAAAATTTAGTTTTATCAATGTAAAATGTGTATAAACTATGTAAATTTCCGCAGGAACATGGAATCAAGTAGCTCCACTTGTAACTATGGCGATAATGAACACCCCAGAAGCATTATACACATCGACATAGATTGCTTTTACGCTCAAGTGGAGATGCTTCGCAACCCTGAACTACGTACAGTGCCACTTGGAATTCAACAGAAAAACATTATTGTGACCAGTAATTATGAGGCTCGAAATTACGGTGTGCAAAAGTGTATGTTGGTCTCAGATGCGTTAAAAACATGTCCCAACCTAAAACTGGTGAATGGTGAGGATCTCCACGACTACAGAGCGGCGTCAAATAAAATTTTCGAGTTGCTACAAACGTGGAAGTGTCCAGTTGAGAAATTAGGTATGGATGAAAACTTCATTGATGTCACAAAACTAGTAGAGGAGAAATTAAAATGTGTTCACATTGAAAGTGTCACTCACAGCGGTCACATTTACAATGAATCTGGCATAGAATGCCTGTGTGGATGTCACACTAGACTGAAGGTAGCATCACAACTAGCGAACGAAATTCGACAGAAAATATATGATGAGTTAGGGTTTACAACATGTGCTGGGATTGCACATAATAAGTTACTGGCCAAATTGGTCTGTCCACTACACAAGCCTAATAATCAGACTACTATATGCCCAGAACATGCTACAGAGTTCATGTCGACTCTGCAGAGTGTCAGATTCATTCCAAGTATTGGTTTAAAAACTACTGAAACTCTCATATCTCATAAAATTATTTCCGTGACTGACTTGCAGCAGGTGCCCTTAGATATTTTGAAGAAACATTTCAGCAGTGATATGGCAGTTAGACTGAAAAACTTAAGTTTAGGGGAGGACAATACTCCAGTGAAACAGACAGGCAAGCCTCAAAGCATAGGTCTAGAGGATAGCTTTAAAACTGTGAGTGTTAAGAGTGAAGTGGAAGACAAATTCTGTGCATTATTGCAAAGGTTACTCATTTTGGTAAGGGAAGATGGACGCATTCCAGTTTCATTAAGGGTTACTTTACGTAAGAAAGATGCAAAAAGGCTGAGTAGTCACCGAGAGTCAAGGCAGTGCCAGATATCACCATCAATTTTTATAATTACAAATGGCTCTCTGACAGTAACTAATGTTGGGCAACAAAAGCTAATGACTATTATAATGAGATTATTCAATAAGCTTATTGACTTATCAAAACCATTCCATTTGACATTGGTAGGGCTAGCATTCACCAAGTTCCAGGAGCGCATGACTGGTAGGAGTTCGATAGTGAACTATTTGATGAATGATATTTCTGTGCAATCTGTTCTCAATTTGCAAAATGACTGTGATACATCAGCCTCTTCGATGGATTATTCAGCAGCATCACCCAGTAGTAGCACTACCACAGATTTATCTGATGCTGAAGTGGAACCATCACCTAAAAAGCCCAAGAAAGTTACATGGATAGCCAAAAGACGGTGCCTCTCAAAGGAAGAAGTTGCATCTCCGAGTAAATTGAAAGTTGGTGAACTGAGATTAAACTCCAAAGAGTTGGAGAAAGTTTCAGAACTCAGGCTGAATTCTAGAGACCGTTCCCTGACTCCTCGAGCCAGTCCTGCTAAAGATAACCTTTCTGATGCATCAGATACAATGAAGGATATTGCTGAAGGTGGTAACTGTGATGATTGTCCCAGTTACGTTGACAAGGAAGTGTTCAATGCTCTCCCCGATGAGATGCAACAAGAATTGAAAGTAATGTGGAAGAATCCTACCAGTTCAGGAATGACAAGAAGTAGTCCAAGAACCATGAACAAAGCAAAGCCCAATACACTTCTTAAATATTTTGTTCCACACAAATAGTATTAGTAAGAATTTATCTTGTTAATTATTTTAAGTGATAAGTGAATGGTTTCTATTTTTTCAAATCATACAATTTTTATTCAGCTGATCAAATACATGTTTATGTTAAAATGGCAGTTTGAATTTCACCTACTTTGATAAAAAAAGAAACAAATGCTTATACAACTGGGCATATCATTTAATATCTATATTTTTTACAGCTTCTGTGACCATGGAGTATAATTCTGTGAATTTGTGCTCATTATGTACATTGACGTGCAGGGCCTCGGCCACCTTCCCATATGATACAACATCAACATTCAACTGCAGCCGTATTTTGTCACCATCCGTTACACTTGCGCTTTCATTACTGTGTTGTGTTGTCTTTTCTCGTATTTGCTTAAGTCTTCTAAGTGATTCTTCAGTTTTCTGTACTGATGTTAGAACATCTTCTACATATTTATAATATCTAAAAATATTTATGTATTAATTTTTAATAATTACATTTTATATTTTATTAGAAGATACACCTTAATTATACTTACGAAATAGTCATAACATTAAATAATGATTCATACAGTTCAATTAAGAATGCATTATCCAATCTCTTTGATGCGTCGTCATTGAACTCATGTATTGCTTTAGATACTACTTCTATATAAGTGCAGGGTTTAATAGGTATACTGCGATTTGTCTTTCTGTACAGTCTTGGTATGTCACTTACTTGTTTTAACTGTACATTAAAATAAACAAACATCTCATTCACTATAAATTGCCTGATTTTCTCTTTCATGGTTCTCAATACATTTTCGGATGACGTAAGACTGAGTTTAAGAAGTCCACTACCTTTGCTTGGTATTTTCATTTCAACAAATTGTAAAAATGTAGGTAACCTTTGCAACAATGTCTGTATGTCCACATAAATATTAATGCTGTTGTCAATTAAAGTCCTATTTACTGTTGTTGGTTCTATTTTTTGGGATGATGTTTTCTGAAAGAAAGAATATTGGTATAATACCAGTGTTGGTGGTCAATAACAAGGCTGATGAGCCCTTCTTGAAAAGAAAATAATATATGTAGCACTGAGAGTAACTACAGGCAAATCATCAATGGTCCACCTGGCATATTAGTGTCATATACCATACCATAGGTAGAAATTATAGTGTGATCATCACAATACTTCATACCCCTTGGATGTCTAGTATGTCCTGGGTTTAATGTTCATTAAAAAAAATTAAGTATAAAAGCCTACATAATTGTTTAATTGTATTATAGAATATTCAGAAATCGTTATTGAACTCTACATTTAGCAGACACTGCAATGGTTTTGTATTAATTTTTGTGTACCTGTGTACAATAGCTTGCTGTCCAATGAGCATATCTTGATAGTATTTGTAAAGTGAGTTTCCAAAACTTATGGCCAAGAGTATCAATGTATATGCCATTGCTCCAGCAACTTTGCATTGCCTTCCAGCATGCATAAGTTTCTTTTAAAATGAAACCGTCATTGTTCTGTATTGTAGGGTTGTTCTGTAATACAGATTCATAGCTTCCTGAAATAACCATATGGATAAATATTTGTATCTAACTTTCCAAGAAACTGTAAAATAGAATGCCATTATACTCATAATGAGTCACCTTTCAATAACATACAGTAGGTAAATAATGTACATAATACACTACAAGTTTACTGTATATGTACAAGTTGATTGCTTATCTATAGTAGTATATATTATAGTATAATTTTCTAGGAATCCAATATTAAAAATTCAATGTTGCCTACTACAAAAAATTATATAAATTATTTTTTTTAGTGCTGGGACTGTATCACTGTTTGTAATCTGTTTTGATCTTGTTTATCACTCCAAATTAATATATAAATTATATTATTCCTATATATATAACTTTGGGATCTATAAATCCAGACACTAGCACAATATACTCTAATTTTAATTCTAGTTTATCCTCATTTAAAATCCACTATATAAAACTAAATTTTAGGAATTACAGTTGTTTAGCATTTATCATTTATAACTTACTTATTTGAATAGCAAATTCATTTATACACATTTTTCTATTAATAACATTAATAAAATATACTTTATCTACCTGCAATTTCTTGAAACCTTATTTGAAAATATACAGGCAAATTCCACCTCCTTTGAAAACTTCGATACTCTGGTGTTTCATGTAATAAATTAACAGTCTCCACATCTGAACAGTATTTCTCTAATTTCTTTACAAACTGCATACTCTCACTATACCTTGTGTAAAATATCTGAGGATTGCCAGGAGCAAAAATAGATGACAAGTTTACCTCAAGTCTACTCTCTACTTCGCACCAAAAACAGTTAACTAAAAACCTATATTTCTTCAGTTGAAATGTTAACTTGGAATGTTCGGTTATTGTGAGAAGTAGTTTTAATTCTGTGTCCAACAACATTAAGATTCTTTCATAAATCCCTTGAAGACCATCCTTACTTCTTTGAAGTGTTGACTCATTTACAATATTCTGTAACAGTGGTGAGACAGCCTGCTTTCTAATAAGTATTTCTGTTTCTGAAATATGATCTAAAGAGGCAAGTGTTATTAAAGTCTTCAGTAGGTTCTCTTCATTGCGATCATTCCAAAATTGAAACAGCAACTCATTAAGAGTTTGTATAAGCTTTTCACCTACTTCATTGTATCGCATTTTCTGTTCAGGTTTTATTAAACTATCGCATTTAGCAATTGAATATTTCAGTAGATTGTACTGCATTGCTGCCCGGTCAGCTAGAACAATCTGTTCATCCTTCTTTTTGTCTGATATATTGTAAAGTATATTGTCTAAGGTAGCTAAGCAGTTTATGGTCTGACTATAATATTTAAGGAGTTGTTTCTTTTTCTGGAGTCCATGCCTCTGGCTTAGCCACATTGACAACTCTTTCATAGCATCATCTAAACACTTCTTCACACTCTGTAAAATATATTTTTTTACTTTACACAAATCTGTAGCTTCTAGATGAAAATATTGACTAAAATTACTACGTCCTTAGCTACCACTAAGGAATTATGTACACTAAAATGTTACTTACCAATACTTCTTCATTCAATTGAGCCAATGGCACTTGGATTTTGACTATTGTCTTGTCAAAACCAATGAGAGTGGCACATAAATTTACGAAATTCGCATAGTCCTTGTTAATAAGTTCAATCATGGCCAATCTTAACACTTTCAAGTACATTCCCAGATCATCTCTCATGATCTCTAATGAGGCCACATTTTGATGTTCCGCTAAGAAGTTATCGATAGAAAAGTTTGTCTGGAAGTATTATAAGTTCGTATAGAATATATATTTCATTAGAAAACTATAATTTATCGTGTTTAAAAAGGAAAAATTGAGAGAAATACCTTGACAAAATCATTTCGATCGAAACATAGGCCCCTTGGGGCTGGTGGTAACGTAAACTCCATGGTATCACTCTCCATGTTGATGATTTAATAGCACTGTATCATGAAGGCACCATTATTTAGAGGAATCCCATAAAATTTAATAATTATCTATTTAAATCCCTCTTATCGAGAATCATTTTGATTCAACACTGACATTAATTTGACATATTATGACACGTCAGATTGTTTATTTGGATACGTATATTTGTGCATTCCTAAAGTTCTACATATAATATGCATACTTTACCGACACAGTTTTTACTTTATTTGATTGTATGTATATACTATACTTATATAAAATGTATATGGAACCTGTAAATTATTTTTTAAATTTTTTTCTATGATTTTAGTAATCTGTCAATACCATGCTCCAACAGTCTTCAACATAAAGACTGCACATTAAAGAAGTACCCAATAAAATGTATATACCAAATATTTTTTTTCGCAAAAAAGTACATTTAAGTACTAGGATACCTAGATAATATAATGTAAGCTAATTATTTTTAGGCACTTGATAAAAACTACAGCTCCATCTGACGGTGACAAAAATATTATTTTTAGAGTACCCTTGTACACTAGATGGCATAAATATAAAAATAAGTGTGACACGAAGTTAAAAGGACAAAATGCCAATATTAATTAAAACTTCTTACAAATTTTTATAATGACTAATAACTGTAACTGCTATTACTACAAAATTAAATATGATACGAATATCATATTTTTCATACAATTTGGAATAGATAGAAAGAGTAATGAGGTCTAGTGAGCTCATTGCTAGCAATGTATCCTATCAGTTCGACATCTACGCAGTACCCACCACGTAAACCTGGACACCGTGATTAATTTCTTGTGAATTTTTCACGATTAGTCTAGTGACCATAATGCATCCTTACCTATCATCCTTCACACGTGCTATTACTAGTGCTACTGGAGGCAAAACGATTGTTAATAATAGGGTTCAACTTCCCTCTTTGTTAACAATATACCATCAGAACGCGGTTCTCTAGTACGTACGATGATAAGGATTAGAAATAACACAGACGGCGGGATTAATAGTAGGAGGAGTTCATTATTTTCTCCATTTCTATTGCCTATTAATTAAACTTACTTTTTTAATTTAAATGTATACTTTACTCATATGTAAATAGCTATCTATTAAACAGATAGAATAACTACGTATTTCAAAAATGGATTTATCACTAAACTATTTTGTATAAACGCTGTACAATTATGTTAATGATAGGCTGTTGGGAAATTTTGTAAATACAAGTAAATAATAGCGAAAAGTTGATGTAACAATAACAATTACAGGGTGTTTAACAATAATCCCATCCACATTGAATTTAATTAATTTAGATTTTTTTTTATACAACTTAGAATGGCAAACAAGCTGACGGCCCACCTGATGGATAGTGGTAACCGTCGCCTATAGACATGAGCAATACCATGAACATAACAGAGTATACTGTTTCGCCCATGATACCCCCCATGCGTTGCCATTCCTGAGGACTCAGGTGTTATTCCTCTGTACCCAATAAATTCACGCCACATCCCACCCTTCAAACCGAAGCACAGCTATGCCAACACAACTGCTTCACGGTAGAAACACGAATGGGACAGAGGTACCCAAGCAATCGACTTTTGTACAAAGTCTCCCTCTGATGAATAAATAAATTACAATAAATGGTCGTCGTATTATAATTACCATCAACCTATATATGTAATACTCGGCACTTAACTAGTGAAATTGTTCTAAATCATACCTACCAATTATCAAACCATGTTGATAATACATGGGACAATAAACCCCGTTACTTTGACCAAATTAGATATAATGAAATAAATAACTCCTATTAAAGCATTCGACATATTCATTTAGACCAGCGGTCAGCAACGCGCGGCTAGTCGCCACTTGTCCCATTGCTAGCAATATACCCCGTCGGGTCGACCTCCACGCGGTTCCCCTGGAAACCATCGTGCTGAATTCCAGATTTCATCATGACGGGCTAACTGACCTGCTTTTTCATTATCCACCTATCATCTCTCATTGGTGCCCCGCCAGTGTATACCGATAGCGTAGACGGGGTTACCGTGCCATTTTCACCCATTAAAAAAAACACGGCCCGCGTGTCGCTTGCGGCCTCCTCCTTGCGGGTCGTGACTATTTTGTAAATTATCTTATATATTACTTAACAAAACAAATATTTACGTGATGTGGGCACAATTTGGGCGAGCATTCATGAGTAGCTCATCCATCATTGGCAGCCTGGCGAATCGATCGTTCCGCGTTCGATGGTCATCATTTATCATTTCTAACATCACCTATAATCCTTACCAATATTTTAAAAATAAATATTAGTTTGTCTGTTTGTTTGCTAACTTCTAGCACCTTAACGGTTTAATCAATTACAATGAAATTTAGTACACACGTTAGTATGTGTAATATAGTTATTAGATATGTTATATATTATGTTAAAGTAAATGCTATGAATACCTTTAATAAGCATGTGTATTAATATTGTATTGTATTTTGTAAATATATCCCAGTCATGTGGATGAAGTCGCGGGTAAAAGCTAGTACTTATATAAATAGATAGACATCTATAATCAAAATTAAAAAGTAAAAACATGTGCGGCCCGCTTCTACCTCTTTTACCGCTAAATGCCCTTTGTCAGTTAAAAGGTTGCCGACCGCTGATATATATCTATTTACATACCTATATATATATTTATATTAAAAGAACCATTTAAAGGTTGTCATTGGAACTGTAATCTCAGCTAAAATGACTCTAAATTCAGAGAATCTTTTTCTATACAGAGCTAAATTTATAATGAAAGCTCTGGGCTTATGGGTGCCTACTAAAGATGAATCGTTTTTGTATAAAATCTATAGAGTTTTCATAATGACATCGCAATATCTGTGTCTAATCTTTCAAACGATACACATCGCTCAAGTTTGGGGCGATTTGGAAGCAGTTTCACAGGCCTGCTACATAACGTTCACACAGGCGTGTCTCTGCTTTAAAGTAACAGTGTTTCTGGTGAACATGGATTTGTTCAAGCAGCTACTAACACAAATGAATGCTGATATTTTTAAGCCACAGTCCATCGAACATGAGAAGTACGTACATATCTAATATAATAAGTAATCACTTATTTACTATACATACTAATAAATTACTCAAGCGGAAGAGTTTGTTTGTTGAGCAAGCTAATCTTTGGCATTATCAGTCCGAATTGATTTTTTTTTTGCATTTGATAATCTCAGACATATTATATTCAGAATTATTTTCTAAGGGGAGGTTGGTTCCTTAAAAAAGTTTAACTCGTATCATGGGTTCAGCCAATTTTGGGAAAGCAAGGTCTCTGAAGAACTGATCTATCAATTAGCCTGAAGGTGTCTCGTTTAGAGGTGAAACACATGTCGCAAAACATGCGTGAAGAAAATGGCAGTCGGAGGTTGATAGGTAATTTGGAAGCCTGTAGAACTTCTTGTCTAATAGTGATGGTAAATTTTTGAGTGTAAACAGTCACACACATACGAGTACTAATGATAGCGGAATTAAATAAAATAATTATAATAAAATACTCAGTGATATGGATTTCCGCAAGATAACACCTAGTTCAGTACAATATTCACCCATAAAGTACCTACTTATTTTTTACCTAATCCCTGTTTACTAATTACTTTGTTTAAAATTCCTTTAAAGGATACTTTCGTACCACGCAGCACGAATAAAAAGATTTCTATTAGCATTCATGTTAACTTCTCAAACGACGTGTGCTCTATGGGCATTAAAACCATTGTTGGATGATAAAGGAACTCGCAACTTTCCATTGGAAATGTGGTAAGAAATAGTTTCTATTAGGCTCTCATCATTATATCAGCTGTTTACTATCCACTGCTAAACATAATAAAGGTAATAAATAATTCCCCAATAAAGGTAATAAAATATTCAGTAATGAATATAAGAACTGTGGCTTGGTTTTGGTAGAATTCCGCGAGCGACATAAAAACTCTCCTGACGTCCAAAATTTAGTCAAATACAGATTTAAGTTGTAGTTTAATTTAATCTATCAGGCCATTCATGTATTATATCTATTTAAATTAGTAAATGTTAATTTTATTTGCAAGACAACCCGTAACAAATGGCGCCCAACGTGGGACCATATGGGTCAACAATTTAATGGCCGAGTTGATGATAATTATGAATAAAAAATAATATGTATAATATGGATTCACATTTCCAGGATGCCAGTAACACCCGACAAATCTCCTCAGTACGAACTGGGTTACTTGAGTCAGTTCTTAACAATTTCCATCAGTGCTTTCATATACTTCGGCGTGGATAGTGTTCCATTCTCAATGATCATCTTTGGTTGCGCACAAATGGATATCGTGAAAAACAAGATAATAAGTGTATGGATTTTTTTATTACCATGAACATATTTTAGTATTAATTTTAGGCTAGTTTTGTGTATAATAAATATCCAGACTGAAATTTTTACCTCCCAGTAGCTCTATTCAGATTTGAACTCATATCTTTTTGCTATCCAGGCAGAGTGTGTGTGTATATATTCACACCACGAAAAGAAAACTATAATAAGGGTTTGATTAAATGTATGGAAGTACCACAGTGTAAACTACATATATCATATAATATGGTCACTCTTAGCTCATTTATCGGTCTAGGCTTAACTCCCTTTCTGTGACTCAGATATGATTTTTTAAAAAAAGAACACATAAATTTATACGTGTAGATTTATATACAAGTTTCATATTTATTTGAACGTCGTTTTTGTGTGAGGTATTTGCCAATTTTTTTATGTTATAATATAACAACAGTGTCAATTCTGGGCCGATTTCAATAATTCTCTTTTACAGTTCATAGAATTTGCTTCCATGTTGGTTCCTTACGAGTATTTTCTGTGGAGGTAATTATTTATGGCCAGTACATATCTAATTTATCCTTATTACTTTATAGGTATCTTCAATATATGACGCCAAAGAGAATGAACGCAGTAAACTGTCAAGAAATAATTACAAAAAGCTAATTGAATGCGTACTACAACACCAAGCCGTTGTGTCGTAAGATCAACACACCATAGTGACACTCATAATTTTTTTTATAATACTTAGAATGGCAAACAAGATAACGTCCTAATTGATGGAAAATGATAACCGCCGTCTATAGTCATGAGTAGCGCCATGAACATCACAAAATATACTGTTACGTGTTGTCATTCCTGAATTTTATGGTCAGAGTTATAATATTTATTATACCTTCTTAGTTCTCAAGAGTGGTAACGTATCGGGCGTTCGTTCGAGTATTCTGACACTACCTTAAGGTCAATTGGGAGAGAATGCTTTAAGCATTAAAACCGCTATATACACATTTACGTACTAATGAAAAATAAATAAACACTATCTTTATTAATTCTTCATTTTAATTTTTCACAGTTTTTCTTAGGTCTTGTTCTTAAAAAACCTAATCTGATCTTGGTAATCAGATAGCTATTAGGCAAATAAAAAAAATATTGTCAGATCTTGTTCGAATTTCGAATCAGAATCCAAGTTGAAAAGGTATACTTGTAATTATTATTATTCCAGACTGGCTCAACTCACTGAGAATGCGTACCATACATATTTATTTTTTCAATTAGCCGGTACAATTGGAATTTTTTGTATGTCAGCTCTACGTATGACAGTGGTGAGTTACCTCATAGGCGCTATTGTAGATCTAATAGCTTCGAAGCTTTAGCATATATACGATTCTTAGATTATATAAATAAAAATGCTCTCCATAGAAATGCTTCAAGAAAAATGGGTCAACTTTTTCATACAATTTTTAGTGAATCCTTTATAACTTCTATATTTATTTTGTCTTATAAATTCTGCATCTTTTTATTACGTAAACACTAATTTTATTTATTAAATATTACGTCAGAATTCATTTCATGCGTAAATATATAGAATACTAATAAAAAAAAACGAGTCGGCTAATTTGACAATTACCTGATAAAAAATTGACTCGTTTTTGAGGCTCGATGCTCTGTCTATATAATGTAAGATAAGATTATTATCCAAATTGAGAATTGTAGCTTGGTAGCATTTTATTTTCTTATTTTTTTTATAAATACTAAGTTTGTAATAGTCATCCATTAAAACTTATATTTGAAAAAAAAAAAAAAAACACCTGTGTTCCTTATCAGTTCTCAACTAAATTTACATTCCGAATTGGGCGGTAGTTTAAAAAAAAATGACTATTAAAAATGCTTAGTAAGTTTACTTGAATAAAAATTATTTATTATTATTTTTACAACAACAAGGTTTTTTTTAATGGATAATAATGAAATGCACTAACTAGCTTGTATACGCTGGAAGGGCACAAGTGAGAGATGATAGGTGAGAATGAAAAGGCAGGTCAGTTAGCATTGTGATGAATATACCTGGAATTCAGCATTTTCTAGGGAATAACAGAAGGTCGACATGACGGGACATATTGTTAGCGATGGGACTAGTAGCTCGCATAAGTAAAAATGCCTTCGCCCCATACAGAAACCCTTTAGAAAAAATGCTTCGCTTTTGATCCTTGGCTACCTCTTCAATCTCTCACTCTCAATTTGCCTGTATTTTATTCTCACGTGTATGAATATGTTACGTCACATTTTGCCCAATTTCATAAGGACCGTTTTAATAAATCTTTTTACATTTGACAAGTTATACTCCTTCACTCCTATATTAATTTTGTCGCAATTAAAGTTGCTGCTTCAGAATTCAATCTTTATTTTATACTGCAACTGGATTGGCGCAATTTTTTTTAAACCAATAACATGTGAATTGTCCATCAGATCGACTGGCAGAGCACGCAGTTTTTCTCAATAGCTTCATACTTGATCGTGATGACTTGCCAGTTATTCATATGTTGTTGGAGCGGACACGAATTGACTGCCATTGTGAGTACAGCTATGCTATTCTTTCAAATTTTGTAATATATTAAGCAACTCACTTCATTTTCACTTCATCTAAAAATTCATCATATCAGTTTTTAACTGTCCTCTGCTGAACATAAGCCTCCCCCTAAGGGGGTTTTGGCAGTAGTTGCCACGCTTGGCAGACGAATAGGCAACCGCTGTTACGCCCATTCCTCGCCCTCTTGTAGTCGCGTCTTATGACACCCAAGGGAAAGGAAAAGTTGGCCAATTTTATGTCGGGTCCACACGAGTGTAGAGTAAAATAACAAACAAACTCATTTTTAATACACATTAAATCTTACATATATTACAGAGCGAAGATCTTCACACAGTTATGTACATGTGCATATGGTACGAACAAGATTTGAAATTTAAACGCGACTTGTGCTTCGCAATGATGCGCATGAGTCGTCCTATAGTATTTCGAGCTGGACACTATGTTAAACTTTCACGGGAAACTTTTATAGCTGTAAGTATGTAACTATTATAAATGAACGTCAAATCTTCTTAATCATTCCTATATTTTTCTTGTAAGATGTAAAATGTATATTTTTTTTAAATAACTGTTTTAACAAGCGCAATATATAATGAAAGAAATCTAAAATAATTGTAGGCATAATTTTACAGAATAAGTATGTAGTTTTGCGGTAAACAAAGTAGTAGATTTTATGTTTAAAGTTGAGAGATCGGTTAGTATTTTGTGATCAAATGTTATTTTATTTATTCAAATTCAAATAATTTATTATACGAAATTTTTGGAAAATTAATATTTGAAAAATAATCGTTTACAATTAAATCAATTGTCAATAATGTTACCAATAATGATGGTAATTCCAAAATGTTATGAAATCTTTATTATGGTATTTTTTTCATAGAAAATTTTAAGGAAATCTTATTTTAAATGTAAAATCAAAAATTCTTCATAATAAACTTATTATTAATAAAATATCCTTACACAAATACCTACCTTACCAAATACGCAGATAAAAGCGTTTAATTAAATAGGTACTTGTTCTCATTTCAGATTCTTCGGATGTCCTATTCTTACTTTGCAGTTCTGAACCAAACCAGCAAGAACTAGAATCTATATTTCTAAAAGACGAAGATGCAAAAGTAGATGTTATAGTAGATATTTAATTTTACTGTTTTGTAATTCGAAATAAATACAATTATTATGAAACACAATTATATTGATGGTACGTAGCGTGCTTACTTTTTATTTAAAGAACCCAGATAAACAGTAGGCTTTGCCTATATTTAAAAAGGGATGTTGCTGCCCCTCCCTTGACCATTAAGTTGCTTCTTACGATACGCACGGGAAAGGAAGGTGTGTGTTTCTCAACGTGGGGCCCACTCCCCACAGGGGAGCAATGTGATAGTTAAGGGGGGCAATTAAAAATGGACTCGAAGCGATTTTAATCTTTTTGCTCAGGGCCATTTAAATGCAATGCTACGAGTAGATTATCGATGCCAAATGTAACAAAAAAAGTAAATAAAAAAAATGCTGTCATTATTTATTAGGTATAATTTCGTTTGACGTTACCAAAATATCAACTGGGCAATAAGAGTCGTCAAGTAAATGGCACAAAAAAGGTTGGGAAACACTGGTGTAGCCCATTCTATACCGGGACCACACGGCAATATGCATAAGTGTTCAAGTTTATTTAGTTAAATTCTTGTAAGAGAAATTTAAATTAGACTTAAAAAAATATGTAATATATGGATATAAATGAGGAAAATGGCGTTTGGAGTCGTTTGAAGCCCATAACAATACGCTCCTCCCCCCGCTAATCCTGCTAAGTTCCCTTAGTCGCTTCTTACGACACCCATGGGGAAAGAAAAAGTAAGCCATTCGATGTCGGGACTATACGGCAAATATTACCTTAAAAAACCCATTAACAACTCAGAGGTTAGCAAAAAAATGTTTGCTGTTACTAGCGCCTTGAATAGATTACGCAATTTCCTTCCTGTCACCACCAAAATTGCGCTTGCACACTCCTTACTCTTGCCCATTTTTGATTATGCCGGCTCCTGTTATAATTAATACTTTACAGAAGAGCAATTAACAAGCTTGAGCGTCTTCAAAATTTATGTATTCGCTTCATATTTGGTCTTCGCAAATATGATCACATTTCTCAAATTCGTACTCAACTCAAGTGGCTCCCTATCCATTTTCGTCGTAATTTACATATCCTATCTTTCCTTTACGTGATTCTTTTTAACCCCATTGTTCCCGTTTATCTTAAAGACCGATTTGTATTTCTCAGTGAGGCCAATGGCCAAACTTCACGCAGTGTCAACAATCTCCGTCTCAAATTTCCCACTCACTCCATCTCTCATCCACTTCCTTTTATTCTAATTCCTTTACTGTGCAAGCAGTTCACCTGTAAATAAATAAATAATTAGACCCGTGGAATATAATACTTATTAGTATGATATATTAGATCGTAAAGTGTAGTAAAGAAATAAAACCACCCTGTTAGGAGTCGTATTTGAAATGCAAATTCGCCAATTATATAACAATGTTGATAACCACATTGAAAAAGCCACTTATTACCACGTCATTAGAGTAAATTAGATCATAAATTTAATGGAGTAAATGCAACATAATGATGGATTGTCCTTCACTATTTATGATAATTACTTAAGCATAACGTTCGTCTCTTATCCATAGAGCTGTAGTCAAAAATCCATGCAGCTGTAGGCTGAAGACAATGGCTTTAAATTCAGAAAATCTTTTTCTTAATAGAGCAAAAATCGTTATGAAAATTATGGGAGTATGGATTCCACCACCAAATGAATCGATAATAAGTAAAATCTACAAATTTATAATGATGTTTTTCCAATATTTGATCTTGCTTTTTTTAATAATTTATGTATTTCAAATGTGGGGCGATTTGGACGCGGTCTCTCAAGCATTCTACGTATTGTTCACTCAAGCCAGTCTCTGTTTTAAAGTCACAGTGTTTCTGGTGAACAAGAACATGTTAATGCAACTGCTAAAGCAAATGAAGTCTGACATTTTTGCACCGAAGTCTGCTGAGCACGAGAGGTATAATTTAACAACTACCTAATGTAGTTACTATATAAGTAATAGCATTAAGTATTTCATTATTTATTATAAGTATTTATTAATATTTTTATAATTTTCCAACTTTATTTCAATATCTACAAGATTTATCTGACAAAATCCATATAAAAAAGTGCAATACACTTTTTTGTATGGATAAAATTACAATAGCGACTCCGCCTACAATATTAGCCCAAATTGGCGGGAAATCAGGTTGAAATTATAAGTTGCCAGTTGGCCCATCATAACAATGTTAAGAAGTTTCTAGTTCTACGGTAGTTTCTAGATGGGTGACTTGCTAGCAATGGGTCATTACTCATTTCCTCCTACCGACAATCCATTCCCCCTCTCATTTTGCATGTTTTTTTTTATGGATGATAATGGAATGGTAACTCCGCCTGCGCTATCGGTATACACTGGCGGGGCACCAATGTGGGAAGGATTATGGATAGGTGAGGATGATGCAGGTTAGCACACCGTGACTTCCAGGACCAATCACGATGGTTTCCAGGGGGAACCACGAAGAGGTTGACCTGACAGGGTATATCGCTAGGGGCTATTAATCCCCATTACTAACAATCCCTTCGCTCCCCTCATTTTGCATGTTACCCTTTTGTAGTTAGTCAAATTCAGAAAAATAAATTAGGTAAGGCACCGATATTTTTAAATTTACGAATTAAGAATTTACAGGGTAAAATTATTATAGCTAAATCAGAATGGAATAATGGATACTTACCTATCTGTGTATTTATTTTTTAGTATCTTAATTCTCTACGCATCGAAGATTAAAAGATTGCTCCTCATGTTTATGATAGCTGCCCAAACTACTTGCGCCTTGTGGGCACTAAAACCTTTGTTTGATGATGTGGGTAGCCGCAAGTTTCCCATCGATATGTGGTAAGAAATATTCTGGTCATATCTCATTTTTCTTTAATGCTTGAAAATAGAATGGGAACTCCGCCTGCACCATAAGTATACGTTGGTAGGGCACCATTAGGATGAAAGACGAGGGTCATCAGAAACTAACCTCGATGACCTGACAAAATATGTTCGCTGGCCTCTATTCCCTACTATAAACAATTTAGAGTTGCTAGATGCAAATTTTAATTTTTACCCAGAAGTCATAAGATAATCAAGAGATAAGATTTTATTGTCGATATATATTTGAATGTTTTTTTGCGTAATGCTAGAACAAATATACATACAGACAGACTGACAAAGAGTCTAAAAAAAGATGGTTTTGACTTATATTATCTTTGTTAAGGGGGTTTTAGTAAATAGTAATAACAAGTTGTCTACATATATATATATATATATACAATTTTTTTATAGACAGTAAGATGTGTTAGTAAAATTATGGACCATATAAAACTATTATAACGTGTAATATCTCACTTAGGATTGTCCAAATACTGCCATAACAAACGGTCCTGACTAGAGTTTTCCTAAGCTACTTACATTGATTCCTTCATTTTGTTCACATGCCCAGGATGCCGGTGACCTCCGAGAATTCTCCTCAGTACGAGCTGGGCTTCGTGTTCCAGTTTGTAACCATAACCATCAGTGCCTACATGTATTTCGGCGTGGACAGCGTTGCACTGTCCATGATTATGTTCGGCTGTGCACAGATCGACATCGTGAAGGACAAGATAATGACTGTGAACTATTTTTTTTATTATCAACTAGTTTCTAACTAATTTCCACGGCTTATATAAGTAATATATAACCCATTCGTTTACCAAATTTCATTCAAATACCTTCAACCGTTTAAGTGTGATTGATTAACTATTATATAAACTGCAACTTGGACGATATGTATACATATAATTAATAACTATAATAACGTCAAGAATTATGTTTCACTGTTTATCTTTATAGTATTTTTTAATTAAATAAAACTTACTTATAATGATTATAAATTACTAAATATATTAAGAGGAAATAAATTAGGCTATAATATTATATTTAAAGTTGCCATAATAATCATATAATTTAATGCTTCTTTTTTATTATTTGTAGATTGTTTCAATACACGATGCAAAAGAAGACGAACGTAAAAAAATATTGCAGGATAACCATAAAAAGTTGGTAGAGTGCGTGATCCAGCATGGAGCCATAGCATCGTAAGATAATCTTTGGTTTGAGGTTGAAATCGAAATAGAAACGTTTGAAAGCAGTTTTATTTTTTATAGAAGAAAATTTAATGGTAACCCCGGCTGCGCAATCGGCATACGCTGGCGGGGCACTGATAAGGGATGATAGGTGAGGATAAAATCTGTCCCTTAGCCTATCGTAACGAATTCGACAAGAAATAACCATGATGGAAATCCAGAGGAAATTGCGTAGAGGTTGACCTGATAAGGTATATTGTTAGCAATAAAGCTGTCAGATCCCAATACTAATAACCTCTTTCCCCCTTTTGAAGGATGAAAATGGATATTGTCACTTAAGAAACAAGGCTTCTTAAGTGACAATGTTCATTAAAAACATTAGAACTTCTGTTCTAAAAAGTGTAGATTCTTAGTTTTACATATCACATACGATTTCGATATCATAGGTGTATTCAAAATTGAAGAATTATTTTAGACATTAAAATAAACTCAAATAATGTTGTCTAAAATTTAAAAGAGTAACAGTTGAGTTTCTTGCGGATTCTTCTCAGCAGATAACAACATTACGGATCCACAAGTAGAATCATAAAAGACGATTTTAAAGAGCTTGTAAACGAAACTATTTAAATAAAGATGAAATTGTATTTAAAGTGAAGTTCTCTAATATTTCAGATTTATTCAAATTACTGAGAATGCGTACCACACTTATTTGTTTTTCCAACTTACCGGTTCAGTTGGGATCTATTGCATGTCAGCATTACGGATATTAGTGGTAAGTTATCGTAGGTGAAGGTTGAAATAGGAAGCGGTAGCCCACATACGCAAATATATACCTCATTCCGTTTATTTCTCACCAGGAGAGGGAAGAGCACAAATTTTAAAATATAATTTATAAATATCTAACATACGTAATTAATTGACATATCACTGGTTACTTGATTAGAATTGTTTTGTTTAATTCCGTTACCATTAATATCTGTGTGTTTTTTTATGCAACTTAGAATAGCAAACAAGCTGACGGTCCACCTGATGGAAAGTGGTAACCGTCGCCTATAGACATGAGTAGTACCATGGACATAACATAGTATACTATTTAACCCATGATACCCTCACGCGTTGTCATTGCTGAGGATTTAGATGTTATTCCTTTGCACCCTGTAAATTCACTACCATATCCCACCCTTTAAACCGAAACACAGCCATGCAAACACAACTGTTTTACATGGTAGAAACACGAATGGGATAGAGGTGGCCAAGTAAACGACTTTTGTACAAAGTCTCCCTCTTGTGTGTGAATGTCAATACTCAAAGATTGACTGCCACTATTTTACCAGAAAATTTATAATCTTCCAAGGTTGTGGAAGGCAGAATTAAACAAAATAATTCTAATTAAACGACCAGTAATATGGACTTCCCCAAGATAACACCTAGTTTAATAAAATAATTGACATAGGAAGACATGACAACATACATGTTGTACTGTATTTATTTATTTTTAAATTGATGTTTAGATCGAGTGGCAGAGCATGCAATTCTTCTCTATAGTGTCATATCTATTCGTCATTACCAGTCAGCTGTTTATATTCTGTTGGTGTGGACACGAACTTACTGCTACAGTGAGTATGTCTATGTATAATTTTTTATGGAACTTATTCCATAACCACATGGAAAGTCGTAACCGCAGCCTATGTCGAAAGGGATTGTCAACGATTGGATCTAACAGCCTCATTGCTAGCAATATATCCTAACAAGTTAGAGGTGGCCAAGTAAACGACTTTTGTACAAAGTCTCCCTCTTGTGTGTGAATGTCAATACTCAAAGATTGACTGCCACTATTTTACCAGAAAATTTATAATCTTCCAAGGTTGTGGAAGGCAGAATTAAACAAAATAATTCTAATTAAACGACCAGTAATATGGACTTCCGCAAGATAACACCTAGTTTAATAAAATAATTGACATAGGAAGACATGACAACATACATGTTGTACTGTATTTATTTATTTTTAAATTGATGTTTAGATCGAGTGGCAGAGCATGCAATTCTTCTCTATAGTGTCATATCTATTCGTCATTACCAGTCAGCTGTTTATATTCTGTTGGTGTGGACACGAACTTACTGCTACAGTGAGTATGTCTATGTATAATTTTTTATGGAACTTATTCCATAACCACATGGAAAGTCGTAACCGCAGCCTATGTCGAAAGGGATTGTCAACGATTGGATCTAACAGCCTCATTGCTAGCAATATATCCTAACAAGTTAGAATGAAATAAATAACTCCTATTAAAGCATTCGATATATCCATTTAGACCAGCGGTCAGCAACGCGTGGCCCGGGGGAAAGGGGTTGTTAGTAATGCGGGTTACTTGTCCCATTGCTAGCAATATACCCTGTCAGGTTGACCTCCACGCGGTTCCTCTGGAAATCATCGTAGTTAATTATTGTTATATTTGTCACGAGGGGCCAATTAATCTACTTTTATACTCACCGTTTCATCCATTAGTACGTAGCTATGGCATAACGCCTGTAGGAACAGTGTGGAGGTCGACGTGATAGTGTATATTGCTAGCAAGGGGGCAGTAAGTTCCCATTAATAAAGTCTCTTTCCTCCATGCTCATTAGTTAGGGTTTGGTCACTTTGACAGATTTTAATAAAAAATATTTTTTGTGTATGTACATATTTTTATGCAACCTTTAAGATGTAACTGCATTTTTTTTTAGGGAAACAATAATGAGTTTTCATTCATCCATTCAACTTAATACATTTTACAGAGCGAAGATCTCCATACAGTAATGTACAAGTGTTTATGGTACGAACAAGATCTGAAATTCAAACGCGATCTGTGTTTCGCAATGATGCGCATGAGTCGCCCGATGATTTTCCGTGCTGGTCACTATGTAATGCTCTCACGGCAGACCTTCGTAGCTGTAAGTTTACAATTGTAATAACCTTTATTTAAAATTAGCGTGAGGCTTTTTTGAAAAAGACAAGCCTGTTTAACTAAAAAAAATCATTATAATTAGTTTTCAATTTTGCAGTAGACGAAGATATTGCGTATAGTAGACACTTGATAGACGAAGATTTTATTAAATAAAAGTTTATTTCAATTTGACATAATTAATAAAAAAACGAGAATGTTTCTGAAACACAAGAGTGTAAATCTATTCGATTATAAAAATATCACTAAAATCGGTTCAAAAGGATATTCCATACGTACATTAAACAAATACAGTTGATTTTTTAATGATACGTATATTTAGAATTACAAACAAATTGGCAGTCCACTTGATCAATAAAATGAGGAGTAAAAAGAAATGAAACGCCTAATAAAATATGTATCTACTTCCATTTGTAATACGTTTAATTATTTACATAATTTTTAATTTTCAATTTCAGATTCTTCGAATGTCCTACTCTTATTTTGCTGTTCTGAATCAAACCAAAAAGAACTAACAAACTTACTTTTGTTAAGTAGTTAGCAAAGCACCTAATATTTAGACAGTGATGGAGAACAAATATAGCCATGGTACATATATTTTTAATTATTGAAAATTTTTTTTAGATATTTTATGTTATCAGCCATGCTGCATGCATGCATGCCATGATTATTTAGCTGATTATGTTAATCTACCTATTATATTGTGTTGTATTTTTTTTAAATTTAGTGTATTTAATTTGGTGGTAAAAGTATTGTGACCTTGTAAATAGAGGCTTGTAGTGGTACTAAAATTTATTAAAGACACATAGAAACTATTTGTTTTGTGTATATACTTAAATAAAAAGGAAATTATGAAGAACTCTTATTATTACTTTTATTTAGTATCCAATATTTTGTTGCCTGCTATTTCTTTAATAGAAATTATCTTAAAAAGATTATAGAGGTAGGAAGGTACATATATTCCGTATTAAACTAACAATTAAATCAAAAGTTTGTTGTGAATTGTTCTTGTAAAGAATTATTAACACTTTGTAGAACAATTTAAATTTAATTGTATAAAGTTTTTAATAACCTGATGCTTTAACTACAGGTTGTTCTTATCTATAAAATGACATTCAGGTATGATTATTTTATTTCTATCATTTAACACATAAAAATCTTATCCCTGATGGCCAACTGTAAGTATTACTCATGTAATTTCATTGATACATTAATGAAATTATACCCTTATACAAATTAACTCGTGATAAAACAAATGTAAACAGCTCTATTTAACTTTTTTTTGTACTACAAAATAAGTGGGTTGAAGAAAATATTTCTGCTTAATAGAGCGAAGCAATACTTTACGCCGGATCAACGACTGATGCTCTATAAAATAGAAAATCCAGCTCGGCATGGATTTATGGGGAGATGTCATTTATGGGCGGTAGCAACTAGATACTAGCTTAAACCCTTCAACTTAGCGCAACGACAAGTGGTATCGAACCCTTAAGTCTTAGGAGAGATTTTTCCTCACACTGCATGTTCTATCGCTTTTTCAATGAGCTATGGACAGAGGAATTGTTCAATATGATGTCCACAGCCACTTTCTATCATCGTACACCACACCATCTACAGAAAGTTCATACCACTAATTTAGAGCCGGGATGGTCGCTTACAACGTGGTTTCAGAGATGTTTCCTCTTACGAACGCTTAGGTTATGGAATGAGCTCCTTCTCGAGGTTTTTCCAAGACACTACAGCATCTTTAAAAAAGGGATAAAGAGGTTTCTTCAGGTTTAACAATGAGCGCGTAATGCCTCTGGTATTGCAGGCGTTCATAAGCTATACATAGCGCTTACAATCAAATGGGCCGTATGCTTGTTTGCCACCTCAGTGGTATAAAAAAAATATTGCGTTAATACCCACCTCTTAAAAACATAATACATATGTGTTATATTAGTGAGACATGTTTGTAGAGTCAGTATTTATACAAAATGACCGAAATATTAGGATATTACAAAAAGAAAATCTATTAGCCTCTGTACATAATAGTAAAATAAATGCATAGCCTATAAAATATTCTTCCAAATTCAAAATGCAACATCCTTTATTTGAACATAGTCAGTAATTTATATGTTTGATGTAGTACACAGAAGCGTTATATATATAAACAAGTTATTTAATCTTGGAAACAAAACTGAATAGATATTTCCTACGTTAACATATTATTTCAATATGTCGTATAATAATGCGAAACTATTTTTAGAATTGCCTACATTTTTATTAAAATACCTGGGCTTGTGGATCGTGTCGGAGAGATTCAAAACTTTAAATAAAATCTATCGAACTTTCGGTTTTGTCCTTCATTATAGTGTCTTGCTGTCGATTTTAATATATTTGGCAGTAGTTTGGGGTAATATTGATGCTATGTCTAATGCATTGTACATATTATTCACACAAACGTCGACTTGTTTCAAAATAACAGCGTTTACTGTTAATAAAAAACGTCTTTTACACTTATTGGCGTTCATGAATACAGAAATATTGTTGCCTAAAACAAAACAACAAGAATGGTATGTCATATTTTTTAAATGGATGAAAATGGAATGTTTACATTGACTATAGTAATATATTACGCTAGCGGGATATCGGTGAGATAATCGTGAGAATTGATTGGTAAGGTTGAAAGCCCATCGTGACTTTCCCAAGAGTTAATCACGGTGGTTTCCAGGGGGAACCGCGAGTAGGTTGACCTAATAGGGTGTACCTATTGTTAGTATTTGGACTGTTAGACCCTATTACTAACAATGTCTTTTCTCCTTATAAAGAGCACATTAGTTTGTCCATCTTAACGAATTTACCAGGAATTGTCAACACGAAACAAATTACTATGATCAAAACCATTACATTGCTAGGGTTGGCGGTTAGTAACCATTCCATTTTTATTAATTTAATAAAGTGTTCCAGATGTAATGTCAAGTGTAATTTTAAAATTGTTTACAGCATTTTAATGATGCAGGCTCGTAAAGCAAGATATTTGACCATATTTTTGGTGGCAGCGGCCAATATAAACGTTATGGAATGGTGTGTAATACCTTTGCTGCACCAGGATGAGCCTAGAACTTTTCCTTATACAATGTGGTACGTGGATTTCGAAGAATTTTCTTGATGTCACACGTTTTCACCGTTCATGTTAAGTGGCAATTAGCCATTGCTATCAGGTGGATTATATGCTTGATGGCGAATCTTTTTATAAAAAAAAAACTATTTAAGAATGTTAGTCAAAAATAGTACGAAGCGTTATTCATTTATTTAAATAACTTTATTGATCAAAAGAAGCTATAGTACAAAAGGCGGACTTAATACTAGTAGCTCTATACCAGTCAATCTATGAGATGAAAGTAAATTACAAGCACAGTACTTCATTATTAGGATAGATACCCAACGATAACTTTAATTTATATTAAAAATATACTTTGAATGGTCCTTTGGCTGGGAAATCATGGCACTGTTCATGTTTATGAACGACGGTTACCATTTTCCTTTAGGTGGACCATCAGCTCGTTTACTATTTTAAATTGCATAAAAAATGCTTTAAATATCTTCAGTTAGCCACAGAGACATAAAGGGACTATGTAATACATGAGGAAGTTTACTTTTTTACGTAGATAGAGAATCTGTTATTGTCTCTCCATAGCCTTTTACTATTACTGCGTATGTTTACAAAGGATGCCTGTGGATACGCAGAAGTCGCCAGACTATCAGCTGGGGTACTTCTATCAGGTCATGTTTGGAGTGATGTGCGCCACCATGTTCATGGCCATTGATGCTTTCATTATATCCTCAATCATGTTCGCTTGTGCACAACTTGATATCATCCGGGATAAAATTCAAAAGGTAAATACGAGTATGTCTAAACTAATCTGAAAGTAACCATATACTTTTAAATGAAACATGTCTTTTCCAAATGGGCTTATAAATAACGGAGTTTTGAGGAAGCAAACATAAAAAAATATAATCGAATGTTCTCCTTTTTGGAAGTCGATTGAAAAGAAAGAAAACAGGATTATTTTATTAATAAAACTACTTACGATATCCTGTATTATAAAAATTAAAACACTCAGAAATAATTTGAGTTAAATTAATTGTTATTAAATATATTGTTAGCAGCAGAAAGTCGTCTACATTCCTTTACGTGGCTGCAGGTGCGGGCCTCGAGTAAAGGCTCTTTGCCCGGGCATCTATTGCGTAGGCTGACGTCTACGCATCAATAGTTAAGGCTCGGCGGTCTAGCAAAATATTATATATATATCGTTAATATCGACTTTACTCGTATACCTTTCTACCTATTTTATTTTCGAGATTACTCGTCTAGTTTCGGACTCAATGAAGAATGCATTCATAATCGTGACTTACGGCAGTGTCTCACGCAAGCAGTACTGCGAGTCCGAAATTGAAATTAGTCAGGCTGTAGCGTATCGTCAAATTAATACGTGAGTAAATTCGATATAAACCATTATGATCGTTGTTAATTAACAATTAATGGTTTAAGGTTCAAAGTGTAGAATTGAAGCAGGGAATAAATCTCACAGAGAAATACGAACGTTGGAGAGACAATAATAAGCTCTTTGACGAATGCATTACTCAACATCAGTCGATAATACAGTAAGTTTTTAATACCATCCTAGGTATATGAATTATTTTAAGCAACTTAATTAAATATGAATTTTTCAACTTACCACTATTAAAGGTTATTCATATTGCTGTGTGGACCCGGCATAGAATAGGCCACTCCTTCTTTTCCCGTGGGTGTCATAAGATGCGACTAAGGGAACTTAATGGTCGAGGGATGGGCAACAGCGTTACTTTTAAAACATCACCAAAGCCTAACTGCGGTTGACAACCCACCTACCAAGCGTGGCAACTACTGGCATAATCCCCCTTATGGGGCAGGCCTATATCCAGCATTGGATAGTTAACGACTGATATGATAATTCTTATAACTTATTTACTGTTACATGATAGAAACAGATTGGACGTAAGAGAATATTTCATTACACAAAATTCAGTCAGTGACAGTTGATTATGGTTATGTTTTCTACAGATTCGTGGAGCTTGTAGAGTCTTTGTTCCACTTCGGTATATTCTTCCAACTCAGTGGATCCGTCGGTATAGTTTGCATGCTGGGATTTAGATTGTCTGTGGTAAATTTTTTTTTTTATGTGAAAACGTAATAACCTGCCCTCATTCCAGAAATATCTGGCGCTCAACCCAAGACACAAGTAAAGTTTACTATGCGTAAAGATATGTCTGAACATCTGTACATATTCGTTTCTTCCGAGGGCCAGGTGAAGCCTGGAAAATGTGGAGAAAGGGATTGTTAGTAATAGGGTCTATCTTCTATTAATAGCTATTGCTAGCAATATACCCTATCAAATGGATCTCCTTACGATTTCCCCTGAACGTATTCGTGGTTAATTCTTGAATTCGTTACGTTGGGTTAACTGGCCTACTTTCATCCTAACCCGACATCTGTTATTTGTACCCTGTCAGCGTATAACGATATTGCAGGCAGGGTTGAAATTCCATTGTCACACACTAAAAAAACCTGAAAAATATTCTTAAATAAGCTAATGGGTGTTATTTTTAAGTTCTTGTTCCCTAGTGAAGATCAGATCATTCGCTAATTATTAGGTACTTATGTAAAGTCTTATTTATTTCCAAAACATATTTTAATTACGTTTGTACGCAGGAACCGCCAAATACATATGAATTCTACTCTTTATTGAATTACATGGTCAATATGCTGGCACAAGTGTACTTTTATTGCTGGAGCGGCAACGAGCTAACAAAACGGGTAACAATGTTTCGAGTTTGTAAACGTAATTCTTAATTTTATTATACAAATCTAAATTTTCATATGCTAAGACCTAAATGCTTGCGTACAGCGCTGTTACAGAAGAGTTTTCTTCCCCAAACTCTTGGGTTGTAGAATGGACTGCCGAGGGTTTCCCTAGAGACGATAGTACAAACTTTTTTAAAATGGGTATATTAAAATTTCATCAGGATCGGCTCACATGCTCGTGACTGACACCCTTAGTGTTGTAGGCGTATATAGACCATAGTGATTGTTTACCATCAGATGGGCTATATACTTATTTGCCAACTTCGTGGTATAAATTTTTTTTTAAGTTGTTTATCATATTCATACCTATTTGTTTTCGATACCGCAATCTATCGCTTAAAATAAGTTCTTTTATAGTTTCTTCATGCGAAATCTTCAAAACAAATACAATATATGTATATGCATAAGAGTTGTGTATGGTGCACTACAATTGTTTCCTACCAAAGTAAAACAAAAATCGATCATTCTAATAGCAATTTTGAAATGAAAAGGTTTCAGAAAGCTTGGTGCTATTTCTTTTTTAAGGCAACGATATTAGCTACTTTTAGCATCAAGAGATAATTTCATCTAGGTTATTATTTAATTTTCTCTTGCAAAAAAAAACGAGACACCAAGATTTTCCTTTCATCAAGGCAAAAAAAAAAATTTAAGTTTTTCAGATACGGACTAATCATATATTGAAATATTTATAATAAGAGTAACAATTAAACAAAAACAATATATTTACTTACATAATTAAATACACATTTGTAGATGTATTTTAAAAAATATGCTGTTAAATATAAAAAATAAATAAATATAAAAAAAATACTGGTTACTAAAATATAGGTTATACCTAGTTTAGGAGACAGGCCACAAGTGACTGCCTTTGTACATTATTGTTGGAAATAGAATGTATTAGCATAGATAATACTATACTACGTACTGGTATTCTTAGAGTCAAGACCTTCGCAACGAACTCTACCTGTCCCAATGGTATGAACAAGACGCCTCATTCAGAAAGAAATTACCTTTCGCTATGGAATGCATGAAGAAGCCGATATTGTTCAAGGCTGGCCACTTTATAACGCTGTCCAGACCTACTTTTGTATCAGTGAGTTTATCTGTACATGGGTTTTTTTAATGGACGATAATAAAATGGTAATCTTGCCCGCGTTATTGGTATGTCCCTTTCAGACCCAAGATTTTTTTCTTTCAGATTAAGTATATTTTCGTATTTTGGAGCCAAGCCATCTTGCCGGCACGCCCTGAGACTACTGCACCACCTAACCGCTAAAATGATTTCTTATTGTTTGGTTTAGAATCTCACTGTCATGTTATTTCAGCTTCGTGCGTAAAAATAAATTGCACGCAGTTTCAGAATTTTTTAAAGTTACAACTCATGCCCGTATTTTTCAGGTCTGAAAGGAATATACTGGCAGGGCACCAGTGAGAGATGACTGGTGAGGATGAAAGGCAGGTCCGTTAGCCCATCGTGACAATTCCACTAGAATTAACCACGATGGTTTTGACATCGCTAGCGATTGAAACACGTGGAGGTCGACCTGTTAGAGTATATTGCTAGCAATGGTGCAATTAAACCCGATTACTAACAATCCCTTTCCCCCATTTGTAAATGGTTTAATTTACTTGGCTATAGCTGTTATATGTTTTAATCAACTATACCCTGGATCATGGGGAAAAGGATTGTTAGTATTGAGCTCTAACCATGACCGTTGCTAGGGGCATTTAGGGGTAGTGCCCTACCTTAAAAGGCCCAACGCCCAACTTAATATTAAAATCTCCAAGAAAATTAAACAGATTCGCTTTTTTCAACTTCTTTCAACCATGTCGACCTCGTCGCGGTTCTCCCTGGAAACTATCATGGTTAATTTCTGAGGAATTCATCATGATGGGCTAACTGGCCTGTTTTCATTCTCACCTATCACCCTTCACTGGTTCTCCGCCAGCGTATCCCGTTAGCGCAGGCGGGGTTACCATACCATTTTCACCCATCGAAAAAAAACATCGGCTGAGTTACTACACCATTATCACCTATTAAAAAGCTTCTGGATAATGGAAATTTTACTAATAGTTAGTGATTGAAAAATTGAAGTGGTAAAGCCTATTACATATTTGCATGATAGCTGTGTAGATATTTTATAACTTCCTTTTCTAGGGGGAAAGGTTAGTAGTGAGATAACTGCCCCATTGTTAGCAATATACTATCCCAGGATGATATGGTCTATGATGATGATCCTACATAGGATATACCCTCGTGGTTTCCTCTGAAAACCATCGTGAATGATTTATTATTATATTCGTCACGATGGGCCAACTGGCCTGCTTCATCCTCACTTATATAGCCCACTGGTACCCTGCCAGTGTATACCGATAGCACAGGCGAAGTTACCATTCTATTATCATCCATCAGCTTCTAACCTAAAGATTATTCAAGTTTCTCTTAGCAATTAAAAAGAGAATATTTACAAAATTCTCCTGTTTAGAAACTTAGATTCTTTTTTCTATTTACAGATTCTACGTTGTTCATATTCATACTTCGCTCTTTTAAATCAAGTCAATAATAAGCAATAAAACAAATAATTCATCTATTCGTTGAATATTAGTTGAAAACTTCATTTTTTAACGTTCGCACCGTAGAAAGAGTTAGTAATAAAAATATTGGTAATTTCTATTTTGTTATTGTTAACTTAGATTTTAAAATTTCAATGAAAATAAAACAACGGAAATCACAAATTAATCGTTTATTTATAAACCGTGTATCACATATGCGTAGTGTTACATTCACGACATTTTAGGCAAGAGTGTGCTTAATTTTATTTGATTTATGAAAAAATACATCATTTTGTATCACTCAACGACACTTAACTTATTAAAAATGTTAGTCAAAATCCATAAATTCGTGCGCTTAAATTAAAATAACAACAGCATATTAAGGCGAAATTGTAAAACAATATGATTTACAAGTTACAACCATCTTTTAGAATTTATGTCACGATATCAAGGCTGTGGTCCATTCACAGTATCACATATTTTAAACTTGTTAAATTTTAAACAAAATAGTTTTTTATTCTTAGTGTTTGTAGTTTTTTTTTTTATTAATGGTAATGGTAATATCGTCTGCATTATTGATACACGCAGACGAGGTACCAGTGACGGATGATAGGTGAAGATGAAGACAGGACAGTTGGGCCATCGTGACAAATTCACCAGGAATTAATTACGACGGTTTCCAGGGGAAGTGAGATCTGAAAAAACAAATCACCCATATGTCGCAGTACTAAGGAATGAAGAATTGTAATTTTCGAAAATCTTATAAAAATTTTGTGTTCATTTTCTTGGTATAAAACTAAGTAGGCGTTCCAGTATAAACAACATATAAATACTAAAAATTAAAATAAAAAAAAAAAAGCTCTTATACACGGCACAGGCATTATTATCTAAGGAGAAATATCGATTATGAAGGAGATTTTTGTGATTGTGAATAGACCATTATACAAACTATATTTTCACATACACCTATCAATATTTATCTCATTTACGCATAAAGAGTAAGAACGAGATAAAAAATATTGATAAGGCTGAATGAAACTTTGTATATAAACCCGATATTGTAGGGGGTGAAGGGAATATTAAATATATACCTAAAAGATATTTGAACATTGATAAATTTTCATATCAATGATTGACAAGTTTCATTTGGTTTTACGTTTAATATTTTACCTATTGCCTCTAGCAATCGGGTAAAAGTACTAATAAACAGATCTGCCACCTCACCTTTTATCGTAACACTATTAGCCATCTGAAATGTTTTTTCTTCAAACAAGTTTTCTGGCGACAGATCTGCTTTGTACTTATGCAATTTAAATACCATAACAAGAAAAGCATTTTAGAAAAACATTATGCGATTATCATTAGGTAATAATCAGTCGAATACCGTTACTTATTTACTCGATATAAAGCTCATTTAAATCATTATTAGGGCTGCTCATTACACCAAAGTTGAAATTAAAATTAATAATTTAAAATGATGTGTCTATATTAATCAGTATAAAATACAGTGTCCAACAAAATTTTCTGTCAGTTTTCCGGAGTCGTGAAGTACTCAATAAGAATAAGCACTAACTTATTTTGAAATAGGAAAATATATCACTGATTATTATAGCCTTATAATAAACAAAGTTCCACTGCTGGACTATGAGATTTGATCTCGCCCCGTAATACGAGACTATTATTAAGTTGGTGGCTTGGCACAAGGTTTATGTTTTAGATTTTTTTTCTTTATTATAAGGATATAAATATTGCTTAAGAATAATTATCGCGAAGCGTACTGAATTTAATTATTTATTTTTTCACGTTTTTCCTTTCATGAATAACGCTCTCTAAACAAGTGTTAAGCGAATTCGTCGATGGAATCGACATCGCTACCGAGTCCGTGAGTTGGGATGAGACATTCGATATAGCTATTTCATTCTATTTCACGAAATCGCTAGCGATATCAATTCCATCGATAAATTCCCTTGACACTTTAATCTTTAGGGCAAGGCCTCCTATTTAGTTCGACACTAGTCAGGTATTGCCGAATTTAAGTAGTTGAGTAAAACCGACGAATAAATAAATAAATAAATATTAATAATAATAAATTAATTATAGATTTTTATATTGGTGTAATGAGAAGTCATAACCGCAATAAATTAATGGAATACATTCGTGTATAATGGCGACGCGTGAAAACTAAATACAAAGGTTTGTCGATATCACAGCGAAGCGAACTTTACAAGTCGTCCTCGGGTTCGTGGATGGTGCAATTACCCGATTAGAAAAAACCGCGCAATTATGAATGGAGCCTTATTGATTTCTGTTTCTTTCCGATAGAAGTATTATTAACTTAATTATAAATATAAAACTTTTTTTAGTCATAGTAGCTCTAGTATGTCTTTAGCAGTCATATATACTCCCTTATTCATAAAAACTAAAACTTCGTACAAACCTAATCCGACTGTTACACTGTTTTGTCACTTTCATTCAAACAGAGAATTTAACGTAAAGGAAAGAGATGAAACTAATGTTTACCTACAATGAAATGTTTTCTGACATTAGGGAGCTGAACGAAATAAAAATCTATTTCGTTCAGCTTTGAAATTTAGTAAATTCGTAAATTTAGGTTTATGAGAGATTTAACGTTTTTATGAATAAGAGGAATAGTTCTTTCGTCATCATTGCATATATCGTATCACGCAAATATGTCTTTCAATGTGTCAAATTGGATATACTTATGTATATATAGGTTCAAATTATACAAAAAGAAAACACGCTTTGTTAACATATTATTTAGTAAACAATGTAAATATCTTAGATATTATACGTCATACACAAATAAAACAAATTAGAGGCTCCATTTATTGGCGACATAACGTCTTGTATTAACACGGTTTGTTGCGCGACAAATTGTATGTATGCGTTTATTAAAATTACTATTAAAACTTTGTAAATTTGAACGTTGCGGTTATTTTGTAACAACCAATATAAAGCCATATGGAAATAAAACTATAAATGATTTCATGTTTACTACGGGAAGTACTTAATCATTTTGTTAATAAGTTTATTGGTACAAACCTTGTAAGTCCACGTATGCATGGGTATGTTTGTTGTATTTCTATTATCAAGCAAATATGTCTCCATAACTCTACTGCGGTAGTTATTTTATATTTCCCATGACAAATAATATTATAACAATACTTATTTTGTAGTTACTGCAAAAGATATTGCGTTAACTGTGACAAAATTTTTTAGTAAATTCATAGCTTTAAACTGGAGCTTACATGCTAAAGGGTTGCTCTGATTACAAAGCCCCTGTCCCTTTACGATTGCTTTTCATAATCTTGTTAATTTTTTTTTTTAATTAAATTTGTTATTTTTTAATAAATTTATTGTTATTAATTTTAGTAAGTTATAACCATTTTTGCGCTAAACATACTTTAAGGTATATTTAAAATTAAAACATTATCACTTCATAAATGTTTATAAAAAGACATAAAAGTTATATTAATCAACCAACATTATTAATATTAAGTTATTTAGTACATGGGGACAATTTACACAATTAAATAACACAATATACATATCATTAATTTAGAAATGACAGGATGGATTTTTATATGGCCAAAAATAAGATAAAATTGGTAGCTGAACGGTTTCAGCTAAATTTAACGCATTGTACGATACGCTTGATCGTTTACGGATTTTCTTAGATAAAGCACTCAGAGTGATTTATTTAAGAGCCATTAGCCATTGTCATGTTATTTAGTAGAGTCTCATGAACTTTACCAGATCAGTATCCTTGTAGATAACATGATCCATACTGACGTTCCCAAATCGATGATTCATACATAAAGAATCGATTAATTCAAATCCAAAGTTACAAAAGGTCCACAACCGAAACAGTTTTAAAATCAATAAAAAATCACAACTTCAATATTATTTGCACACTTGCCCTTCTTGTTAAACTTGACTGTTGCCAACATTACAAAATGTCGAGATCGATTAAGTCGTTTTACCTTACAGTGACAACTGGCTGTTTCCAGCCATCATATGGCAATTTTAAGCCATAATATTTCAATTATTAGCCATAATAGTGCTATTTTGTGGCATAGTATGGATATTTCTGCCATATTATGACCATTTTCTGCTACAATGACCACAGGGCCGTAGCTAGACCCAAGTTTAAGGTAGGGCAAAAGCCATAATTAAGGTACTTCGATTAAAGCGAATCTGTCTAATTTAATTAAGGACTTTCATATTAAGGTAGGGCATTGGGCCGTTTTAGGTAGGGCATTGCTTTTTAATGCCCCCCTTCTAGCTACGGCCATGAACGGCCAACAATGGTAAAAATTTTTACGAGTCAGTCATGGAATAACCATTATGTTCTAGCAAAACGAAGAACATTCGTTTCGGCTCTATTCACTAACGACTTTATCATTAAAAATCATCGACAATCACACCTTTAAAATGATTTTAATTTCAATCACGAGTATAACTAACCACACGCTTCCATTGTTTTTTGCTTTCGCTTTGTACAATATTAAAAGATAACAAATAGGCAAAATACAAGCCTCAAAAACCCGACAACAATTTCGTATGTACATAAATATAATACATAATTTTAAAACAATAAAGTTAATGTTTGTTTGCAAGGAGATAAAAGATTGTTACTTTTTCTTTCATCCCAGCACAGCACAAACAATAAATACCGGAAAATGTTAATAAAAAACAAAACAGATTTGTAAGAGATACAGTCGAGTTATATTATATGCATAAATGTATTACAATATTCATAATAAAAGAATCATGATTCTTTAAAAGTTATAATATTGTCGTATTGGGGTATAGACAAGAATATACACCATAGACACGATTTATTAATAGAAACCTGTCTATTATATTTGATACAAGGTATAGCTGAATAAAATAAATTCTGTTAATGATTTATGCTAACTTTGCCTAAAATCTGGTAGTGTATGGCAAGCTTAAGATGTTACATTTACACTATCTAAGGAGCTCAAATTAATTTCTATATCAGACTACGTTACAACTAGGAATGTTATGACTATCTATTATAATTAGCGTATCTACAAGTCCATAGTTGCAGCAGTGTTTTTTTTAAGACAAAGAATTTTTTTTTTGTTTATATACAGGTCAAAATTTGAAACATTAGCGTCCATTTAATGTGAAAACAAAAAATAAATGGAATTTTTAATATCAACAGCGCTTTCAAATGTCAAGTTTAAAATAAATAAATAAAGGAAGCCTTATTTTATTTTTCTTTATTTATACCCTCTTTTCTGTTTTCTTTTTTTTCTTTAGTAAACACTTAAAAGGATGCTAATGATTTCGATTTCAATCCGTATGTTATAAGGTTTATGATTTTTAACAATCCTATAATTAGCTGTAACATACTAAGAAAATTGGTGACCGTTACATACAGACGACACAAATACCTACACTTTATTTATATTATATAAAAGTTTTATAAACCTTACAACAACAACACACCGATTTGATTAACGGTCACTGTCCAAAATTCAGTACGTCACAGCCCTTCATAATAAAAAAAAAAACAAGCTGCAACCATAGACAGTAATAAACATATTGAAAAAACAACTATGAATGTCTACAAGTCTAGTGTAAAAATAACGGTTACTTTTAACTGCACTAACTGCTACTCGCTGTCTTTTATATAGGAAATATGTTTACAACTATCGACAATACAGTTATTTTAAATGTTATTTTGGCTTATATGATTTAACGGCTAGCGAGCAGAGTTACAATGTCTGGCCAGAAATGAAGAAGAAATTAATAAATAAAAGCTATTTGAAAAAACTAGTTTCTGACCAGACTTCTAGAACAATCGAGATTTATTATTTAAATATAGAAGACAGATGAAGACATACAATTTAAAATTGGAATATATTTGGCATAAAAGTTAATAGAGTTGAGTTATAAAACTTTTGTCTCTGGTTCTTCGTCTAGCAATAAAAAAAAATGACTATAAAATGACAGATTCAACAACATCCTAAATCATGAGTATTTATATTAATTATTATTTAGAAACAATGCTCATATAAAATCTCGATTGTTTTCCACGTTTAAAGTACTTCTAAATTAATTCGCAGATATTTTAGAAGTCATTTTACTATAATCATGTTCAGTAAAGAAATGGTTTACTTTGTTTATGGTATGCCTATATACTTAGAGTGAATAATATAGCACTGCAATTTAGTATTGACATTGTTTCTATCATAAGGGCTTATACACAGCTTGCTTTTTTTTATCAAAGTATTAAGTACTTACTGATGTTTCTTTACAATATCTGCATTAACTTTAGAAGTACCTCAGAACTCCGCGTTTCTATGGCCCACTATGTCGACTAACATACAAATGTGTGGTCCAATAACTGATATATTCCAATAACATTAAATCGAAGAGATAGACAATTTTATAACAAACAATTATGAAAATATATTATTTTTTTTATTACTATACATGCTCCAAACGCCAGATTGTTAATTGTTTGAGCAAAACTTTTTGTTTTTTGCTTAGTGTAAGAAGTGGTAGCTACCCGTCGTTTATAACGTACAAATACTCATAAGACTTGCAGCATCACGATACGGTGATATTATATACGCGAAAATAACTAGCTAATGGTGTCAATTTATTTGTTTGCAAACTTAAAGATTTTTGGGTACGAACATAACAAGAAGGTGTAAAAGGAGTAGAGGGGAGAATTTATCTTTCTTCTCTCTACTCCTTTCCCATATTGTTTTTTTATTACTATGGGTAATTTATCAGAGGCACGTCTATTTTTTTTAAGACTTAAATAAGCCAACCGAAGTTTTGTTTCTCGGATAAAGTCAGAGTCTGCAAGGGCATTTAAAATCTACACCTATACTTTTTTTATATTGCATTATAATGCTTTTAGCATTATTGTCAATAATATTAATTGTGTCAGCATATGAAGTAACCTATTTTTCGCAATAAAACCATTTAAATTGTAACTAGCAATTAATTATTCGCGCAATATTGTGTAAGTTGTAGACTAAGAAAGAACTCGAGTATCGCTGAACCGCCGCGTATAAGAATAAGACGCTGAACACTGCTATCTCATCCTAACTCATGCACAAGATAGCGAAAACATATCTATCGATTGATCTGTTATTCTTCTATTTCGTTTGATAAACGGAAATAACTAAGTGTAAATTGTATGCTATATTCTTGCTCAATATATAACTTGAAGATAGTTAATCATATTAGTACCAGAGAAAAAAAAACACGAATATTATGTTGGCTTAAGTAAAATTATTTAATAATATAGGTACAAAATTATACTGTCCATTTTATTGTTTGCGAACTATAATTTCCGTTTTGTCAAGTTAGATAATGGACATAAATCGACACCAATGTCCACTAAACATATATCAATGGCAATATGCAATTAAAAATAATAATTCTTTTTATTTTCAAAATAACAACAGAATTAGAATAAGTACATTCATAACAACTGTATTTACATTAAAACGTTTGCAGCAATTATTTGATAGTACACCTTCAGTAGAAAGAATCATTTAATCTGGCTTTATATATTGTTACAGACAAGTTCCTCTATACATTTTTAACACTGTAATTTTATAGTTACACTCCCTGACCAGCGAACGTCATCTTGTCCACTATCACCACCTACCGGGGCTGGTTTTTTTTATGTCACTCAAATTTGAGATAAACAAGTCGTAATAATTTATTCTAACTACCTCAGGTGTATCTATTTAGATATCAGCAACGATGTATAATTATGTTCTCACTCGCTCACACAGCATGCCTCAGAAAGGGATGCTCGAGATCAAAATGAGTGTCACAATAATCGTGCAAACGGCCAACTACGCTTAAATATAATTGGTAAAATCCAGGTATGTTTAAAATACTGAGGTTACTACATTACACACTGATCGACAACCATGCAAATCATACATATATATATTAATAAATAAATTGTTATAAGAATATTTTATGTAAATAAAAGAAAAAAATAATCCTTTTTCCTAGTCAGACAGACTAGTTCAAGGAAAAAGGCAAGAAAATTTATCAACATAGTATTTACATGTAAAATAACGTGGCAGAATAACATTTTTCCTGAATCACATAAAAAAAAATATTTAAAAAACAATGATTTTAAGTAACTCTTTTTAAGGTTATCGACCATAAAACATTTAATTGCACTATAATAATAATGAGGTACTACTACTAAATATAAAAAAGGTTAACACAATTTGTACACTGAGTTAAAATTGTTTGTTTGTTAATTGTTCGGTACTCTAACTGTAGTCATACACATCATGGATGTTTAACTTCCATTTTATTAAAAAAACAGGATGTCAAAATTAGAAAACTAACTAAAATATTTTTTGTTATAACATAAATCCTAAAATTGTATATTCTATTCTATATATAATAAGCGAGATTTCTTTATATCAAGCAAGAGGTATTAGGTACTTAGCTAGATTTTACGAGGCAATTGGAACCTCGTTTTATGCACTGAAAGACAGTAGGTATAGCTCTGTAGTCTTCTTACGAAAATGCAAGGCAAGATTAAGAAGTATAGGTCTGTACCTAAAAAAAACTAAATATAAGCCGAACGAGCCAAGGTTAGGATACAAAGTAAAATAGGTTATCTCTCAGACATAGAGGCCACTATTCAGTATCCTTTTAATTTTGGACGGGTTATGGTAGAGGGCTAATATAACCCGACTCAATTAAGAAGGTATTGAGCATGAAAGCGTATGTTTACATCGTAAATATGTAATCTAACACCGAAAGCGACTTTTTAATTGAGCCGAGTTGCATTAATCATCCATTCGGCTTATTTATGGTTAAGTTAGATACTAGGTTTATTCTCATTGAAATGTTGTAAAAGCATATTTCTTATGCACATTGAAATTAATTTCGACATTTTTAACGAATTATTTTTGTATTATTTTATTCTGTTCTATATTTAAACTTGATCAAAAGGTAATATCAATAAAATTGAAACTTGATTTCAATTTTACAGTTAGTTAATAAAATATTGTTGAAATTTGAATTCTTCATAAACGTAAAGTTTTTTCTTTTTTAATTTACAGTAATTCCTAACGTAGTAGAGTTCGTATGTGCTGTCACAGTAATACTAGTTCAAATTACACTCAAAGTGAATCTTAGTCGAAACACGTGACTATTGTATGGTAACAAATGAACAACAATTGATGTGAATTTCGACAAATTGAACACTTACATACTGTCTCGAAGTTCTGAACTCGGATATATGTAGGTATACATTGTTTAATGCGTCAGTATTTTTTTTTTTTAATTAATATTAATAAATACAAATAAAATACAATACATTCAAATAAATAATAATAATTGGTTTAAGCTTTTAGAATACTTTTACGAAATATATTGTAGGACGTCGATGTATTGGCAATAATCATATCAGGACTTGTAACTGTCAAACATAAGCCTCCCCCATGGAAGGGGGTGGGGGGAGGGGGAGGGCAAACTGGTATTAGTAAACAATATTATTTTCACACGGATTTCGTCTTCGACAAACATTTTGCATACATTTTTTATGTGTAGCAAAATTTCACTGTTTACCATAAATTAACTTTTCATTTTATAACGCCCCAGTGACTTCTCTAAAAACCCTAATCTTCAAAATAATAATTTACATTGTGTCGATGGATATTTTTGAAATATTTAAATGAATGTGCACTTGAAGCCATGCTATAAAACATTTTAATGAGAAATAGGCGAAGATATATAGACGCAACTCGATTAGTGTTTCCTTCCAAATAAAATGCTTCATTTACATCTATTCCCATTTAGTTAGAACACTTTTATTAACAATCAAGACTTCTTTACATATTGCGAACTTACACTTAAATTCATTTCATGAATCTTGTATGGAAGCGAGATATATACATCCCTGAGATGCGACTAGATAACCCTGCCATATTATAATCAAATTCCATCTGTTCCATACCAATTTCATATGAAAATACATTTATTTCAAACCGATATTCTGACTAGACGCCATTCCGTATTCTATTAAAAATATTATATAATAATCTTAAAATTAAAAATTCAAATATGTCACAATAGGGAAATGCATTGGATAAATATGACCGATATAATATTATCTTTAACATTTGAGCGGTAGAACTTTCGAGAATTTAATCTCTACGAACTCTCTTTTGTTCGTTCCATCCGTTCCTTGTCAGGTTTAGATTCTTCTACATCAATGACTCACCTTTCTTCTACATTTATAGTCAATACCTGAAAATTATAATATTTTAAGAATTAAATAAAAAGAAAGCATTTAAATACCATTTTCTCAAATACTTTTATTATTATTTATATACTTTTAATTTTTCATTATTACATACTGGTGTAGTATTTTTAACTGTTTATATGTTTTTTTTTATAGTATAAAACAAATAAAAAAAAAAACATTTAATTCTTCTCTTTCCATTATTAGATACTATTGAAATTTTAATATTTTCGAAGTTACACTCGTTTACACTTGAAGGGATTTTGATTACCCATCACACTAAAATATTTATAAAAGAGGCAAGACGCCGCGTGATTTGTTTAGACCACAGAACAAGAAATTTGTTTTTTTTTTTTTTTTATTTTTTAGTGGTAACGTCTACGTAATCCTTAAATAATCATATATAATAGTAATCAGAGTCGGCACTGCAGTTACAATGACGAAATTGGATTGAATATGAATCTATATAACCACCTAGAACTGTAAAGGCAATAAAATAAATAGATAATTATAGTGTCATGCAACTATCTATAATATGCTTCTGTCAAAAATATCAATATTGATAGGTATCACAAAGGCTACATAAGCTAGCTACATTTATAATATGTATATGGTTATATACATATTATAAATGTAGCTAGAAGAAAGAAAGAAAAGAAAGAGAGTTTATGTGAGGTTGTACGCATGTAACTGGTTGCATAGAATTGATATTTTTTTGGTTAAAAGTAGCGCTGAGCTAGATTGGTCTTCTTTATTGCCGATGCAATGGTTTAGTATGCACTGACCTGTATCTTTGTAGGCGCTGGTTCATAGTCCTAGATCGCCGTACTGCACGGACCACTTCTCGTACGCAACGAGGCTGTGCGGCGACACAGACGGCCGGATGCGTTTCAACGAGTCCATAAAGTCTTGGAAGGTGATGCTCCGGACTAACGACAGGTCGAGGCATTTCACTTCCTCGGGGTCTAATTCTGTGAACGGAAGTTATGTTTTATTTGTTGCATCAAGCCTAGTCACTTTTAAGCGTCTTCGAAGAGTTCCGAGGTCTGGTTTCAGCATAGAATTGGCCACTCCTTCCTTTAACGTGGGTGTCGTAACAGGCGACTAAAGATACTTAATAGTCGAGGGACGGGCAGCAGCGTTCCTCATAAAACATCACCAAAGGTTTACTGCGGTTGGCAACCCACCTGCCAAACGTGGCAACGACTGGCAAATCCCTCCAATAGGGGAAGGCTTATAACCAGCAATGGACAATTAACGGCTGCTATGATGATGATAAAATATACAAGAGGTTTAGAAATATTATGTGATATATTACCGATTCTGAATTGATCTTAATTTTTTATTACTATACAGTTTTAGTTCTATATTGATTTTATATTAATTTTCTCACGACTGAGATCAACAAAGTGAGATGAAGGTAAACAAAGTAGTGGTAGACACGGTAGCTTAGCAGTCAGCAGGCAGCAGGCGCCAGACGTACCTCTGATGGGCCCGAGCGCGGCGTCCCTGCAGAGCGCGGTGAGGTCGCTGCCCGAGTAGCCGTCCGTGAGCGCGGCGAGGCGCGCCAGTTCATCATCGCCGAGCGCTGAAGCTGCGGCACCGCGAGCCAGCACCCGCCGCAGTAGCGCACCTCGTGTTCGCAAGTCCGGCAGCGACACGTACACGCGCTTCGGGAACCGTCTGCCGGACAATTATTTACATTGAAAATATATAAAATAACCCACATCATACTATTTAAATGCGACAAAATAAGTATTATAGTTTAGAGATTGTACAATTTACGCAAAGTATCGCGTAATTTACGTTAATTTTACGCGAAATTGCGTAACGACACATGTGCGACGTTTACGTTGCTAAAAGTCAGCATCTCAATTGGTGCGTCGATGTAATAATTCAAATGGTACATCATGTTGAGAATTACGCGTCGTAATTTACGTAACGGAATTTACATAGCTCTTCCTATAACTCATTTTACTTAAATTACTCTCGCCGACAAAGAACATTTATTCTTTCAGACGCGTTTTTTTTTTTATTTTGGAATTTTTGCTAGCTAATGTTTACGCTACGCCAGAATACAATATAAATATAATAACACCAGTATTACTAATAATATAAAAAACAGTAAGCGTAAACATATTAAACATTTCATGTGGGTACATTAAATATGACTAATTATAATTGTAATCATATTCAAAAACCTGACTACCTGAGAGCAGCTTCGTCGAGCTCCTGCGGCCTGTTAGTGGCCGCCATGACGATGAGCCGGTCGGCGCCGGCGGCGGGCAGACCGTCGAACTCCACTAGGAACTCGGTCTTGAGCCGTCGGGACGCTTCGTGCTCACCCGACGAACGTTCGCACAGCAACGAATCCACTTCGTCCACGAAGATTATTGATGGCTAAAATGTAAACATAACAGATAATAGGAAATGTGAAAATTGTGAAAGAAAGAAAGAAAGAAAGAGAGAGAGAGAGAGAGACAGAGCTATGGTTCATGTTATATTCTCTCACTTTTCCATAGTCCTATAAAATAACGCATATGTAAGAACCTAAGTCATTATTTTAGTTTTAAATCTGCAATGATTTGCTTATGTGTTTAGTTAGTTACGGTTATTTTACATCATGAAAAACTGAAACATGTTCCTAAACGATTGCCCATATGTAAAAGCTTGTATTTACTTAGCGAGCTATGGAGGGCATATAGCCTTCCATAGCTCGAAGTTTTTTGCATGACAGAATCCGAAATGAGGATATCTGCAAAGTTGCAAAGTGACCCAATAAACCCAAACGCTAAACAAGCTGAACAAGCAATGGACTGGTCACATAGCTTGAAAAACCGATAGGGAAGAAAGGTTATAGAGTGATGACTCCGTATGGGCAAATACAGGACGACTTCAAATGCATTACAGGGTGTCAGTGAATTCAAGTGACTCAAGACCGTTCCTTATGACGATTTGTTGAGGGAGCCTATGTTCAGCAGTGGACAGACAATGGCTGATATAATGATAAAAAAGTTTTCCAAATACAGAGTTACATTTTAAAATATTTTCGAACGCTGTGTCACGTACAATCACATACAATTTTATTCATGTAAAGTGGTCGGTATTTACATATAAACAGTAGCGTAAACAAGCGTAAGTGTGCGTAAAATTTATTAATACCTGCAATTCCCTCGCAACCTGGAACAACGCTCGGACCATTTTCTCCCCATCACCCACATACTTGCTGGTGAGCGTTGCCGCCGAAATGGAGAAGAATGTGGCTGAACACTCGGCTGCTACACACCGGGCTAGCAACGTTTTGCCTGTAAATTTGAATTTAAGTAAGATACTATAGTCATGATATAGTGTAGCGTCTAGTAATGGAAATTACGCGACTGAAGTTCGACATTTACGCACACGACTCTTTTTACTTTAGTAACAGTTACTGCAGTAAAGTTGATTAGAGTAACAAAACGTAAATCAATAATTTTTTCGCCCCTTGTTTCTTCATATTTCTTTAGTAAAAGTAGATAATTATTTATTTTCTTTTAATTAAATCAGTTAATAAAATCAGAGATTTTTTTTCTATATATTAGAGTTTGGTGAATAGTTTTTCCAAAGCACCGAGGTGTATATTTCTTATGTCAAATCACACTTGCTAACTACCTTATCATTCATACCAGTGCAACGATTTGCTGCTACTCATGCATTACAGGGTTTTTTTTATACAACTTACAATGGCAAACAAGCTGACGGCCCACCTGATGGAAAGTGGTAACCGTCGCCTATAGACATAAGTTACAATGGACATAACAGAGTATACTGTTTCGCTCATGATAGCCCCCATGCGTTGCCATTCCTGAGGACTCAGGTGTTACTACATGTAAGTATATCCTTTCAGATAAAAATAAATAATTTACCAAATCGGTTTAGAACTAACGGAGTTATGAGAATAAAAACCTTCTTTTATAAATCAGTTTTTTTTTATTGATGGGTGAAAATGGTATGGTAACCCCGCCTGCGCTAACGGGATACGCTGGCGGAGCACCAGTGAAGGGTGATAGGTGAGAATGATAACAGGCCAGTTAGCCCATCATGATGAATTCATCAGAAATTAACCATGATAGTTTCTAGAGAGAACCGCGAGGAGGTCGACCTGGTTGGGTATATTGCTAGCAACGGGATTCTCAGTCTCGATTACTAACAAAAAAATCGGCTTCAATTGAGACAAAATCAGTTATTTTGACTTAAAAGCTAAACTACTGAGACCTGAGACCAATCTGTGAGTACTTTTCAGATAAAAAAGAATTTTCCAAATTGGTTTACAACTGACGAAGTTATGAGGTAACAAACATACAAAAAATACAAGTGAACTAAGAATCTACTTCTTTTTGAAGTAAATTGAAAAAGGTTAATTGCTAGCAATGGGATTCTCAGTCTCCATTACAAACAATCCGTTTCCCCCCTTTAAAAGTCAGTTAATATGTAATAGCAGCTAGTATTCAAAGTCACTGTTGCATAAAACTGCATCGACTGCACATCAATACAATACAAGGGGACCAGCGAACAGAGATACAGAATAAATTATGGTATTGACATTACAAATAACAATAAACATCGACATCAATTGTGGCAAAACCAGTTATTTGTATTTAAAAACTGAACTGCTGAACCGATTTATATAAAATTACTATGAAACAAAGAAGATAAAACAAAAAACTCCAAATCCGTCATCCATCATGTTATCATGGGTCGAAACAGTATACTCTATTATATCCATGGTACTGCTCATGTCTATAGGCGATAGTTGCATAAAAAAAAACAGTTATAAATAATTGAGCTTTAGAGTAACAAACATAAAAAAATAAAACCGAATTGAGAACCTCCTCTTTTTTCGAAGTCGGTCGAAAACCCCGCTTTATACGAATCGTACGTAATAAGAATAACTTTCATATAATCAGTCGAGTTTCATATGCACTTTGTGTGGAGGGCGTAATATTAGAGAACTAACATAGCTTTATCGTTGTGTTACTCGTGCGAAGCGGGTATTTAATTCCCCAACGACTTAAATACAGTCATCATCATCATCATCACATCAGCCACCGACTGTCCACTGCTGAACATAGGTCTCCCTTTATTGGGAAGGTTAATCCAGTAGTTGCCACGTTTGACAACCGCCGTTAGGCTTTAGTGATGTTTTAAGAGAGACACTGATGCCCTACCCTTGATCATTAAGTTCCCTTAGTCGCCTTTTACAACATCCATGTGAAAGGAAGCGAAATAATTAAGATACAGTAAATAATAAGAAATTACCATTTCCTGGCGGTCCGAATAGAAGCAGACCTTTTGCCGGTGACCTTAGACCCGTGAAGAGTTCAGGCCTCAGGGAAGGGAGCACCACCATTTCTTGCAACGCTTGTTTGGCAGCCTGAGAACAACAATTATATAATGCGATTCGTTACACGTAGAAACCAATATTACAAAAGACAGATAGTTACAAAAGTTTTGTATACGTCAAAGTTTTCTTTTCCTTTCTAATACAATACGAGTATTTGATAATTAGCGAGACTAATGTACTTTAGTTGTGATTTTAACATTGTTACTAATGAATAAGTAATTTTTAAGGTTTTACGACTAAAGTGAACGTGAATGAAAAAAAGTAGATTTAAAATAGCTTTAGGGGCGAATAGAACAATGTAATTTTCTGTGTATTTATTTATTTATTTAATTCTTTATTGTACACACCAGTTATTTATAAGAATATGACAGAGCTAATCAAATGTATAAAGGTGAGCTTAACTCTAATAGAGTTTTCTTCCAGCAAACCCAGCATCAATATATTTAGCTTAATATTATGTGAAAATTTAAATAATATACTTAAATAAAATTATATAATATTTTCAAAACTATAATTTATATTTATTTATAATATATTATATAGATATAATATATAAATCCCGCAATGGTAAACTGCCATAAGGAACAGCCGTTCCTTATGGTAGTCTATGTGGGAAATAATAAAGAGTATCTATCTATATAATATAGAAACACATGGAGATGCTGTTTAATTGATGTAATACCTTAACCTGACTTACGATCTATAAAATATATATATTCTTTTTATACAACTTAGAATGGCAAACAAGCTGACGGCCCACCTGATGGAAAGTGGTAACAGTCGCCTATAGACATGAGCAGTAACATGGACATAACAGAGTATACTGTTTCGCCCATGATACCCCCCATGCGTTGCTATTCCTGAGGACTCAAGTATTATTCCTCTGTACCCAGTAAATTCATATCCCACCCTTCAAACCGAAACACAGCCATGCAAACACAACTGCTTCACGGTTGAAACACGAATGGGACAGAGGTACCCAAGCAATCGACTTTTGCACAAAGTCTCTCTCTATCTTATGTAAAGATAATATAGTAATATGTGGCAAACAATTTTACTAATAGCTTCGTCCTCAATCTAGATTAGTCTGTATTTTGAGAAACTAGAATAGGAACATCTGGGGGCGCAACACAGAACACCCACGCCAAAGTCAATTTAGAAAACTTCCATTTTTTAAATTGACGTGAACTAAATAAATAATTCGAGACGCTGCTGTGCTGTTCTTATTTTTTATACTACTGGGAATTACTAGATAGATAGATACTCTTTATTGTTTCCTTTAAAACATTACAATAGTAAATTTATTATAGATACAAACAATTACAAGAAATGTTTATACTAAGAAAATAAAGGGCGACCTTACTTCTTTCTAGATGCAGTGTTTCTACTAAAATCGTCTATGAGTATCCAAATAACTCTTATTCACTCGTATTTCTGTCGCGAAGCGATTGTGCTTGCGCGGTTGTGTTTCGGTTACAAGGGTGGGATATGGCAATGAAATTACAGGGTACGGATACATAGTACGAAGACTTAGTTCTCGGAAATGGTAATGTATGTAGGAACGGTACCATGGGCGTCAAAGTGTATTTTGTTATTTCCACGACGCTGTTCATGTTTAGCTATTTACCAACGATTACCACTTTCTTTCAAGTGGGCAACTTGTTCGTCATTCTAAGCTGCATAAATAAGGAGATATTGTATCATATTTCATTGGTCAATAAAGTTAAGTGCATTTAGGACTTGGTCTCTGCCTATCCCGAAGAGGATTTGTCATGAAGACTTGGCAATAAAAATTGCATAAACAAGTGTTTGGTAGATAATCCAATAGCATTACATCTGACTTTTGTATTATATTTTATTCGTCAATAAAGAGCCTTAGAGACTTGGTCTCTGTCTACTCCAAAAAAGACTTGGCGTGAACACAGATTTAAATAAATAGATCTTATTTGTAATCTCACCTCCTGTCCAGCGATGTCATCCCAATGCACCTTAGGCCCGCCCTCAACTATCTCGTCCAATATCAGCTGCACGAGCTTGGGGTCGACTCCTCGGATGGTGAGCGCCGGCTGGGGGGTCCGGCTGCGAGTGGGGGTCCCGCGCTGAGACCCCCCGCCGACGGCGCGCCGCACCGGCGACCCGTTCGCCGGCACCTGGTACGCGCTCTAAACGTGAGAGTATGAAAAAGTGATGGTTAATGGTGATGAAATGATAATGAATGGGTCAGTTATGAAATGAAAATGACTTTGTTATGAATGAATAAGAAGAATACATTTATTTTGTGATTTTAAATGCAGATAATAAGAATTAAAATGGAGGTTTTTAAGCAAATATATAGATATAAAAGTAAGATTAACCAATTTCCATTAAAAAAAAAAAAAACAGTACAAATCGCAATGATTGTTTGTCTATTCTCTAGAATTTTCTGTTTGATATCTTACTACATATTATAAATACTATATATTATATTACAAACATACAAACATGTGTATATTTATACTATTATAAATATACACATGTTTATATGTTTGTTATTCAACTATACTTAACGGCTGAATGAAGCTGAACGAATGAATTTGAATGCAATTTGATACACCAAATCGGCTATAATCTAACTTAATATATAGAATACTTTATAAATTGACACGCGCAGACAATGCTGCGGGATACAACTAGTTTATAATATTAGTAAGAAGCTGAAGGGTGAAAAAAAATTAAGTTAAGAACGCAATTTAAGCAGATATTCAAGCGAAACAACCAGCTGAGAGAGAGATTTGATGGTTTTGCAACGTATGCAGCCCACGTACTGTGACCATTTTTGTTGCAAAGTAATTCGAAACAACTAAAACTAGTTTTATTGCATATCCACACGCGTCGGATGATGAATGTGGGTGCGGTGCGGTGAGAAACTCATATTAATATTATAATGACTACAAATATAATGAAAACTAGTTTCAATGACTGAAATTATTATACTGAAATAACGTAATACGTAATTTCTATACTATTATACTTATACTAAGTCTATGGAAATAACAGTATTATTTCAGTTGATATTTTTTTAGTTTTATAAATGACTACCCAGATATAATAATAATAATATATTTTATTATTCAAACTACAATTTGGTCCATTTTGTTAGTAACAATTTTCTTACAAACTACATATGTTAGTAAAAAAGAAAAGCAATTGAAGTGAACATTTAATTAAAGCAATTCACTCAGATGTGACCCAGCCGACTAGATCAGCATCTGAATGAAATGCCTAATTATAGGCGAGTTATATTTCTCGCCTATTACTTTTAGAATGTTGTTGGTACTTGTCCTAACCCTGTGTAGCATTGATGCAGTTCTTTCTCTTTATAGCGTAGTAATCATCTACGCGAGATATATCTAAGTATTAATGGAGAAGACTAAAATGTAATTTGTGGAATTAACTTATTAAATACATTTTTACATATTGGTATTATTTATTTATTCTTTATTGTACACAAAAAAAATTACAACATATAATATATATAAAATAAAGATGTACAACAGACGAGCTTAACTCTGTAAGAGTTCTCTTCCAGTAAACCCTGAGTGGAAAGGCCCATTAATTACTAGCGGGCAGTATGCGCACAATAATAGAAGAAAACATAAATGTTTCTACTAAAAAGTAATAAATATGTTGACATATATAAGTAACTCATACAATTAAAATCAAAATACATACATATCTGTATACAATAATACATATACATATATACGTATTATGTTATGTATAAAATTTATCGTCTTTACGTTAAATATCGTTTCTTTTTTTATATCATTTTCACAACGGATATATCTTGATGCAAATGAAAAGTTTATCTGTCATCTATCGTTGATAGATCGTTGTGATATCAATGCACAGTCGAAATTACTAGTTAGAGGAATGACATTTTTTGATGTTATTGGATATTAATTATATTATTATCGTTACTGGTATTCGCTGGCGCGGCACCAGTGAAGGATGATAGATGAGACCATCGTGATAAATTCAACAAAAATTAAACAAGATGATTTCCAGGGAGAACCACTTGGAGAACAGATATAATATTCCCTATATTGCTACAAATATAGGGCTGTTAACGGAATAAGATTTGTATATCGTAAGTTCGGTTTGAAGGGTGGGATATGGCGTGAATTTACTGGGTACAGAGGAATAAGACCTGAGTTCTCAGGAATGACAACGCATGGGGGGTATCATGGGTGAAACAGTATACTCTGTTATGTCCATGGTACTGCTCATGTCTATTGGCGACGGTTACCACTTTCCATCCGGTGGGCCGTCAGCTTGTTTGCCATTCTAAGTTTTATAAAAAAAATATCGTAAGTGAACACTACTAAGACATTTATCAAAATTACTTATTTAATTTTTATTTTATTTATAGACGAGGTTACCATTCCATTATTTATCTTTAAAAAAAAAAACATAATGTCATGTACCATGTCCTAATAATAAATCTAAATATGTAAAACCCGTTAGTGTCGTAAGAAGCGACTAAGGGAACTTAATGGATTAGGGATGAGAAGTAGCGTCCCTCTTAAAACATCACTAAAACCTAAGTGCGGTTGCCAACTCGCCTGCCAAGCGTAGCTACCACTGGCAAACTCCCCAAGGGGGTTGCCTATGTTCAACAATTGACAGTTACCGACTGATATAATGATAAGCTTTGTTGCTGTCTACGTCAAAATATGTTTGGCGTATATTGATAGAAAGGGAAGTTGTCATTTGATATTATTCGCTTCATTGACGCGGAAATAACGCTGACCTTAGGGCTGCCAGCGATATTTTTTCACTTAAACGATCGCAAAACATGAAGTCTCTCTTTGTGTTTAGATTTAAACAAGGTCTCTGAATACTTCCGAAAGATGTACAGTATTTTAAAGATTTTACTGGCTATATCGGTTAGACAATAACTAATACAGATTTAGTATTGCCATTGTACAAAATACTGGTCGGTTACTGAATATTGTTCAAGTAATGAGAGCCCTAACTTTTTAAATGACAGACTAACAATATTTTTATATTTTTTCTTTAAAAAAAAACTTTATGTCCGGGGGAAAAACAGAATTGATTTTAAAATTAGCATAGGATCACACTAAATGAAGTAAGTTCAGATAAAAACGGAATTGAATTAAAAGTATAAAAGGATCACTCTATATGATATTACTTTTAAATTACTAAGACAAAGAGTTAAGTACAATCCCCCTTATTCATAAAAACTAAAACCTAGAAACCTATTTTAATTATTACACTATTTTGTCACTTTTATTCCAACTGTGAATTTAGCACAAAAGAAAGACAAAACAGTTCAATAGCTAAAATAGGTTTATGAGAGGTTTCATGTTTTTATGAATAAAAGAATGTTTTATTATTAAAACCAAGTCATAGACATAAAAGGGAGAACACTTATTAAGGAGATCATAGACGTCACAGTATACTCTGTGTCTCCATAGTGCTGTTATAGTGCTGCTCCATAATGTCTATAGGTGACGGTTACCATTTTCCATCAGGTGTGCTGTCAGCATATTTGCCACTGTAGTCGCATAAAAAAACAATCATTAAAGATGTCACATGAAATATATTTATGTAAAAGAATAGTTTAATTAAGCACCTCCTTTTTTGATGTCGGTTAACAATATTCGGACAAAATTAAGCGGGGTGGGTAACCAAGTCCGATATTGAGCGGAAATTGCGTCTCGTTACTTTGTAAACGAATGGCTTCCTGGCAGGGTTCGTTAGTTTCGGTAGTCGTGCAACAGTTTGTCACAAGCAGTCTAGTATAAATATACTGATCATGTGCGAGTCGAACTTGTGCACCGAGGGTTCCCTACAAACTATAATTAATTTTTTTGTGACAGTTTTACAAGTTACACTACTATTAACCGGGCATCCCGGGCATCCCGTGATTTTCGCGTGCAGTATCTACTAATTTAATTTTACGCATCCCGCGATTTCGACGTGCTCGCATTTTTTATGTTTATTGATGTTGTTATCCCGCGATTTGTGTTTTGGTAGACTGATATTGTTCCTCAGAATCTCGCTAGATGATCAAAGCGATGTGCGAAAATGAAGCGAAAGAAAAAATATATATACGCGTACAGAGGGTTAACATTTTTATTTGTGTCGTACGACATTGCTTCTTGCCAAATCTCATTATTCTATGTATACGAGAAGTAGTCTGTACGATTTTTTTTTTTGCAAATATGTCTAAATATATGCTATAAACGGTTGTATCTTTTGATTGCGTTGAATTACAAGTTTGATTTATTACAGGGAGGAATGAAAGGGATTACGGAATTGAGTATTTGATATTAAGTTCAGCTTGACTGCCTCCTGAGAAAAAAGTCTTGACAGACGGACAACAAAATGATTTTATAAGGGATCCGTTTTTCCTTTTGAGTTACGGAACCCTAAACAAATTGTTAACCCTATATTACATAAGAAGGATCTGTATACAATTACACATGAAATAAAGGGAGTTAGTACATGAAAAAATCTGTATTAGTTTTTGTGTTTGGTGGCATTTATTAAAAACATAGCTAAAATGCAAGTTTTTTTTTATACAACTTAGAATGGCAAACAAGCTGACGGCCCACCTGATGAAAAGTGGTAACCGTCGCCTATAGACGTGAGCAGTACCATGGACATAACAGAGTATACTGTTTCGCCCATGATACCCCCCATGCGTTGCCATTCCTGAGAATTCAGATGTTTTTCCTCTGTACCCTGTAAATTCACGCCATGCAAACACGACCGCTTCACGGTAGAAAAACGAATGGGACATAGGTACCCAAGCAATCGACTTTTGTACAAAGTCTCCCTCTGGTAAAAAAAGTATAAAAATAATTACATCTTGCATTAATTATGTATGTAACTCGTAGCGAATGAGTTCAGTTCGCATGTGTCGATTTTTAGGGTTCCTGACAAAAAGATATGAAATAATTACAGTTTATAAAGGGATATGTGAATATCACAGGAAAAATAAACTTTCTAAGTTGATACATTTTTTAAAAAATATCAAAAACCTCTAAATACAAACTTAGTTATGCGGTCCAATTTTAATCCACAATTATGTTTCAAACTCACGAATTATAATAACAATAATAAGAACTGTTAATAGTCTATTTCATGTGAGAAACTATTGCTTTTTTCGTGTGAGAAACGCAATAAAGTTCATTTTATCTCATTATATATATATATATATATATATATATATATATATATATATATATATATATATATGTACGGAACCATTGGCGTGTGAGTCCAACTCGCACATAACTTTTATTTTAAAATTTTCCTTTTATGTGCCAGTATTTTAGCTCCAATATAAAATAAGTCGATGACCATATCTAGGTTTATGGGCACTTTCATAAAAGCTGTAATTATGTGCACTCTCGGTGGACAATCGCTGATTTATTTCTGCGACTTTCACTTATGTGTATGTAACATTTATTGATTGGGTGATACCATCAAAGTGAAGGTGTTGGCTGGAAGACGATTTGAAAGACGTTCATTAATTCGACTAACTATACAGGTGAAACTGAAATAGCTTTTAAGTAAACGTTCTACCAATAGAAAACGACGAGGGCGGAGAGCACTACTACACTAGTAGACCGACCTCCACACGGTCCTTCCTGGGTGCTTGTTCTTATTTCCCTCGCCTCTTTCCGTTACCCGGGGTGAGTTTTAGTAACCATACGATGCCATTTGTTTCGTTGGTATATACCACTGCTGGTTAGGCCAATTTGGACATTTGACATCCAGATAGTCTGCGGCTTTAGATTTTATTGATAGAGCATCGAGTCTCAAAAACGAATCAACTTTTTGTCAGCTAATTGTCAAATTAGCTGACTCCTTTTTTTATCAGTGTTCTATATACTTACGCCCATAATGTACCTTGACGTATCTACGAGTATATTTAACTATTTCATAAATAAAATTAGTTTTTACGCTTTAAAAAGATGCAAAAATCATAAAATAAATATAGAAGTTATAAAGGAAACACTCATACCGTAAAATTGTATGAAAAAGCTGAACCGTTTTTTTCGAAGCATTTGTATGGAGACACTCTATCTTTATAATCTATGTCTGCGCTTTATTCCGTCCTCTCTTTTTTACAGACATAGAAAAGCATTTCTTTACACTGTGGCAATCGAATCGCCTCATTATGTATTCGTAACACCATAGCAAACTACTATAATTATTTTGGAAAATGTTTTTTTTTTTATTTGACTCCATCTTCATCGTTTCCCTTCAATTAGTGTCCAGCCTTTGTAAGTATACGGTTAGCGAAGGCGGCATTCTTTAGTATTTTTTTAATGGATAAAGATGGAAAGGCGGCACGGCACAGCTTTCAGTCTAATCTATATAAAAAAAAAATATACAACAGAGAAACTGAACAATTTTCCCCAAAGAAAGATGGATCTAAAAATGACGCATTGCCCTATTTACAATGACAGTGAGTCAGGTGGGCGTCGAGTGGTAAACATTAGACACCGATCGATTAATTCTCTGATGCCTCTTTTAAAGGCGAAACATGTCGCAACATGACAGTAGAATTTACAACCAGAAATTGATGACTAAGAGGGAAGGTCATAAGGCCTGTGCTAGAGATGTGCGAATCCGAATGATTTTGTTATTCGAATAATTAGTAATTGCTAATTTTATAATTCGACTACTAAATGAGTAATATATGTACTAATTTCTGTATTCGAATGATTTTAGTAATTAGTAACTTATTACAACAAAAATCTTTCTCTGTGTATCTGCTACTACCAAATCCATTCCCTGTATACACTACTACTATATTACTACGGCAAAAAAAGTATTCGAAATTTTTTTTAAATCATTCCAATAATCCGAAAGATTTGCTCAATCGAATAATTAGTAGTCGAATTAGTAAAGTCGCGGATCGCTGGTCTATACTAATCTAGTCAGTGCTCAATGTCAAATGTTGACAGTTGCATGAAGTTTGCGGAAGTAAACGAAATAGTTCTAATCAACTAGTATGGGTGGGCCAATATTTTTTTCGTTTTGGGAAAATAGAAAATGAATAAGATTTAGACTCTGTAGTATCATGGCTAGGTGGTAACTACTATATGACGTTCTTTAAAGACTTATAGGTTTCAAAGGTTATTTTGACCTTCAAATATAGGTGTTATCACTCACTAGAAGGTCGTAATAACGAATTTTCAACCGACTTCAAAAAGAAGGTTGTGAATTTTTTAACTGACATTTTATATTTTTATTTAGATAACAGTATCTTATAACTCCTGGGTTGTAAATCCATTTGTAAAATTCTTTTTCAATCTAAATGATGTACTTAAAGATTTTATTTTTTCCCATAAAATATTTTATCAAATTCGGTTCAGTAGTTTACTAGTAGTACAAATTTTGTTACAGAAATAAATATTTTTCATTTATTCAATATATTTAAAAAATTTCAAGTTCGAATCTGGGTAACAAAAAATCTTTGTTGTTAATTTGAATTTCCGATTAGATTTTCCGGCGATGGAAAACATCGTTAACAAAGCAAATCAATCTGAATTTTAGAAGTAGAATTACACTCTGCGGCGTTAGATTCTAATAACTATGCGTGATGAAATATGGATATTGTAAAGTGTTAATTGGTCACAACGGTAACAGTCGATTATTTTTATATACTTTTTTTTTATACAATTTAGAATGGCAAACAAGCTGACGGCCCACCTGACGGAATGTGGTAACCGTCACCTATAGACATGAGTAGTACCATGGACATAACAGAGTATACTGTTTCGCCCACGATACCCCCCATGCGTTGCCATTCCTGAGGACTCAGGTGTTATTCCTCTGTACCCTGTAAATTCACGCCATATCCCACCCTTCAAACCGAAACACAGCCATGCAAACACAACTGCTTTACGGTTGAAACACAAATGGGACAGAGGTACCCAAGCAAACGACTTTTGTACAAAGTCTCCCTCTGGTGAGTTACCATGAAGTTGGTAAACAAGCATACAGCCCATTTTATGGTAAACAGTTACTGTAACCTATGGATGCCTGCGACACTGACTACCTTATCACGAATTGGATTCGTAAGCTTACTTATTTTATTTTACAGGAAAATCCTAACTATCAACTTCTATTTACGACTAGACCTTTTTTAAATTTATTATTATTGTAAGCTCATAGCTTTCCCTCATGGGGTATTAAGGTAGAGATTTTTATTTTATTGAGAAATACATAATTCACGGAAACCAACTTGACCCACGCGTGCACGAAGCCATAACAGTTTTGTGTGGGTGTCCATAATGAGGCGTTTGTGATTGACACAACGCCATGGGTTGGCCAGTGGTCAACCGGCAAAAATCGATGTGGTCACATAATTTGATGACCTCATTGGGCACGTTTCGCGTAGTGATTCAATTCACGACCGAGTAATTTGGGAGTCAAACTTCACTAGTCCCAGTATGTATAGTGTTTAATACCAATAAGTGTCAAACGTTCAGGGGTCAGTTTTAGCGAAATAAAATGACTTTGTCTAGAATAAAGTTTTAGAATTAGAATTTACTAAATTAGCTATATCGCGCGACTTCGTTCGTGCGAATCAGTATATAAAGTATTCTATAAGTTAGGATATAACCTATTTATGTACAAAATTTCTTTCAAAACCCTTCAGTACTTTTTGCATTATTTATTCATTTATTCATCTCAGCCAATTTCCATTCACTCTTAAAAATAGGCCTTTCCACAAACTACCATAAGGAACGATCCTGAGCCACATGCGTCCACTGACTCCCTGCAATGCATTTGAGGTCGTCACTCCATCTAGTGCGGTGTTATCATTCAAGAACCTTCTTGCCCATTGGTCGTCGGTTCTTCGAGCTATGTAACCAGCCCATTGCCAATTCAGCTTGCTTATCAATTTTTGCATCAAAGAATAAAAAAAATCCATCAATAAATCCTAACAAACGTTTGCGTTTATAATGTTAGTGGGAGATTTAGCTTTACTTCATAGCGTTGCAATAAAATATATTTTTCGCATTTCCAATAAAATAGTTCTTACGGTTTGGGCATTTTTTCCTTGGCCTACTGTTCGGATGATTTATGGTACGAGGAAACAACTGAATTAACATGAGGATCACATAATGGAATGCATGATAGATGGCTTCGGGTTGAACAATTACATTATTGTTGTAGGCATTGTGGTTTGGAAATACAGTAGCAAGGTTCACAAACACGATCAAAAATCAAAATTATTCCAAATTTCAAATTGATAGCATTAGTAGATACGTGTATAGCTGTTAAAAAATATCGCTGTAATCTATGTTATAAACAGACGAATGGACGGAAGGAATGGGCGATCGCACCCAAAAGTCGACGCAGACGAGAGATATTTTGTCCGCTGAGAATCTCTTTGTTTGCTTCATTTGGACAAGCTTTTAAGTCTGACGACAGATAATTCGGATTTTAAGCAAACATTATAATAAACCACGTAAATTTCATGTTAGAACGTGCACATTTTTTATTTTCCATTAGGTGGGCCGCCAACTTTTTTGCATATGTATCATAAAAAAAATATTGTGTAAGTACCCAAGTTACAAACGCCGCCCATACACACAAATACACACACAACATAAAATCTCCCTCCATTCATAAAAATACACACAAGTCAATCCGGTTACCGGTTACTCTTACAATTAAAATAAAATCCTTCATTTGTGCAGGCCATAATTATTTTTTTTAAACATCTTTATAGTACGGAACCTTAAAAATAAATAATACCTCTAAGCCGACCCGATTTAAAGGTTTAAATGTTGATAAAACTAAAATAAAGGGGGAGTGGCCGAAGCAAATATTATGTTAAGTGATTGAAAATGTTCACGTTGTAATGAAGATTGACGCCAAGGGCAACGACCAGTATTTGCGTACCCAATTAGCAACGTTTCGTTTATGCTTTAGCTGGCTGATATGCACGAATTTAATGCGGATGGAATTAATTTTTGTTACTATATAATTACTAGCTTTAGATAGCTAGCTTTTGCCCGCTACTTAAATATAAATAAATAAAAAATATGCTACTAATTTTTAAATTATGTAAAAGTAAATAAAGATTATAATATGATGTACTCACAGATAGCTGACGTTTCACAGCCGGTGGCGTGGACGCCGGCTTCACTGGGTATCGACTGTAGCTGCCGTTGGAACTGTTCGGCTGTGATGACGACCTGCCCATGGACCTCGGCAAGGTCTGAGACTTCATCAGAGGTCCACCCACACCACTGGGCACTCTCCGTCCAGCTGTGGTCAGTTTGCGGCCAGCTACTGTGTATAACGTGAAATATTAAGATCCAACTGCTCTCTCGTTATCGCAGCGAATTCTAAATTTCATTTAAGAAATGAGATATTTTATTGCCATTAAAATTATTCTACTCATATATATATATTAACCAAGGTATTACCAATAGGTATTAAAACTGCACTGTAACACACAAGGCGAAAACATATTTTTGTATTTTATCTTTTGTGTTTTATTCTTTTAATTAGGTAACTTATTTGAGTGTATGGATTTAGGTGTAAATTTACATGTGTCATAAATAACTCAAATAGTGTTTACTTATATATCTATCTAAATTATCATTATGCCAAATTTCATCAGATTATGTGCAGCAGTTTTTGCATCAATGTCTGCAGAGACAGACTGGCTACAGTTTTCGGTAAATTCCTAGATTTGATGATATGATTTCACCTTCAATCCTCACCTATCACTTTTCACACACGCTCCGCCAGCGCATATCATTAGCGTAGATGCAGTTAGTATTCAGTTTTAAGTCTCATATATTTTGTTTTTCAAATATTATTTGTTTATTACAGAAGATGGAACTTCTTTAAAGACATGAATATATATATATATATATATATATATATATATATATATATCTACTATATTAGAGTAGCTCTATATTAGACAATCAAGGCGATTTTACATTAGTCACATGCATGATAAAAATTATTTAAACGAGACTAACTTCAGAAGCAAATATGTGAATTCCTAACCTCGCCAACATGAAACCTTCACATTAATATCACGTTTACACGATGAAATTAGCTACATGAAAACTAACTCACAAAAAGCACGTTTTTAAATAGCTATTCATAAGCACTTTAAAACACTTATTTTTGAAATAAATAAAAAAACTTCACGAAATTGGAAGATTAGATGAAACGTGATAATATATCGATGATAAAACTCATATAGCTTCATTTAAGACGAAAATGGTTAGCTGAAATTGAAAGTAAAAAATACCTCATTAGCTAATATAACCTATATCTTTGTTTTTTTTTTTTTGTTTTAAAATTATATAAAATGTTTTCTTATAAACGTAAACTTTCTATAAATCTTCAAACCGTTAAGAAATAACTGAAGAAATTCTGACATAAAATCTAATATAAAAATGGTAATTAAAGTAGGTAAGTACCTTATAGTATTTTAACGGCTTACTAATCAATATGAAATTTTGTATATACGTACTATATAGAATGGGGAAGCACATAAGGTACCTTTTATACCAGTTATGTCACGGATAAAAACTAGATGGTTACGAGTATAATGGTAAAACCTTATAAATATTGATTTTATTGTAACTTCAAACTGTTAAGTTAGAAAGGGGCGGTGGTTGTTTGTAATGTGGACTACCAGTCCCATTGCTAGCAATATGTCAAGTTGACCTCCACGGGGTCCCCCCTGGAAACCATCGTGCTGAATTCCAAGTGTATTCTTCACGATACTGACTTGCCTTCTCATTCTCACCTTTCACTGGTGCTCCGCCGGCGTATACCGCTAGCACAAGTGGGGTAACCATTCCATTAACTTCTATTAAAATAAATTATTAAATTTAGAGTCTGAGATAAAGAAAAGCATTTCAGAATCATTCCCACTGATTGATACTAATTAATTATAGTAGCAATCGATCTACCATAACATTAGGGGATCCATATAAATGGAATCACATATATGAAATAGTAATATAGGTAAATAGTATTATACATGGACATAGGATTGTATTGGAGATATATGGGCGTGTATGTACGCATGGCTGCGTTTAGGTTCCCACGTATATCGACTATATTTATTGTTTACAAAATTGTACATATATTTTTTTTTATACGACTTAGAATTCAAACAAGCTGACGGCCCACCTGATGGAAAGTGGTAACCGTCGCCTATAGACATGAGCAGTACCATGGACATAACAGAGTATACTGTTTCGCCCATGATACCCCCCATGCGTTGCCATTCCTGAGGACTCAGGTGTTATTCCTCTGTAACCTGTGTACCTTATTATGTATTTTACGCAATACGGTGCAAACGATTGTTTCGCTGTTAGGTTGGGTGTGTGTTAGCTCAAACAGTGTCCTGAAGACAATTGCTGGTAAAATGGACTGTCCCATCCTAAAATATTGGGAGGGACAGGTCATGACCGCTCATTTACTAACATAGGTTAAGTAAATTTATAACTAACAAAATGGGCTTATGTTGTTTGAATGAATAAATATTATTATGTATATATTTTAGAAAATTATGCTCATATTTATAACTAGCTTATACACGCAACTTTGTCCGCGTAACTGGGATATGTTTATTGATCGGGATATGTCCTAGCTTATGGCCTTCTCCGTTCTATATAGTACGTGTATACCAAAATTCATAGTGGTTGGATAAGCCGTTACGGCGCTATAAGGTAACAAACAAACAAACTCACTTTAACATTTATAATATTAGTTAAGGATTAAAACCTGCGACAAACTATTAGAATTTGCGACTTCAAATTGAGAAATGAGCGTAATAGTAATTTGTATTAATTAATTATTTATTTAATAATTTGTATTTTAATTTTGTATTTTAATCGTAATTTTGTATTGCTATGGCACACTCACAAACGAAAATTGTATTTAGCTTTGTGTATTTTTTTTTTCATTTATGTTATCTCGCTTTTTTTGTATATGTATGTTGTAATTTGTGTGCTGTAAGTAGTATAAATAAATTATCTATCTATCTATCTAATAGAAAAACAGTGCAATAGCTAAAATAGGTTTAATCATTAATATTAACTGTCCACTGTTGAACATATGCCTCCTAGACCTTCCCCGTGGGATTTCGCTAGATTCCTAGCAAGTTTGGCTATTAAGCTAAACTTGGGAAACTGGCAACCGCAATTAGTCTTTGGTAAAATTTTAAGAGGGACGCTGCTGCCAATCCCTCAACAATTTATTTCCTTTAGCCATCTCTTACGATATCCACAGGCAAGGAATGGGTGGCCCGTTCTATGCCGAGACCATACGGCAAATAAAATAGGTTTATTAGACTTCTATAATCTTATTAATATAATAAAATTTTAACTAAACAATGTCTGTACATGAAATATAATAAAAAAAAAAAAATATGTAAGGAGGTTTTAATACGAGCAATAAAAGCTAAAACAATATTTTTTAGAAACTTTGTCTGTCAGTCTGTGTGTATGTTTGTTCCGGTATCAATCAAAAACTACGGCACAAAATTGAATATTATTTTCACTATCGTATAACTCGTATATCGTATAACTAAAGGTCCAACTCAGAAAAACCGATGTATGCTTTCCATAAATATGCCATTTAAAAGTGGTCTTTCATTGGTTTCTTACTTCTGAAATGTACGAAATAGTGGACAAAAAGTTGCTGATTAATTAGTTTAGTAATTAATTTAGTATTTTGTTTCAAAAAAAAAAAAAGATTACAATCAATCATGACAAACTTAATATGACATCAACATGTATAAATACAATTTCGATTAAAAAGGGACTAAACAAAATCAATTTACAAACAACAAAGATATGACGTAACACACATACAAAATAAATCAGTCAAATTAAGTCCTCCTTTCTGAAGTAGGCTTACAAATAAATAACACGAATTAAAATTACATAATGGTTAAACAGGGAAGTGACATAGCAACAAATGCAAGGTATAATGAGTAATCTCTTACATAGAGGTTTAAGTATCTATATAATGGTATTTATTGTAACAGAAGCGGTTACTTTCTCTATGAATAAGCATTTATTGAAAATGTATGATTAAAAGTAGAGACACTGCAGTCTGTTATGTAAACCAATCAGTCTATACCTGTAAGCGCCAATGTCCAATAACATTCTATTATCTATTGAGGAAGTAGTGGATACAGCTAGTATGGTAAACTAGTAATCCGGCTCGGTTTCACGCGGGTAGATTTTTTTTTTTAAATAATCTGTAGCCTATGCTGCTAAGGGACAATGTAGCATTCTAATTGTGAAAGATTTTTTTAAATCCAGTCCAGTAGATTTTTACAAATCTTTCTTCTTTATAATATTAGTGTAGATTTAATTATTTTTATTTATTTATTATTAATTTACAATGTAGTTTAGTCATATAGTTATTAGTACGCTTAAAAGCTGGCTGTTTTTTGCATATACCTACCAATAATGATAATAATGCAATGATAATGCAATTAAATGTTAAAAACGAAAATCCATGCAAGCACAAACGCAAACATGGACGGCGGTAAAATAAAATGTCTGCATGCATATTTAGTAATAAATTCAAACTGTGTCGTGTGCAAGCTAAAACCATGTGAGCACAGTGAACCCACAACAAACATCGATTAAAAAAACATAAGTCCAAATGTCTGTGATGTTATTGTAAGTACAATTCGAAGTAATCGGTTATTACACAAGGGGCATGTTTTAGTTTAGTTCGTTTTGCAGTAGGTTACGTCAAACGAAGCTAAAGCAAGTTTTGTGGTGGTTCTACCTTCAGTCGGTGGCTTCGTTTGACCACTGTTACTTTCTGTATGAGCGAGCAACGTCGTCTTCGACTTCTCTAAGGGCCTTCGCACCTTTAGAGGTGACTCCGCGGGTTTTTTGTCGCTGCGCTCTGGCTCACTCTCAACGCCCAACTTACTGAGGGCGACTAGGTTCGCTACATTGAGGATAACATATGTGTTAGGCACATTCTTGTAACAGTATTTTGATATGTATAAAACAAAAAAAAAAGAATAAGCCAGCATGCAACATACAGTACAGCCACCTCGGTCTGGAATTGTAAATAGCTTTTACTAACAGTGGCGTTTAGATATAGCATATATAATTTTAAGGCGGACTTCGTACCGAGGAAATGGAGCCGGTCCTTTGCCATCCCTAGGTTGGTCTTCATCTTGTCGTGGAGCCTCTGTGCTCGCTGCCACGCGTCCCCTCGTCCGCCCCAGCAGTCCACGGCGATGCCCCGTTCCAATTCGTAAATACCTTTTTTATATAACTCTATTGCTAACTCCTTTTGGCCTGTGTTGAAGAAATGAGAACAGAATATTATTAATAATTACTCTATTTACATTTATTTTAAGAAAATATTTTACTTCAGTGCTACATAAGATGTTAGTCTGAATACGTCATTGGGGCATTGACTGCGTTGATGACGCGTCCCAAAAATTCAGCACTGTCGTGATCTAGATTCAACATATGAGGTTGTTGTAAAGAGGTAGGTATAATAACAAAAGCATACATAATTTAATCATGGCTGCATCATGAATAGAGATTGATAATGAGGTAATTAAGCTATTGACAATTCTATTTGATCTGTAGTTTCAGAGATGATCTATCCAACTAAAGTACAATTTATAGCCAGACATAAATACAATATTTAAAAGGGTTTATATATATGTTCTGCAGAATCCTAAAAATAGGTTTCATTAAAATGTTAATACTTTAAAATGAATATGATAACCATTATGTAGATATACTTAAATATAGAGGCAGAGACAATTCATTTGTATTTTTATGTTGGTTAACTCAGAATTCTGTCGTTTATGTAAAACAATTTGGAAATTTGTGAAAATGGAAATATGTACTTTTAGATTATCCCCTTAGAAATTTTATCAGTATTAGTTTAGTAGTTTGGTTTTTAAATCGAAATAACTGGTTTTGCCACAATTTTTCTTTATTTTGGAAAGAGAAAAGTTTTTTAATGGAATAAATTCTATTATTATAAATGATGTACCATTCGCTTATTCTACCAATATAATAAAACAGCAATTAGACGATGTCAGTACCTGGCAGTTGTGTATATATATATACACAACTGTTCTAAATTGGATGCGGCTTACATACATACATACATATCTGTCACGCCTGTCTCCCATTAGGGTAGGCAGAAACAATGGAATGCCAAATGCTTCGATTCAAACAAACCTCTTTCGCTTCTTACACGGATGCGGCTTTTACAGTTATATTCTTAAAAGTCTAACTTAAAACCTAGTATGTACATTTTATCTTAATTTCCTTAATTTTCTTGTTTCTGAAATCCACATAAACAAAGCAGCGGACGAAAAGCTAGCGTATTTAAAAATATCATCATTTGAGCTAAATTGTTATGTACAGTAATTTTATCTTTAGTAACTAAACTTCCAGATGAATGTTATTACTTAGTAGTATTATAAAAGTAAAAGTGAATTAGTTTATTAGTTTATAGTGCCTTAACGGCTTAATCAATCACTATGAAATTCAATATGCATTTACTATTTGGGGTTGAGAAGGATATAAGCTACTATTTATGCACACCAGTAAACACATCTAGGCCATGCAGACGAAGTTGCGGGCAAAAGCTAGTAACTCAATAATATGTCATTTTATACATCAAGGAAATCATACTTTTTTTGATTATTCATTATTTATTTAAATAACTTTATTGACCAATTAAGGTTAAGGTAGCTAGCTAAAGTTGATTTAAGTTGCTAGTAACATTCTCTACCAATCAATCTATTATTATGTGTAAGACAATAAATTAAATAAAACAACCAAACTGTAAGAAAAACAAGAGTATTTCAGTGAGATTACTCATTCAGCTTTGACTATATGTAAGTTTGTACTAACAGAGGGTGGATTGCACTATGAGTCACCTTCATTCTCACTGTGTTATTAACCCCAGTTTCAAATATAGGTACTCTATGATGAAATCCCACCTTATTAAATTGACTAATATTATAAATATGAATATTTGTTGACATATTTGTATGTTTGTTACAGAGATAGACCATATCTTAGACATCCATAATAATTTAAGATTTTGTTTCACAAAAAAACACCAACTTCAAAAGTGGTAAAATGAGCTATTTTGATTTAAAAGCTAAACTACTGAGCCGATTTTAATAAATAAAAAATAAAAATAAAAAAAAACTATGGCACTAATATGAAAGTATATTCAAATCAGTTTATAAATGATGGAATTATGAGGTTACAAATAAAAACAGATACAATGGAATTGAGAACCTCCTCCTTTTTTAAAGTTGGTTGGAAGCATAGAATTATATTAAACACAACTAGTATTAAATATATGAAAGTTAGCAAATATATTTGAGTGATTGTTTATCAATCACATTTGTATAACTGAACAGATTTTAATGAAATTTGATGTACAGATAGACCACATCCAATAAATCTGGTAATGATAATCTATTAGAATTTAGAAATATGTGAGATCTATTTATTTCTTTAACAGAGTGGTTAAAATACAAATTTGACATGAAATACACATACCTACATTCACGGTATGTGAACTTTAAGAGTCATTTTAAATTATTTCTGTTAATAAAAATAATGTTATTTTTCAAGATTATGGATCTTAGTAGTGGAATGTTAATTGTTTGTTTTACTATATTATTAAAAAAATTATAACATAATTAGTGGGACAATTAAGTCTTGAAGAGATCAAAAATAAAATAAATGCTTTAAACACATTGAATTAAATGAACATAATTAAATGATATATACTTTCACTTAATTTTTATTTGTATAAGATTAAAGTGGTATAAAAAATATATGTCTTGTCTACACAATGATAAATGGATACTGACAAAAACAAGTTTTATAGATTGTGAAAGTGAATTGTATGTGCCGCTTAGATAAAAACTTAATTGAACCTGCTTAGGATGCTTACTTTTAAAAGGACTAAATAATACATTTTAAAACCTGTCTGTTTATAAATTTAATTTTGTTACTGTCATATAATAATAATAATTTAATCAAAATAATAAAATTATAATAAGAATATGATTACTGCAAGCTAACTTAAATACATACAAAATAAATAAATATAATAATTAGATACTGATATAATTATAAAATACTTCTTCATACAAAATATATTAACTGGGAATCAAACATAAATAAAGTATTTAAAAAATTATAGTCTTGTTAGATAGTATTGAATTAAAATATAAACAATAATTGATCAGACCATAACCAAGACTATTACTGATGTCCAATACTAGTACAAATAATTGATTGAGTGTTTCAATTTGTTATTAATTTCATTTTACTTGTTTATAATAATTTCAACAAAACTTAATTACTTTTTCATTAAATTCCATTTAAACAGACTTTAATAATGTTTTACATTATTTAAAAAAATAATATAAATTGCAATAATATTATCATCATACCTTCATTTTCTTCATCAATCTTGAGAGCTTTTGAAATGTACTCAAAAGCTTTCCGATGGTGATGCTTCTGTTTCGCCAGGAGTGGATCTCCCGGCCCTACACTGTGTATGTGAGACATCTCTTCCCCGTGGAGCACCTCAGTCGACACCACTCCGTCTTTTACCACAACCTCCAAATTACACTCGCCACTTTTACGAGGCTTGTGCATCAAACGGTGAGACGCCGAATACAAATACTTAAAAATTATGAATAACTGATACAAAATTGATCTGAGTACATTGAATAAAATAATTATTGGGAAAGAAACAACGTAAAGATTTCTTTTATGAACTGAAGGTTGCGCATCATTTCGCAACGCTGACCCCTTCGCTAGGTCTGCATCTGTCTTCTTGCATTTGCGATTCGGGGATCTTGCAGTTTTACGTGATAATCGACCACCATTGGAATCATCACCCGAAACCATCAAGAACACTAACACCAAGTAATTCAACACGAAAATTCCATACACTTTCTGTTATAAACAAAGAAACGCGCGTTGATTCTACACACTAGACTAATAATAATAGCAAAGGAAAATAATTCTGTATGATTGTGAGTCTGATTTGACTGTCATGTCAAATGTCAAGTCGACACGAATTCTCAAAGTGACTTATTAATTTTTTTTCTGTCGAAGCCAGTTTATTAGTGATACCAAACAGCCTTTTATATAATTCGATTTATTATATAAAGACACAAATATAACTTTGAACTAACAAAGAAAAAAATTATTTCAGACATTTTTGTTAATTATTGAATGGTCATTTAAACCTGTTATTAATTAATGACCATTATTGTCTTTACTATATATGAATCCTTGATTTATTCATTTATTTTTTGCTTCATAAGACTCCAAAATAATATTCCAATAGTTTTTTTTTATTGTAAACATACTCTTTGCAAATTATAATTTGAAAATTTATGTCAGTATCTTACACTTTATATTACACTTGATAATTTAATATTAAGCGGTAACAAGCATTGACAGTTATTCTACGTTTAATGATAAAAAATAAAATTCCAATTTTAATGAAACACATTTAAGTAAATGTTTTTTAACAAAATAGAATAAAATAACAATAACACAAATAATATAATCTGGCAGTGATTTCAAAAAAGAATTTTATCTTTAAATATTTTTTAAGTACTTGTTCTTGATATTTATAGCAGGTAGATGTTAGGTGTATATATAATAGACTATATTTTTATATTTACAGTAGTAAATATTGTTATAATAATGAAGAGTATAGTTGTTCAATAATTTAATAATTATTCATCATTATTAATTGATTTATTTGATAAATAATTTGTTTATTCTTCAGTTTTTCAATAATTACTGTATTCGGTTCTTCTTTTTTTTCCATATGTTTTTTATCCATATTACAAAAACATTTGACTTAGCTTTACAACTGGCCGCCTGCCTGACGTCAACCCTCTTTGGGAATATTACTACTGTATTATGCTATATTATTACTGTATTCGATTATTGGGATATAAATTTTAAAATTGGAAATACTGTATTCGAAATTATGAATGTGATTGGAAACCCTAAAGAGTTGACGTTGATGTTGACATTGACACTGACGTATAAATGTATCTTCACTTGCAAGCAACTTGTTCGCTGTAGCGGTGAATACGGTGATGTAAAAAATGTGTATTCAATTTTAAGTGCACGAGTAAAATTTATAGTCATATTTTTTACATAGGAATTGCATCATTCAATTCTATACTTAATAAAATTAAGAGCAAAGTAATTTCTTCCTTTTTGTAACTTTACAATTTTAATATCACGTAAGTATTAATGAGTATTAAATTTATTATGACTTAACCTTTTGGAATAATATAATTTAAAAATTATATACTTTACTAGTGATAGAGTTAGAATTTTTTTATTAATTTATATTATGTTTTCATGTGTTGTGTTTAATCTCATTCTATTTCAGGTATCCATAACAGTATTATATACTTGCTTTTCACAATTTAGATATTATTTAAACATATGCTTAGAAAATTAGGCTACCTAATGTTTATTCGTCAAATATGTCTTATTTTTTAGGCAATGGTAGAACAACAGATGGAGAACTTATCTGTAAATGATGACGATGATGTAGTTGACCCATGGAATGTAACAGGAAAGTCTGAAACGGGCATAGATTATGATAAACTAATTAGTAAGTATAAATAAGCATTAATTATAATTACAGTAAACAATTATTTTATTACCTCTATTATTGCTGGCTGATTGTCTGGAAGAGATATCTTTCATAGCTAAACTACTCTTATTCACTATAGTTATACCACCCAGCCGTTGCAAAAATAATTAGTATATAAGCTATATAATTATGAATAAGGAATATTTAAATGTGATATTTATTTTATAAAGTATTTGTTTTGTCTTTGTAATTTTGAAGCACAATTTATATGAATAAAAATTAAATGTTGCTTGTTGATAAGTAACTTGAAAATGGCTGGCACACATTTTCTAATTTTTAAGTGACTTACTATGACAAGCTGATAGCCTATCTGATGGAAAAAGTCTGCAGACAATGGTTACAATGCCTATAGATATGAATATCACAGAATTCAATATGATGCCTATGTAAATGACCATAATAGTCTATTTAAAAGTTTTAAAATAAAAAATAGGGATGGGTAGGACACTGAATATAAGTATATTTAGTGTCTTACCCATCTCATCATGTCAATATTCAATCCTACAAGTGTAGGATTATTATTATTGCACATTTAAGGTTTAAGTTTCTTATACAACATGCAATAACTATGATAAAAAGACTGATAGACCATCAGAAGTCTGATGAAAAGTGAAAACCGTCATTTGTAGACATGAACAGCTGGTTTATGTGCATTATGTTTCCTATATTCACTATGGAATATATGTTATTTTTTAAACTAACATTTAGTTACAGAATCCTTAATATAAATTATTTGTTTTTTTAGAAAGATTTGGAAGTCAGAAGATAGATGAGAGCCTTATACAGAGGTTTGAAACTGTCACTGGAAAGAGAGGTATAGTTTTTCTTTTCTTGTGAAAACATTTACATATTTATTTTAATGTAATAACTACTAGTTTAACTTACGCGAGTGCAGTCAGGTTCACGCTTGCGTCACAGCCTCTCATGATTGAGGATCACGAATTGGTCCCTAAACTAGATGAGCTTTCTCAATCTAATAAGTTAACCGGTTAGTTATTATATTAAAAATATTGTGTGCTTATGAAACTTTTAACAATAAAATTTACATGATTTATATTTATGTATAATTTTTTTTTATTTTTACAAGAATAACTGATTTTATTAAAAATATAACTAATTAATTTTTGACATATTATTCTGAGAGAAAATGCTGAATATTTATTGATTTTATTTCCATATCAAAAACATGTTTTATATAGCAGGAAAACAATCTTTTGGTGTCAACTATATTAGATAAAATAAGTAACCTATAGTAATATTGAGTAGCATGTGATAATTAATATTTCAGAATGATCCTTTAAAAATGGATCTATTTTAGAATAAGAAATAATTTTTATTTAAAAATTTCTCTTTCTCTAAATAGATATTTTTCCAAGCTCTTCATTGTATAACAAAATAGAAAGACACATGTCCATCATCCATAGGAAGTTGTGGGCATAGATAGTCATATAAGAGTTTCATTATCAATTAGTAACTTCAATATTTTGCCATGTTCCAGCACACCATTTTCTACGGCGCGGCATATTCTTCTCGCATCGTGACTTCCACAATATTCTCTCTCTGTATGAGAAGGGTGAGAAATTCTACCTGTACACAGGTAGAGGGCCATCTTCTGAAAGCATGCACATAGGACATATGATACCTTTTGTATTCACCAAGTAAGTGAATGGTATTTTTAATCTCTAATTGATGTATTGACAATGTGCAGCGATCATTTCCACACCTATGTAAATAAGAATATGACAAATCACTAACTACCCTTTTGTAAATAAAGCATAATCATGCAAGGGAAGAAAAAATTGTAATAAAACCTAGCCCCTTTTTGGGTGTTGTTGTAATCCTTACTAATATTATGGATGTGAAAGTTTGTTTGTTACCACTTAGCGTCTTAATGGACTAACCAATCACTATAAAATTTGGTATATACATATTATAAGGGATGATAGATACTTTGGCTACTTTTTATCCCGGTCAGTGAACGTACCTATCCTGGTCATGTGGATGAAGTTGCGGTTAAAAGCTAGTAGTAATTTATGAGTATATCATTCTCTTAGAGGAAATAAATCACAGCTTTACGAAGTTAATAGGTCGTTAAGGTAACAATAATATTTAAATATTCATATTGCACCATATTTTTACCTTGTACATCTAGGTTCTGTAATGAGCTTTCGTCTTCATTTTTCTTCTTACGATATAATATGGGAAATATTAAAAAATGTGCCTACAAATATTGAAAAGGCTGGCAAAGCACAAGCAATTTCTCTCGTGTTGCAAGTGTTTATGTTATGCAAGTGTGATGGCAGTCGCTTTCTATCAGGTAGACCGTCTGCTCGTTTGCCTCCCTAACAATAAAAAAAAATATGTATATCTTTCTTTTTATAATTAATAATAAGTTAACATTTGGTTCACTATTATTTCAGAATAGTAAAATGGTAAGATATAATTATCATGTATGTAAGGATAGTGGCCTTTGACATTCGGTTCTCTATACCTGCCCTGCAAGGAGATTATCGTGAAAATAGATAGTTGTATTTTATAACCATATCTGTTAACTGTTCAATGCTGTACATAGGCTTCCAATAGTTGCCACACTTTGCAGGCGGGTTGGCAACCAACGTTAGGCTTGGGCGATGTTTTAAGAGGGACTCTGCTGCCAATTCCTCGACCATTAAGTTCCTTTAGTCCCCTCTTACGTACTCACGGGACAGTAATAGGTGGCTCATTCCATGCTAGGGACCATACGGCGAAGATTGATACATATATAAATCCATTCACAGATGGCTGCAAGACGTCTTCAATGTACCCCTGGTCATTCAACTGACGGACGATGAGAAAGTTTTGTGGAGGGATATTAAAGTTGAAGATGCTCGACAGATGGCGTTCAACAATGCTAAGGATATTATAGCTGTCGGTTTCGATCCAAAAAACACATTTATTTTCAATGATCTGGATTTTATTGGGTGAGTAATACTTTCTAATACGAGTATTATAAATGTGAAAGTGAGTTTGTTTGTTACTCTATAGCGCTTGAACGGCTTAACTAATAACTATGAAGTTTAGTGTATACATATGGTATATGCGATGGTAAAGGATATAGGCTACTTTTTGTCCTGGTCAGTAAACATATTACAAAATTTAGTATCAAATAATTAGAATACTACTTAAAATATATTTTATTCATTTATTTCAAACATTTTTTTATTATAAACATAAGCTCATAGATATGTTTATTATATACATATTGATATATAAAAATAATATAATATTGTTCACACATGGTATCGACGATGTGTGATACCCAGTATCAGGTGGCCGTTCCTTTTATTCATGTTAAATGAAATATCTAATTTAACTTATCAAAAACTGGCTTTGAAAAGTTACTTTGCGCTTAGTATGTAAATTTACTAACATAAGAATATTGTTACAAAAAAAAAAAAAAACAAATGTACAAATGCGTTATTATGATAACCTAAAATTAAAATTTCTATGTAACTATGCCAGTTCTAGTCACTAGTATACATTTGAATAGATTGATGAGAGAAATTTGTCCGAATCGAAGCATATGATTTCATGCTGTTTCTTCTTACCCCATCGGGAGATGGGCGTAATTTATGAATCTTGTATCTTTATCATTACCATAGTATCCCATAGTTGTTCACTGCTGAATATAGGTCTCCCCTACTGGGGCATTTTGCTAGTAATTGCCACGCTTGCTACGCGGGTTGGTAACTGCGGTTAAGATTTTGGTGGCTACGCTACTGGCCATCCCGTTCCTTGAGTCACCTCTTACGACATCCACGGGAAAGGAAGACGTGGCCCATTCTATGTCGGGATCGCACGGTAATGGCACAGTATAGGAGGAAAGGGATTGTTAGTAATGAAGACTAAAAATTCCATTGCTAGCAATGTACCTAACCAGGTCTACCTCCACGCGGTTCCCCCTGGAAACTGTCATGATTAATTTTTCATGATGAATTCATCATGATAGGCTAACTGGCCTGTTTTCATTCTCATCTATCACCCTTCACTGGTGCTCCGCCAGCGTATCTCATTAGCGCAGGCGGGGTTATCAATCTATTTTCATCCAACAAAAAAAAAATGACAGTATATTGTATATATTTTAATATTTAATTTATTTTATTTAGAAAATGTCCAGAGTTTTACCAGAACATGATAAGGATACAGAAGTGCGTTACATTCAATCAAGCCAAGGGTATCTTCGGCTTCGGGGACTCTGACGTCATCGGCAAAGTCTCGTTCCCAGCGGTAGAGGCCGCTCCATCTTTTTCTACGTCCTTCCCTTTCATATTTGGAAAAAAAGCCGTAAGTTATTTATTACATAGTATGTATAATTTTGTTTTAAACTTATTTTTGAAATGAATAGATGTTTAATTCCAATATTTACTTTTAAATATAAAAATATCATAAAATCGGAATTGTTTCCAAATATTTTAATTACAACATTAAAATTATTCTTATCTGATATATACAAACATATGTTATGCATATTTGTTTCACTCTTCAATAGAATCGAAAATGGATCGTAAAGAGTAGTATTAAACTAGTTTATGATCATCGTCATCGTGATAGCCGTTAACTGTCCACTGCTAAACATAAGACCCTCCCATAAAGGGGGGGGGGAGGGGTTGCCAGTAGTTGCCGCGCTTGGCAGGCTGGTTGACAACCGCTGTTAGGCTTTGGTGATGTTTTAAGAGGAACGCTGCTGCCAATCCCTCGACCATGGAGTTCCCTTAGTCGCGTTTTATGACATCCACGAGAAGGATAGGGGTGACTGATTTTTAGTTGGGACCACACGGCTGTCAATATAGATCTAGTACTAATAATATATACCATACCAAATTGACCACCACACAATCCATCTGGATTATGGTAAATTCATCACCATGGGCCAATTGACCTGGCTTAATTCTCACTCATCATCCTTCATTGGCAGAGTATGTCTGTGTATACCTATAGTGCAGGTGAGGTTCACAATTTCATTTTTAACCGACTTCAAAAAGGAGGTTCTCAATTCAGTTGTATTTTTTGTTTATTACCTCATAACTCTATTAATTTTAAACCGATTTGAAAAATTCTTTCTTTATCTGAAAGTATATATGTTTTTACAGATTGGTTCCATAGACATTTTATCAAAATCGGTACAGTGGTTTAATTTTTAGATCAAAATAACTAATTTTATTACAATGGAAGTTTTTTTTTGTGGGACACAGTCTTTAATGATTCTCCATTTAATAGTCCTATGACGTATCTATTCCAGGTACCATGTTTAGTGCCGTGCGCGATCGATCAGGACCCCTACTTCCGTATGTCCCGCGACGTGGCCGCGCGCCTCAAGTTCCCCAAGCCGTCGCTGCTCCACTCCACCTTCCTGCCGGCACTACAAGGAGCCCAGCACAAAATGTCAGCCAGTGACCCCAACGCGTCCATATTCCTGAATGATACTGTTAAGCAGATTAAAAATAAGGTATTTGGTATTTTTATATACGAGTTAAAGTCATAAAAAGTATCAAACCTTTAATATATCTATTTTAGCTATTGAAATGTTTTGCCTTTTGCTTCTGCGCTAAACTTTTTTTTTATACAACTTAGAATGGCAAACAAACTGACGGCCCACCTGATGGAAAGTGGTAACCGTCGCCTATAGACATGAGCAGTACCAGCTAAATTCTCAATTAGAAAGAACAATTAGTAACAAAACACTTTAATAGTTAAAATAGGTTTGTAGTTTGAGTTTTTATGAATACAGGAGTTTATCTATATATATTATAGACAAGTTATAATCAGGAATGTTCATGAGAGTAACGTTAAAAGTCTCGAATAAGCTTATTAAAGTAAGTACTTAAAGTATTGTAGTTAATTCTTTTATGATACTAATGAGACATAATATTTTTCAATTGTTTTTAGATTAATAAATATGCATTTTCTGGTGGGCAAGCGACGGTCGAGGAACATAGAGAAAAGGGAGGCAACACTAGCGTAGATATATCGTATAAATATTTGACGTTCTTCTTAGAAGATGACGATAGATTAAATGAGGTAAGAGCCTATAGTCATATATTATATAAACACATACATATACATATATATACATACATATACACACACGCCTACAACCAATGGGGAAGAAAGCTTCTTGACTGACGATTCCGTACGGACAAATGCAGTGTAGGACGACCGCTGAGGTGATTACTTTAAATGCATGACCTTAAAACGAGTTAGTAGATGCAGGTAGTTAAGGATTGTTCTTTATGGCAATCTAAGGGGGGAGGACTATGTTTAGCAGTCAGCAATGGATGGATAATAGCTGAGATGATGATAACGACACATACATACTCTTACATACACAATTTCGTGTATAATATAGTATATGTCATATATGTGTAAGTATATTTGTTATTCATATATATTTATTCGTTTATATATGTAATTTTAGTATGTATGTTTATCAATAATTTCTAGTACCGCATTCGAGTATTCTAACACTTCCCTATGATTTACTGAGAGAGAATGCTTTTAGCATTAAGTCCGCCATGTACACATACTTGTACTAATAAATAAATAAATATACTAATATATACAAACTTTTTAGTAAAAGTTCGTGCACGTAGCGGGCATGCAAGCACACCATCACTGTTAATAATTACTATGTATACATTTGTTTAATGTACAGATTAAGAAGCAGTACGAGTCTGGCGAGTTGCTAACGGGCGAATTGAAAAAGATCGCCATAGAAACAATCACGCCGTTCGTGCAAGCGTACCAGGCGCGCCGGGCCGCCGTCACCGACGATGTGCTGAAGCAGTTCTTCGAGATCAGGCCGATAGAATTTTAATGCGTTAGTTAGACTATTTATTGTATTAAAACAATGACTTTTTAAATGAGAGGAATTTGTTACTATTATATGGTGATTGCGCGGTGAACACAAATGAAACCTATAACTTATATTACCTTTCACATACCACTATCTCACAATATAATCGAGAGTAACTGATAGAGTAATGTAAGACTTTTGTCACAATATTTTTATGGAAGTAATTCATCAACCAACTTCAAAAAGAAATAGGTTCTCAATTGAGTTTTACAATACGGGGCAAACGAGCATGCAGCTCACTTGATGGTAAGTGACTACCGCCGCCCATGATCACCCACAACACCAACGGCATTACAGGTGTGCTGCCGGCCTTTTAAAAAGGAATATGCTCTTTACTTGAAGGTTATGTTGTCGTATCGGTTTGGAAATACTGCTGCTGGATGTTGATTCCAAAGAGTGGTTGTATTTGTTTTATGTTTGTTACCTCATAACTCCGTCTGTTGTAAACCGATTTGGGGAATTCTTTTTTTTTTTTACTTGAAAGAATACACTTAAATATTAGTACTGTAAAATTTTTATCAAAATCGTTTCCGTAGTTTAATTTATAGACCAAAATAACTAGTTTTGTCACTATTGAAATCGGTTTTTTTTGTGGGTAGGAACCCTATTCTCGGGTATACGCCCCCCTCCAGTTTATTTTACTCTCGACTATTCTGTACCTGTGTTATTCACTTCTAAGTATCCTTTAATATAATCTATCCATTCCTTAATTTAATCTTTACAATTTTATAAGTCAAATGAAATCTGTTGGTATATTAAATTCGTGTTCATGTCGCAATCGCCTTATGATACATACCTCTTGTTTATGTCATCGTTTGAAGTACATTATGTATATTTGATACATGAGTGTTGTAATTAATAGTTTTTTTCCTATTTATATATATATTTTTTAATTTATTAACGTGAAAGGTATGCCACCTTATTCATACAATTCTCAATTGTTTTACAATTTTATTTTAATGATTAATGATTTTGTCCCTTTTTTTCTCCCTTATTTATGACTTATAAAGAAAGTGACAAAATACTAATTGTTGAAATAAGTTTACTGAGGGTTTTAATTTTTTTTTTAATGTATTTATATTATATATTGTGAGGTGGAAAATTGTGATATTCCAAAATGGTGATTATGTTTACAGCAATTTGTTTAAAAATATGTTCTCTCTATATTTATTTATGTACATTAAGTATTGCATGAAAATATCATGAAATACGCGAGCGCATCTTTTCTCCCATCATCGTCATCATACATCATATAGCAGAATAAACGCAGTCACTAAATTTAATTTATACAGAATTTCGCTTTCAGGTTAATCAGGTTATCAACCTGATGATAAAATCAGGGAGATAAATTAGTATTTTATGTTAGGTTTAATAGGCAAATTTTTGATACCTTGGCTTACATTACTTGTAATTTACGTCGGGATCTCAATTTTTTTATACATAACATATAATCTTCTTTACTCGCTGATAATGTAGCTGTCTCTAGCTACAAAATTTATTAAAATCGCTTCAGTACTTTCGAGTTTATCTATTACAAATAACCAATCAAAAAATCAATTCTTTCTACTTTATAATATTAGCAATTGAATGAATATCAACTATATTTAATATACCATAGTTTTATAAATATATAATTTTTCAGAAATCACGACTATCGGTGTTATAAAAAGTCTAATCTTAGAAAAATATTTTTTTACAATCGCAGTTCATACCAGAGATAATAGTTTGCCCATGTTTTTAACAAAAAAATATGTTTGTGAAAAAAAAAAAACTTTTCTCTTTCTAATTGCAGTGTATAAGGAATTGCGTTAGTTCTATTACATGTATTGTATATGCCATTGCAGTTTTAAATGGTAATTATATCATTTATAAAAAAAAATTGCATTGTAAACATTTATTGCAAATTTATACATGTTACGCCTATGCCAAGTAATTGCGATAAGGCCAGGAACTATGGCAAATCTTTCCCATGCATAATCCATATTTATACATTACGAAATACTTAAAGCAAATAGCATTCGAGATTAATACTTCTACTGAAGTATAAAAAATAATTGAAGTGAAAAATTTCCAGCATTTTTGAATAAGATTTTTTTTTATGAGCGAAAGAGGTTTGTTTGAATTGAAGCATTTGGCGTTCCATTGTTTCTGCCTACCCTAATGGAAGACAGGCGTGACAGATATATATATATATATATATATATATATATATATATATATATATATATATATATATATATATATATATATATATATATATATATATATATATATATATATATTATGATTCTACCACCACTACTCAGTTTGAAGTTTAAATATTTATTTAATTAAGCACTTTAATAAACGTTCACCTATACTTATTGAATTATCACCTCCCTCTCACCCATGTTTCATTTAAAAAAGACCTTATTACGCTGTTGTTAAATGCTATATAGTTTAGCTAGATTTATACAAAAGACTCTGTATAGAATATAGGATAGAAAAATAAGAACTATAATGCAACTACTTATTCATAAAAAAAAAAATATCCAATGTCTAACCTTTTTTAACTATGGAAGTGTATCATTTTTTTTTTGCATGAATTTCTCAATTTAAAGATATCTTCAGAACATGCAGTTATAATAGGTTTTAGAACGTTTTATATATATATATATATATATATATATATATATATATATATAATCCTATATATATATATGTATGATCCTCGTTAATATATATATATATATATATATATATACTTATGTATATATATATATATATATATATATATATATATATATATATATATATATATATATATATATATATTAACGAGGATCATACACGTGCACGCTATAAAGATAGCACTTAGTGAGTTGGCATAGTGCGGCTTTGAGACTGGAACATTCTCTTTTCGGTTGGTCGTATTCATGGACATATCATCTCTGAGTTCGCTCAGGAAAGTGTCACATGTCGTGCTATAATAAAAAAGAAGTTAAATTTTATCATCATACCAACCCATTAAATTGTTACTCGTGAAGTAAATACTCCTTGCACACAAAGAGAAATTCAAAATAACGTATTATGAAGTAGATTGCGTACTTATACATTTTTTTTTTCACAAAATGTCATTTTTCGATCATAGAACCATCTCTTTTTTTGAAGACAGTTAAAAATGGATCGTCACTATAAGTTAAATGCTGAATGTTGAGCTTTCAAATTTGAATGAAATTTTTAGGGCTTGATTTATTAATTATGTTACAAATGGAGTGGCAGTTTCCAAACTTTATTACTTACACGAACATTGCCTGGTTTCAAACAATAAATATGTCGCAAAATATGTTTTTATGGTGAAATTTAATCAGTGCTGGATTTACTTTATGTGTTTAGGTCGTATAGGGCACCCGGTATATGGACAGCACGTTTTGCAAACTTAAAATCTTGTAAAAAATTGTAAAGCATGTTTCTTTTTATATTTATATTTTTTAACATGTAATGTTTTTAAAATATCTATCTTAGTAACTCATACCCATAGAAACGTCTAGGTAAATAAATAAAGCCATGTACAGATGAAGGTGATATGGTTCATTGTTGGATTTTCGCTATTCTATGAATGTCTGGAGGCATTATGAGTTCTATAAGCATACTAATATGACTTATATTCGACTACTTTTATTTGTTAGTATGTACATAACATCTCCACCCGTTCATAGAATAGTGAAATTCCGATAATGCGACATCATCTTCATCCATTCATGTCTTCAAACAAAAGTGAATGTCTCTCCCCTTCCAAGAAGTGCGGCAGAATGTGAAATGCTCTACATTTTAGAGAAATATAAATCTAGCACTGATTTATTGTTATCGAATCTGATATTATAAACAAAACTCATGTATAATAATACTGTACTTATCAAATATATAATGCTTTATATAAATGTATTACAAAGAAACGCAGTGTTGTGAACTCCAGTTACGTTGTTAATAATTTATTAAACTGCTACTTTTTTTATTTATTTTTATTGGATAATAATGGAATGGTAACCCTGCCTGCGTTATCGGTATACGCTGGCGGGGCACCAATGAGCGATGATAGGTGACAGTGAAAGCAGGTCAGTTAGCCCATCGTGACGAATTTCACTAGAATTAACCACGATGGTTTCCAGGGGGTACCACTTGGAGGTTGACCTGATAGGTGTGTTGTTGGTAATGGGTCAGTTAGACCCCATTACTAACAATCCCATTCCCCCCAACGGCTAATATTTATTAAGAAAGTCTCGCTATATTGTCACGTATTATTTTTTCTTTCGAGAGCAGCATTTTGTAATGAAACATGAAATGTTTTTATTGTATTTGTATGGCCTTAATTAATGTTAATTTAATGACTAGGCTGTGTTTTAAGCGTAACAGTATTTGTAATACTAAGATGAATAAAATCTTGCTATTTATAGACTTTGTTTATTATTTATACAAACGTTAATCCGAGTAAGCGAACCTACTGCTTGCCCCCTGAATTTCATACCACTGAGTTGGCAAACAAGCATACGGTCCGCCTGATGGTAAGCAGTCATAGTAGCTTATGGACGCCTGTAATACCAGGGGTATTACGCGCGCGTTGTCGACCTTGAAGAAACCTCTTTACCCCTCTTTTGAAGAACCCTATTCTGTAGTCTCTTGGGAAAACCTCGGCAGGCTGCTCATTCCATAACCTGAGTGTTTGTGAGGGAAAACATCTCTGAAACCACGTTGTATGCGACCATTTAGGCTGTAGGGTATGAGGGTGAACTTATATGTACAATGGTTGACGTGACTACTTATAGAGGTTTTGGAATACTGAGAATTAATTAATTTTGATGGTGACTGTACTATCCTATGTACTAATATAGTACAACTATTTAGTTGCATTGCATTAAAATTGTTCTATGTATAACGGAGCTCACCACAATTCTTTCTTTATAAACACATTATAAAATGTGAGACGAATATAACATATTTCAATAAAATACGAAAACAATAGAAACAACACAAAGGCCACAAGACAACGGTGTCTTTGGTAACTAAAAATTGTGGAACACTTGTGTACACAACAAGCGACTTTGATCCAATATACATGACAATTGAACAGAAAAGTGGATGACACAGTCCTGAGTCGCAACAGGTAGATACCACACGGGCGACATCAAACCCGAAGAGGTCTATAAAATATTCGTTAAGTTTTTTTTTACTATTAGAAAAAAGTTTACAATTTAATGCAGTAATAGGATTACAACAATTGTCAATAAGTGTTTTGTGGGAACAGTTTTAAAACATGTACAACCAAACATACGACGATGAGGCGCCAATACCTCTGATAGCGAATTATACAGTCGTAAAAGAGGGGGAGGAAGAAGAGAAGAGGGAGACAGAAGATAGAGTTATTCTAGAAATAGGACGGCAAGACGACAAACCCAAAGAGGAACACACGTTCTCCCATAAGAAGTATGATAAAACTATATCGCACCATAGATCTTATGTTTTAGACGATTACGAACCTAGAAGGGTGACATACTTCAGACCCCATGAATTGGAGCATCAAAGTCATGAAGGTAAGATTAATAATTTTATAAGTTAAGGTTTTATTTGTGATCGGATAGGACAAACAAAACAATCCATTCGTCCATTCATTCATTTCATTTCATTCATTCAAGAACTGAGGTGTTATGCCTTCGTACTCTACAATTTTTACTGCTATAACGTATTCTTCAAACCGAAATACATCAGTACAAAAATACGAGTAGGTTAAGATAGAGGCAGCTATATATACTACTTTTCTACAAAGAATCCCACTAGACTTGTTGTTTTTGTTGGTTGTACCAAATCTATTTAGATATTCGGTTAAATATATTGATAATGTTAACAGAGATTTAAAAGAGTAACTGTTGAGTTTCTTGTGAGCTCTTCTCAACAGATAATAACCTTCCGAAACCTGCAATAGATTACAAAAAAATTGGCGATTCAAAAGTGCTTGTAAACAAGTCTGTTTGAGAATTTGAATAAAAAAGATGATTTGAATTTGTTAAAATGTAACAAAATAAAAATGACAAATTATTGCAGAGGATAAATCAATAGCTGTGAATTACATGGGCGTGGCCTTTTCATTACTTGGTTAATTAGTTATTCTATTTTTGTAAGATTCGATAAATATAGAATTATTTTAAGTATTTATACAAATGAAATTGAACAGCCATATGCGCACACTCAGAGTATCATGGGCGACATAGTTTATTACGACGATTACCACTTTCCAGCACTTTCGTCAGCTTGTTTACCATTCTAAGTTGCACAACAAAAACACACCTAAGATACTTACCACCTCACATATATAAATTTTTTTTACTAGCCGTAACTCGCGGCTTCACCCGTTTGTGTCAGTAAATGTATCCTGTGTGCTAAATGAAGATATAACCTACCCGTGTACTAAATTTCATTTAAATCTATTCCTTGGTTTTGGCATGAAAGAGACATTTGCAAATAAACTAACGGCATATCTGATGGAAACTGGTAACCGTTAACTTTTATATAAAGTCTCTTGATAGTTAATTGTAATTTTGACCTCCACAGGTCCAAGATACTATGAGCAGGAGTTCAGAGAGAGCGTGGTGCAGGACACAGCCAATTCGGAATCATCATTAGATTTCTCGCACGAGTCCCAGGATACCGGTAAATATGGCGTGGATGAGACCGCACAAGAAACTATTATGAATTGGAAAGAACGGGCGTTGCAGCTTGAAAAAGGCATGTAACTCCTAATTATATCTATCTATCACCATGAATCCCATACAAGGTAGACAGAGAAAGCCAAAAATAATTCTTACATGCAAACCTTCATAGACTTTCATAACTCGCTCTATGCTTGACGTGTACGTCAATTTAAAACATTCTTGACGCCTCCCTCAAATAATACAGAATATATCCAATTATTCATTTAGGTTTCCTTCAGTTCTTGGATTTTTCCATTTATGCTGATTTCCACGTGTTGGAAAGAATGAACCTTGTCGAGCACGGGCTTTCTCATTTTTATACAGATGCTTTCCACTCGTACCATCTCGCACTACTCGTTTCGAATTGTAGTTGATTTTATAATATAGTACCAACGACTAAAATGTAGGAACAAGGAAAAAATATTGGCACTACAAGTAGTTTATTTTTGTTGGCTGAATCGACTCAGTAATAGGAGAGCTCTACTATGGATCTATGGTTCTTCTTAGAATTCAGTTTCTAAATAGTGTATCACAGTGAAAGATTATACCAGAGGGAGACTTTGCACAAAAGCCGTTTGCTTGGACACCTCTGTCCCATTCGTGTTTCTACCGTGAAGCAGTTGTGTTTGCATGGCTGTGTGTGTACAGAGGAATAACACCCGAGTCCTCAGGAATGGCAACGCATAAGGGGTTTCTAATGTTTGAAACAATCTTTTAATTTTTACTTTTGCTAATTAATCTCGAATAGTGGGGCAATTCTTCAAAATGCATTTATTATTATAATTATAATAGAAGTCAATCATCATATGACGAATGTTTTCTGTTGCAGAGTACAAGAAGACTGCATGTGATCGAGAGAGAACAAGAATGCGAGATATGAACCGTGCATTCGACTTGCTACGCTCCAAACTGCCAGTCACTAAGCCGTCCAAGAAGAAATACTCAAAGATCGAATGTCTTAGGTGATTTTTTTTATATCATCATTATTACATCAGCCTTTAATTGTACACTGCTGAACATAAGCTTCCTCCTTGGGAGGTTTTGCCAGTAGTTGCCACGCTTGGCAGATGGATTGGCAACAGCAGTTAGACTTTTTTTAATGGGTAATAATGGAATGGTAACCCTACCCGCGCTATCGGTATATGCTGCCGGGCACCAGTGAGGGATGATAGGTGACGATGAATGCAGGTCAGCCCATCGTGACGAATTCTACTAGAATTTACCACGATGGTTTCCAGGGGGAACTACGTGAAGATCGACCTGATGGTGTGTATTGATAGCAATGCGTCAGTTAGACCCCATTACTAACAATCCCTTTCTCCCCGCAGTTAGGCTTTAGAGAGGTTTTAAGATGGACGCTGCTGTCCATTCCTCGCCCTCCTTTAGTCGGCTCTTACAATACCTACGGGAAAGGAAGGGGTGGCTTATTCTATGCTGGGACCATATGATGTTTATTATATACTCACTCGTAATTAAAGAAAACTAGGTTTAATTTAGGAAACACATTTTTCTTATCTGAGTCGGGTATGGATGTTCTGGGATAGATATACCTACAGATATTGGTTATTGCATATTCAATACCCACACAGGGCATTAGAAACCATGCAATTGGTGAAATTATATGGTATATATTAGATATCTAAAATATTTAGGTATTGTAAAATATTTTAATGGAACTTTTAGTGTACCTACTATTTTTTTTATACAACTTAGAATGGCAAACAAGCTGACGGCCCACCTGATGTAAAGTGGTAATCGTCGCCTATAGACATGAGCAGTACCATGGACATAACAGAGTATACTGTTTCGCCCATGATACCCCCCATGCGTTGCTATTCCTGAGGACTCAGGTGTTATTCCTCTGTACCCAGTAAATTCACGCCATATCCCACCCTTCAAACCGAAACACAGCCATGCAAACACAACTGCTTCACGGTTGAAACACGAATGGGACAGAGGTACTCAAGCAATCGACTTTTGTACCAAGTCTCCCTCTGGTAAATCATACTACTAATATCATTCTCGCATGTGTATTATTTCCGATAATATAACCTTTGTCTCGTCGTTACTAGCTTGATGTTTTAATCTGTTTTTTCAGCTCGCTCCATTATATTCACGCTTACGTAATTCGTTTCAGGATAGCAATATCTTACATCAGACAACTGGAGTATATGCTGGCTGGTGGCTCCCCGGAAAATAATCCGGCTTTCTTTGAAATACACGTGTCGGATTTGAGAAGACGCCAGCATAAGTTTTAGCGAGGAATCCAGGATTGTTAACGTATAAGAAACGCGAAGCTAAGAGTAGTATTGTTTGTTCAAGTCATTAAATTACATTGGCCTAAAGAATTGTATATTAAACTGTTATGTATAACACTAAAGCTTATAGATAAAGTGATCAATAAGGCCGTTAATAAACTGGCATAACCCTAATTATATCGGTTCACAGTTATTTAACCCTTCTTTGCATGATTTTTTTTATTAGTGAAATAAATCAAGCTGATATAATTAATCAAATCATATCCAAAATTAAAGAAAAAATGGTTAAAAAAAATAAATTTGACAGCTATGTTTTTTTTCTGCAATGGACATTAAAAAGGTATCCAGACACGATCAACTTAAAGTGAACTTGCTCTTTTATATAATTTTTGGGCATTCAATGTTATGATGGAAATTTCCACCATTATGCAAAGAAGGATTAAAGCAATAAACACTTTTCTGTGAACATCAATAGTAACATATTGTTTCTATTGAATGTGATGTTAGCTCTTATAAGAGCTAACTAAACGTGCCACCTGTAGCAGTGTTTGATCAATTATCGATACTTACAATAGGAGTTATTGTACGAAGCGCCAGTAAGATTAGCTTTGAGAGAAATCTTGGCGGTCACCGCCTCGGGGTAATTAAATGCACACGCAATTCTGATTTCGGTATGTAAAACTATGTCTAAAAAGAATCTATTTAATTCCGAATATTTTTATTTAATTAACTAACTAGTGATCCGGTCTGGCTTCGCACGGGTAGACAAAATTTTCAAAAACAATATATAACTTACTTGCTGATAATCTAGCTTGCTATGGGTAAAAGAATTTTTAAAATCAGTTGAATAGTTTTCGAGTTTATCCATTACAAACAAACAATCAACTCTTTTCTCTTTATAATATGTTAGTATAGTATAAAAGGCATTTATTTTTTACTTCTTTGATTCAAAATCTATACGAGACTAGTATGGGGAGATGTTACTAATTACTTACCTGCTAATAAGTGCAATAAAAAAATAATATTAAAATGATTTACTTTGTTTAGAACAGTTGAATTTAACAAACATTTATTTTTATATTTCAAAATACATACAATATTTTGTAAAGCTTTGTATTTATTTGCAAAAAAATCTAAATCCACGTTTACAGACAAAAACTCTATAAATAGTAAATACAGTATTATAATTTAAAATGTATGGTTACTCGTTCTTTTTAATTTTTCTTTCATTATTTTGTTCTTCCCCTTTCTTTGCTAAAGCTTTTAAATAGTCGATGTATGCACATTTTATCAATAACGGTACCTTGACGACTCCTGAAATGAAACAAATGTTATTTCTTTTTTATACCACGAAGGTGGCCAACAAGCATACAGTCCATCTGATGGTAAACGATTAGTGTAACCTATGGACACCTGCAACATTAGGTCGCGTGCGCGTTGTCGACTCTGCAGATTGAAGAACCTCGTATTGTAGTCTTTAGGAAAAACCTCAACAGGGAGCTCATTGTACAGCCGCAGCATTGGCGGGAGAAAATTTCTTTGTCGAAATTATCATAGAACTATTGTTTCAAAATTAATCAGTTTTTATTTGTATTTATTTTTTTTTACTACTTAGAATGGCAAACAAACTGACGGCCCAGCTGATGGAAAGTAACCGTCGCCTATAGACATGAGCAGTACCATGGACATAACAGAGTATACAGTTTCGCCCATGATACCCCCCATGCGTTGCCATTCCTGAGAACTCGGGTGTTATTCATCTGTACCCAGTAAATTCACCTGGGCTGTTACACCTGTTTTAAGGACTTCCCAGGTAATGTGGCTTATTATATTGACTGCTTTCTGCATTAGTGACTGCTTACCAAATATTTCATGTTTTTTTTTTCTTTTTTTTTTCCTTAAACTTTGTTTTTTGTCGTTATTTTTTATACGACAACTTTTTTGCTATTTTATTTTTGCTATTGAAAGTTTACTTGGGTTTTTTTTTATTATAATTTTTTTTTATTATTATTTTTCATTATTAATATATATATATATATATATATATATATATATATATATATATATTTCATGTTCGAATAATTAAGTATCTATGTATGAAGTTGTATAAATAAACTCACCCGAAAAGCAAGAAGTCACGATATCCTTGTACATAGAATAAATAGGCGCCAGTAAATTTTCATTATTTTCTTTTCTCTACAAAAGACAATTGATTTAAAAGGGAAAATACATTATATTTTTACAATCTATGAAGTAAAGATTTTTTTTACAACACAGGGGGCAAACGAGCATGCAGCTCACCTGATAGTAAGTGACTACCGCCGTCCATAATCACCCTCAACACCAACGGCATTGCAGGTGTGCTGCCGGCCTTTTAAAAAGGAATATGCTCTTTTCTTGAAGGTTAAGTTGTCGTATCGGTTCGGAAATACTGCTGCTGGAAGTTGCTTCCAAAGAGCATATTCAAAGAGATTTATTCAAAGTAGGTATGTGTAATATCGATCGATTTCTTCATTTGGATATTATACCATATATTGGATAACGGATATTTAATATATCCTTATTAGGTCAATATATAGATATTGTAACTTCAATACACAGATATTGCTATATATTACCCATCCCTAATTTGAGATAAAATTTTCAAGAAGAATGTTAACTATTATAATAAAAGTAATGTAAATTAAAGATGGACTAAAAGGAGACATCCAAAGTCGTAAACCTATCTTAAAAAATTCCATGCCGTGAGACTTATTAAACGTCCACATTAATTGCCAAATAAAAAAAAAAAATGTTGGCCACCTTTAAGGTACAACAAGCACATTTTGTTTAAAAATTCAAAAGACTTCAATTATAAACATATGCCGATAAATAACGAAATGTCTCGTAGAGACCTTACATTGTAAATTACATTACATTGTACATTTTGCAACGACAAAAACAGGCAGTTTTTATCTTACAAAGAAGACTGGTTGCTTCAATCATCCACAAAATTAATATAGGAGTAATACAACTCCATCTACGAGTTTTGCAAAAATAAACATGAAAATCAGTTCAGAATCAGCATCGTAATCGCATAATACGTTTATAAAACAAATAAATTTTAATTTTAACATTATCTTTTTGAAACTCACGAACGTAACCTTTGTTCCAATAATACTCTCCAATTATCTTTCCCCTCTCACCGTATTGGTTACGCTTCAAACTCTTTTCTCCTACATTCTTCACGACTCTGGAACGCGCTTCCTGATGCCATTAAGAGACTACCGACTAAACCGTCTTTCAAAAAAAGCGTTCACGCTCACTTTTTATTTTTATCCGAGCAATAAGTGCTTTATATTATTCCCAAATTCGTGTATAATATTGTATATATCATATATGTGTAAGTATATTTGTTATTCATATATATTTATTCGTTTATATATGTAATTTTAGTATGTATGTATATCAATAATTAGTAGTACCGCATTCGAGTATTCTGACACTTCCCTATGGTTGACTGGGAGAGAATGCTTTTAGCATTAAGTCCGCCATGTACACATATTTGTACTAATGAATAAATAAATAAATAAATTTAGGCGATTTGAAAACGTCCTTTTTCAAAAGTAGTGTGTTGTGAATAAAAACCATTCTGAACCAAGACTCTTTTGTTTTATAAGTACCCTCCAATATCACAAATAAGTAATAATAATATTTAGAGTTTTTTTTTAAATAGAGTCTCTTAACTTGACCTCAATATTTAATATAAAGTGAACTAACTGCTGAAACAAATAAGGTCAAACAAGTATTTCTCGCATTACAAAATATCCTTGTACGTAACATTGTCAATAATATGACCCAATTATACCAGGGCGATAAGAGATAGAGGAAGTCGTTTACGCCCCCGCCCGGTAGGTACATCGCACGCAATTTTATTCGTACATCGAGAAGTACCCTGCCCCTCCCCATTATTCCCTAGATAAATCCCATGTCAATAAATTGAGTAGGTGTTAATTTTTTTTATTTCTTTATAGGTTGAGGTTAAGTATTAAGTAGGTACGCAGCGGGATAAGGACCCCGCTGTAGCAATACTTCGCGGATAGACTATAAGTTATAATGACTTTCCCATAGAAATATTATTAAAATTAGTGGAGCAATATTAGTTTTTAAATAAAAATAACTGGGGTTGCCATATTAAAAATCGGCTTTTTCTGTGCAACACAATCTTTTTTATCTGTTATTCGATCGAAACGTATCTATTGCGTATTATTATATATTTCAATTTTTCTTTCCCTAGCGCGGTTCGCGGCGTCGTTGTAACAGCATAATGATAAAAATTATGTCCTTCATAGATAAGCGAGATTTGATATTATGTGAAAAACGAATATTACAATTTTTATAATAAAGATTTTCTAATTCTTTTCGTCTGTATTCTGGACTATAGACAGAATAATACTTAGTATCTATAAATTCCATAGTCGTCCTCATATTGTGGATAGAGGTTTGTGACATCTATTGTTACCATATTAATATTATTTAATGTCATTAAAAAATTCCGTGAAAGTTCATAATAATATTTAAAAAAAATCTGTTATAATTGTGATAGTAGGTATATTAACGAAATAGTATTAATAGATAATGTATCTATAAACATTTTCTGAAACAAGTTGGATGGTACAAAATTTATAAAAAAAATAACTATATGATTTACGCAGATTTTTTCAGAAATCTAAAAACAATGTTTGTACCTACTTTTTAAACTGATTACATCAATCACGTGACCGCGTAGGTTGCATGGAAACGTCAAGAATTACTTTCGACTATGCTCCATGGGGAAATTTATTAAATTTCAAGCACAATACAAGGGTGAACCATTCCGAATAAAGTAATTTATGAGCAACTAGAAAAAAATATAAACAACTGATTTCGGTTTGTTTACCTTTTCCGTTATAACTAAATAGTTGCTAAGTCTATTTATATCGCTTTATGTCATACCATCCATTTACTATTTATTCATTCAAAGAAAAAAGTACGATTCATCCAAACTAGTTTAATTCAAAAGGCAAGTCACGTACGTTATTCGAACGACGTCATCGCAACGAATGAACAGTGTGCAAAGAACGGCCTCCCTCGTATGCGATTGACGTGCAACTACTAGGAGAACAGAACCTATAAAAAGATTCATAGCAATTCGTGAAATGTGATATCTAGATACCAGATAACAACATTGATACAAAAAGAATACACTTTTATTCACAGTGTCTGAAAGAGAGCAGCATAGCATGCATTTCGTTTACCTAGTTTACCTAGGAAAATACTTAGATTACAATCAAATAATATTAATAAAAAGTGACAAACCGACCAGTCACTGTGTGGTGAAGCTAATCTTGGTGGGAGAAACTTCATAGTGAGAAGTCAGTCGGTTATCGAATGGTCGGCCGTCATAAGATAGAGCCTCCCACTTACTAGGGAACCATAATTGTGCAAGAGAAAATGCAAATCTTCTCTATATTTGTCAAGCATTATTTTTTAAGTGACTACAAGAGGTTTTTACTGAATATGTATTTATTTTCGGAATAATATTACGCCATAATGTTCACCAATTCCGTACTGATTTCAATAATTATTTTTTACTAATTTTACTTTAATTATGCTTTATAAATATATTTTGTGAAATTACTTTATAATAGGTAAAATTCTTAAAATCTGACGTCTCGTGTTTGTCCTATATTGATTTGGTGACGATTGAAATCACAGTTTTTCTTTGCGGAGTAAAATTCTGTTTGCTACGTAGCAAAATCTACATACGTGTCTACAAAACATCTTATCAACTATTCGTTTAACATTATAAGAAATAGTTGTCATTGTCACTCGATCGAAGCTGCTATTTTTTTTTTAAACATAATAAAGGAGCAAATTTTAATTTTATCTTTGATGGGCATATTGAGTGTTACTTTTAATACAGTCACAAAAACGGCAATTGATTCGATTAATACCAAAATAAAAGATAAAAAATAGAAAAAATAATTAGAAGATAAAAAATAGAAAAAAATATTTAATGTATTCATATTTTCAAACAAGTATCTAAGCGACTGAACAAGTGATGACGTAACTACATACACCAGGATCACATAAGTGTAGTGCAAGTTAAAATACCTATACCAATGTACAGTCACAGAACCTAGCAACAGGTGGGCGTATACTTACTTGAATCTTATTCCACTGAAATAAGGTTGCATATTAGAACTTTTTTTTATATAATATACGTACAATAACGTTACCACATTTATCAAAGGTGGGCGGTCGTCTAGTGTTAATACTGCGGATATATTCCTGCCAACGACGAATGCATTCTGTGACGTCTTGTTGGTCGCCCCATACTCCTTGCGTATACGTGAAATAAACAGCACCTACCAGGAGTCCAGTCTGCAAAGAAGAACAGTGACTTGTTTAAAATTGATTCCATTATTACTAACAATGATGAAATATAGAGGAGGTATTAAATAAAAAAACTTTAACACTATGCATGCCATGATGGTAACTAATAAGTGTCTGCATATATTTTGGTGTTTGTAGTTTGTATACCTACATACAATATTACTTATAGTGTAGTACATCCTACAGCACGTTATAAGGAATGTCTAAGATATTTATAATTAAATAGAAATACAGATGGAACAATATATTTTACAATGGTCCAATTCTAAATTAGCAACGAATTACAAATAAATTAGATTATAAATAAATAAATATGTAAATATAAACTCCTATCTTATTACAAAACGCAGACTTACGATAATACCAGAGTTAGCAATGGAATAAACTACGTCAAAATCCTTATAACAGAATTAAGTTAAACTAAACTGTCATCTAAAGATGGACCTCCAAAATATCTAGTTTTAGTTGTAGTATTTAATTACGTCTCTGCTGATTATTGTTTTACAAAAAGCAAATGCATAGAAACAGGTTTCACTTACTTTCAAAGCGTACATTAATTTTCCATGCGCGTAGGGTAAGGGCATTTTAGGCATTGTCAAATTTTTCCCGCTTTTTCTAAGCTTGTACTCTTCTTTGCTGCAAACCTTGATGCACGTCGGGTTTAGTGGGAGCTCTAAAAATAAATTAATAGTTTATATATGATCATACTTGTTTTTCCATGTGGTCTTGGAATAGAATAGTCCTCTTCTTTCCCGTGAAGCTTTTTTTTTTTTTTTATAGAACTTAGAATGGCAAACAAGCTGACGGCCCACCTGATGGAAAGTGGTAACCGTCGCCTATAGACATGAGCAGTACCATGGAAATAACAGAGTATACTGTTTCGCCCATGATACCCCCCATGCGTTGCCATTCCTGAGGACTCAGGTGTTATTCCTCTGTACCCAGTAAATTCACGCCATATCCCACCCTTCAAACCGAAACACAGCCATGCAAACACAACTGCTTCACGGTTGAAACACGAATGGGACAGAGGTACCCAAGCAATCGACTTTTGTACAAAGTCTCCCTCTGGTAAACTTTAAGAACTAAGGGAACTTAATAGTCTAGAAAGGGCAACAGTGTCCATCTTAAAACAGCCAAATTCTGAGGTTGCCTACCCGCCTGTTACAATTTCTTAGTAATGTTAGATACTTATTAGGGTTGGGTAATATATAGCAATATCTAAATATTTTAGTTACAATTACTATATACTGGTCCAATAACCAATATATAAAGGTTTGTTATCTTAAAAATAATATTGGATAACAGACTTTTAATATATTCGAAAACAGATATCCAAACGATATAAGTGATATCGAAATAGGTGATGGACCTTTTTTCCATCATCAATGTCCAGAGGAACCCAATATATAGATATGAAATCGGTATCCATATTACTATGCCTAATACTTATTTATAATCAATAATTTAACTTTATCAATTGATACAGATTGCTTCAAAATTTTTATTTATCCTAGTGTATCTCTCAAATTCTCTTGCTAGGCGAAGAAATTTGTTGTCAGGTCAACTTCCACGTGGCTTCTCCATTCTCAATCGTAATTAATTAATTTCAGGTGAATTCGTCACGATGCTCTAACTGATCTGATTTCATTCCCATCTATCATTTCTCACTGGCATTACTACATATAAAAGAAAGTACAGTTCTTCGGCATTTCTCATAATACTATTGTCGATTTTAAAACTAATATTGAAAAATATTCACGCGTTTTATAAATTAAACATGTACAGAAAAAAAAAAAAACAATAAAGTGCCTAGTACAACACGTTCTAAGAGGCATTACATAATTTGTAATAAACACTAGGGTATTAGCAATACGAAGTGGCTCAGTAAACGACGAAAATGTAGGACATTACAACTATGATTCATTCATGAATACGGTAGTTGCAATAGGTAGTGACGTTACTACAAGCGTAGAAAAAGTAGGTATATAATTTTTATTTAAGCATGACAATATTTTCAAACGTATTTAATTTGTTATATAGGCCGGCAGCACACCTGCAATGCCGCTGGTGTTGTGGGTGATCATGGGCGGCGGTAGTCACTTACCATCAGGTGAGCCGCATGCTCGTTTGCCCCCTGTGTTGTAAAAAAAAAAAAAATTTTTAACGATAGATTTATCTTGAAAATTCAATCAATTTATGGGCATTTTTATGTATGTAAATGATACCGATTTAATTGACAATGGATTGACAGCGGTCACTGACTCGACTCGTTCAGTGTTATCTAGTCTAGTGCTTTTAAAATAGCATTTATGAAAGATAAATGTGTTGGTACGTTGCTTGTTATGTTAGCGCATGATTCATAATTTATAACGTGGTCATCTGCGGGCCAAATAATCGAAACATTGACGCCTGTCATCAGTAAATTAATTGTCGTTTCCTTCAAGTATCTGATTAATGTTCTGTTAATGTTGGTACACCGAGGTACTATTACACTACATATACTCGTAGAAATAGTGGAGATAGCACTAGACATCGTAGTTTATATGAAAATTAAATTTTAATTCGCAAATTATGACTAAATAATAATTGCTAAATCTATTAATATTATTGTATTTAATAGTATCTGTATGTCTAATGATTTTTTTTGTATTGTTTAGGAGGCAAACGAGCACACGGCCTACCTGATGGAAAGCGGTTAGCGTCGCCCATGAACACCAACAGAACGAGAGGAGTTGCTTTATGTTGTGGTGATGGCAAAATATACCACATAAAATATAAAATCTAGCTATATTTATGCAAATAATTTTTTTATTGGTTGATGTGAAAGCAACGCAGGGGTAAAAATTGCACCAAAATCAGTTGAAAATTGGCGAATACATTGCGTAACCAAAGAAGAAGAAATACTATTTAATAAAAAGAAAGAAAAAAGAAAAATTAAATGATAGGATTGACCATTTTCTGATTGATATTTTTTCCAAAATCAAAGATCAAATATGTCGAAAGTTTAAAAAAAAATATAAAGATTTTTTTCTGACACAACATCAACTACTGGCAGGCTTTATATCCTATCTTAAAAGTCCAACAAAATCGTCGCATATTCAATCAATATGCGACCATTGGGATTCTGAAGCGCGCATACTAGGAATACATGAACAGTAAGATGTCTAAAATTTATTCCAACGTACCTAAATGTCTTTACATACCTAGGTCACAGATAATACTACTACTACGTGGGTTTTATTTTTTAATGTGTAATGATGGAACAGCAATCCCGATTTTGATAACAGTATATGCTAGCAAGCTATCATTGAGGAATGATAGATAGACCATCACTTAGGTGGGTACTTCGATAGGATAGGATAGGATTAGGATAGGTCACTTTTCGAAACCATCGTGCTGTACTCCAGGTTTATTCAGCACGATGGGCTAAGTGATCTGCTTTTTTATTTTCACCTATCATCCTTCACTGGTGCCCCGCCTGCGTATACCAATAGCGCAGGCAGGGTTACCATTCCATTATCAGCGATTAGAAAAAAAACATCCCCGTTATGCGGACAAAGTTGCAGATAAAAGCTAGTAATAAGAATATGACCTGGAATACGAGAACAGTCTAGTCTCTCCGCTGGACTGCATTTTTCGTATATTTGCATATCTGGTTTGGGATGCTTCACATGTTTTGCCAAGTTGATAGTGCGGCATGCCTCGCATCTTATGCGATCCGTTTTCAAATTTTCACACATCCCCGATATTTTACACGAATTTTTATTGAACAACTACTAATTTTAATATTTATATACAAAAATAATTTTGGCAACGAGACGGGAACTACATATTATTTGACAGAATTTTCTTTGTCACTTTTAGTGATAATGAGATCCAGTCAGTTACTACAATGCATGCAAACTTTTTCAACTTATTTATTCTATTGGTATAGTCTTTGAGTACCTACTCTCAAACTAAGAACTCAGGTAAAGTAAATTTACATCTAGTTGAAATAAAAAAAAATTGAAATAGATTCCAAATATATTGAAATGAATAGAATTGAAATTGCTTTGTGCTTTTAATTCTAATGATGAATCTATCTACAGTTATAGCTAATACTAGGAGCCACTTTTAGAAAAAGCAATACAAGTAGTGCTTTGAAATTAGAAATACGTACATCTCATTGTTTTTATATCTGTCTGTAATATCATTCTGGTGTACAAATAAGACCCTTTATATATATTTTTCCAGTTTATTATTTGAAAAATCCTTATGTCAAGATAGCTTTTGATTGTCTCTGAACTTTACAGTCCAGTGTTTTTTTGTTGGTGGTTTCCGCCACCTACGGTATGAAGGAAAGGATTGAGGAAAAAAGGAAAGAAACGTTGGAAATGCGTAAAGGAAATTACTAAATAAGAGGAATAAGGGACTTATATAGGAAAGGAAAGGGGAAGACACTGCAGTTGCGAAAAGGACTGGGACACTGCAATGGCTCGGGAGACTGGGATCGTATACCCGTATACCCTTATTCTAGTATCCGAAAAATTTCTAGAGAAGGACACCCTTGACTTAAAATAATAATAATAATTTACATTAAATTATACTTACCGAATACTTCTTCATTTAATCATGTTTTAGAAAATTTCCAAAAGTCACTTGCGACTGTCGATAAATATACACATACTTGAAACATAAGTCATGGCCTATTGGATTGAATAATAAGTATACAGTCAACTTATAGAATATGAACTTAATAATATTTTTTTTTTTATTTCTTAAGTAGAAGACGATTTCTTTAAGTGTAGAGTTTCTATACATTATTAGTTTTAATATTTTATATTAATTAAGGTATTTTTTTAATAATTAATCTGGATTAGGGCCGCAGAGAGAGAGGTTAAAGAGCGCTTTATTCGAAAGTAAGTAAAGATTACGGCTTTGTGCATGTTCCCCAGATAAAAACTACCTTTTATTCCTGAGAATACTATTTCAGGCATCCTCACAAACTGGTAGGAACCAATCTTGATTACCGACAGAACGATAGGGATGATTTTGGAGTAGGTCACCCCTAATATTTCGATTACCTCGTAAGCCAGTTAAAATATTCTGTCTCTCCATTTCAACTTCTGCTTTATTTATTTATTTTATGTATAGACTTTTGTACCTTCACTTATTATATAGATATTAGGTTATAACAAAAATGTACATAGGCGAACTTATCCCTTAAATGATTATTCGAGTCAACCTTGGGAAACTTTATTATTCCTATTATTTTATTTTTACAGTTGTGCGACTTTAATCTCGCCTTATGTGTAAATTTTATAGTGAATATATCGTAGGTGAAGCTCATGGGCCAATGAACAATCTAATTGTTATAATATATAGAAAGTAGACGGATAGAGCGAAATTTTAGTCATATGCATGAGGAATGATTATCCGCTTATCCTATATATATGAAGTATGATGGTAAAAGTCAGCACCAATGATCAATATGTAATTTTCCGAGAACTCAAAAACAGAGGGGCTTTTTTTTATAGGGTGATAATGAAATGGTAACCCCGTACGCGCTAACGGTATATGCTGGCGGGGCACCATAGGTGACGATGAAAGCAGGTTAGTCCTTCGTAACGAATTCTACTTGAATTAACCAAGATAGTTTTCAGGAGGAACTGCTTGGAGATCGACCTGATTGGGAATGAAGTGGGAAATCAGACCCCATTACTAACAATTCCTTTCCCCCTACAGAGGGACTTGTAGACTATTACCGTTGTAGTGAACCTAAAACTAGATGTGCTCACATTTTGCTGAGCCTATTAGAATCTAACGCGGTAGTGGACGATCTTACATGCCTCGTTCTGATTAATCATTATCATATCAACCGTTACTGTCCACTGCTGAACATAGGCTTGGCAGGCGGATTGGTAGCCGCAATTAGGCGTTGGTGATGTTTTTTTTATACCACTACCCACATGGTAAGCGATTACCGTAGGCTATGCACACCTGTAATACCAAGGGTATTACGCGCACATTGCCGACCCTGAAGAAAGCTTTTTACCCATTTTTAGAAGAACCACATGCTGTAGTCTCTTGGAAAACCTCGACAGGCTATAAGAGGGACGCTGCTGCCCATTCCCCGACCTTTAAGTATGTTTTAATTAATATCAGTCGGAGATTTTTTAGGTAGGTCCGATTCGAACTCACGACATGTAGGGTGCATAAATTGATGCCACTAGTCCACTGTGATGAAAAATTTATCATGATCATTTTAGTCGGGTATGTAGTAGCCTTCAGTGGGTGACGTAACCGATACTCATATCACAAACTCTCATAATTGTTTCAATAACGAATAAATGGAACGGAACTTTGATTTAAAATGATGTTATGTGAGTAATCGACAAAACATAATGTACAATTATTTTAAATCGTGATTTTAGAGGAACAAGAGCGTTAGTCGAGATAAAGTAGTTACGTTTGTTGTTACCTCATTACCTAAGTTCAAGCTCTGCACTGGTCTACTAGATCCTGAACCCAAAGTCTCATTAATAGCGTAGTAGCATCATACCAACTAACGGATGCAGATACGCGGCAGATACGCCCACTCATTGTATCCGTTTTGTTGTGCAACTGTGTGTTTCCTCGACTTGCCTAGTACAGATAAGGGCCCGTTGCGAAATTGCCAAATTTCGCCCTTGCCCGGATGCCATATTAAACTATTATTAGAGAATAGTTCCCTATATGATTAGATAGCACTGTTGCCAACGGGTTTGAACACCCACATAATTTTTTAAGATAGCAACATTAAGCATACGTTTCGCCTGATGGTAAATTTATACTCCATTACAGATCCAAAAAAGTAATAATGTATGTACATGTTATGGTATTGCTGGCCCTTGTGATAAGAATACACTGAGTCACAATATCCAGTAATTTCACTGCTATATCTCTCCATCTTCAAACTGTTGCAAAGTGCTGTAAAAATTTCGGCGATGACCTGATCTTTAGCAATATGTTAAGTACATTATATAGAATGTTACTTTAGGATTAAGACTGTTAAATTTTAAAGCTTGAGAACAACCAAATAAAAATAAAAACCACTGTAATGAAAAGGTACATAGCTGTTTTTTGACCAAAAATTATGATTTTCTGTATTCTTTATTAAACATGTTATATACTCGTATATGTAATAAGTACAGGTGTTCTTATATACGAGAACAATAAAATCACATACTTTTCACTTATATAAGCTCTCAATCAGTCATTTGTGTTAGATGATCAAAATTTTAATACGTAAGTACTTATTTTACACTTTAATTATGTTTTTAACACTAATCAATATAATTTAGAATATCAAGAAGATGTCTAGATGAACGAGGTGAATGTAACAAAAACTAAACTTCCACTGACAGCAGTGGCGGCGGCAGATACTTCAGAGGTGTCAGGCCCATTCAAATGTCATTGAAATGTAGAGCTTTGTGAAGCTTCCCGCCATTGAGTGGCGGTTTTCATGAATGACGATGGTGGGGGATGCGAGGATGGGTGCGCGCTGATTGCACTGCGTCTGGAGGCTGCGCGTTAGACGCAGTCCACTCGCTAGTGTTGCGTCTGCGCGTTCACGGCCCCGCTGGTGCTGTTGAGCGGGAAATTCGAATTCGGAACTTTATAGTTTTTATTTTTTCTTTTTTAAATCGATCTCGATTGTGGCTGACTGTTTTTTGGTGTATGTTCTGTGTTCTTTTATTATTTTTTGCTGCGGATAGAGTATTTGGCATGCAGTAGATATGGGGCTTTTTAGCTTAAGGTAAGTACTTAGTTCTAATTTTGAATCCCATTTTAAAAATAACTGAAATGCTAGAAATTTTAAACAAGTGTACATGTAATTGTTATATATGTGTTAATTTAATTAGATTTTGTAATAAAAAAGAAATTAATAACAAAATCGTCGAGGTTTTTTAAGTTGGTTTAAATTAAGGTTATTTATTCAAATAAATACACATAAAATAGTTCTGTTATTTCTGTTCAATTAACTTTTAATTAAAAAATCAACATAATATTGTAATATAAAAGTAAATAAACAAATAAAAAAATTTTAAAACTACTAAAACATGAAATGAAAATTTTTACATTTAAATATTTAGTTCTTTCTTAGTGGTATTTATATTGCTTAAAAACCCTCTACTTGTATTTAAATCCAAGGAACTCACGGCAACACCTTGGTATAGTGTTCCGAATAAAATCGTTATGGTATAGTTATATTTAAAAAAAATCTTTCATGCTTTATTGTATTTAAATATTAATGAACTTTTCATTTTATACTTTCTTATCAAAATGTGTTTTATTTTAATTATTATCTTGAAAGCTAAAAAAGCAATTATTTATAATGCTAATAAATTGCAGCTAATAATTGACTAGGCGCTGTATTGAAAAGTCGATCAACACACATAACTAGGTAAATTTATTTAAATTTAAAATATAATATTCAGCTTAAAAAATTCGTAAACCTTGTTTTATATGACACAAAATTAGATCAGGTATTAAGTACTAGATTTTTTAATTTATTTTTAGCTTATTTAGGTATTTCTTTAAGTATTTATCTAAATATGCATATGATATATATCAATGTTATCTATATTAAGTCAGCTTGAGCTTAGAATTTTAATTTTTATCAATCAGAAACTCGAGCCATAGTTTAATCAATATCTAAATGCACTAGATTAAGAATCGAACCCGAGACCTCTATACAAATGATACCATTGATAACGTCTGGTGAGAATTCTCTATTTTGTATCACCTTTAATTATTGAATTTTCCATGCTGATCCATTAGTTTTCTATTAAAATCTATACATAGGCGGGAGTTTGAGGGTTCTAATGCATACTAATTATATTGAAAATTATTAAAAAAAATCTTATCTACATTACAATTTAGATAATATATCATAATTCTCTCCATATTGCATGGGCTAATTCCATTTTTCGGATATTTTTGTTTCATTATTAACTTAGATCAAATTACATTTTTGCTGTAATTAGGCGCGTGCCAATGAACTCTACCAGATCCAGCTGACTGATCATACTGCAATATCATTAAATTACGAGCACACTTGCCACGTAACGATCAAAATTTCTCGCAAATTGATCTGTATGTCAAGATTCAAGCAGGGCCAAAGAACTTGGCTAAAGGGTGCGGGGAGAGGGGCGGTCGTAAACCCGCGCACGAACTGGTCTGGATCTTCTGACGAAAAAAAATAATAATAAAGAAGCAGGCGAGATTAAAACTAAGACTATTGTTCCTTTTAACCCGCATCCCGCCGATTCGAACGTAGAATTTCTCGGTTGCTTCATGCATAAATTCATTCCCTCTTTTGTGGCGTGCTCGTATAATTAAACGCTTAGAAGTTTTAGATAAGAACTGAAAAGTCTCTTATTACAATGACAATCCAAATTGAAAACTGATACTTCGGGATAAAGTATTATTTTCATTGTACACGCAATGTTTGTTTTCGAAGTTTTTGCAAACAGTAGCGTTAGGACGCTGCGCGCGCGATTTCTTTGAAATTTCGCTTTCAATTTGAGTTGGACTTGTTTGTTTTTTGTCGAACGTCCCGTTCGGTGACTTTCTTTGAAGGATTTTAACGTAATATAACGTGTCTCAATCCTTGAAAGATACTAATGTATTATACATATATATGTACTTGTATATTTTTTTCAAATGTTTTAAAGATAACGCAGTTAATGTTCTAAGATTTGTCAATATTTATATAGTGATAGACTGGCATCAGGAATGGTCTTCAGCCACCTTTTTTTGGTGTTTGCTATTGGGGAGATTAGCCAGTAGCTACCACGCTTGGCAGGCGGGTTGGCAAGAGTAGTTAGGCTTTAGTGACGTTTTAAAAGAAACGCTATTGCCAATCCCTCGACTTTTAAGTTCCCTTAGTCGTCTCTTACGATGCCTTTGGCTAAGGAAAGGTTGGCCCATTCTATTGCGGTACTATACGTCATGGTATGGGTCACTCCCTTCTTTCTATGGTGATTAGGTATTAGTAATACCAATACCGCACTGATGGGTTTCTCTGGATATTGATGACGAAAAAAATGTCTTCACTCATTTCGATCGATTTTTTCATTACAGTATTATATATTGTACTAGTTTTTGGTCACGGCTTCGTTCGCGTGTGATATTCAGTGATACTCCCCCCTCCGCCCCTAATTATTATAATAATTTCGGAATTTAATTTTTTTTCCTTTTTTTATTATTATTCCACTTTTAGTTAGATTAAAAAAAAAACCCACAACATGCAAAGATATAAGTTATACTTGGACTTTATTACCACAGACGCAATTAGATGCAACTTAATGCAGTGTAAGATATCTAAGGCTTATGCCCAGCAGTGGACAGTTAACGGCTGAAATAATAAGATATCTAATTAAATTAACTCAAAATTAAAAGATTTTAATACGTTTTAGTGTAGTAGTTAACTTAGTTCTGAAATCTATAATAGTTTTTAAAAGATGTTTGAAGTAGAGTTAGAAACGTAGACCTATTAGCCATTAATACAATTTTTTTTTTAATGGTTGATAATGGAATGGTAACCCCGCTCGCGCTACCGGAATACGCTGGCGGGGCACCAGTAAAGGATGACAGGTGAGGAAGAAGCAGGTCAGTTGGCCCATCGTGACGAATTCAACAAGAATTGTTCACGATGGTTTCCAGGGGGAACCACGTGGAGGTCGACCCAACAGGGCATATTGCTAGCAATGGGGCCATCAAACTCCATTGCTAATAATCTCTTTCGCCCCAATACAATACGTTTGGACCGTCCAGTACATACACGTAACACTAACAGCTTTATTTCGTAACAGTTAGTAAACAAAATCGTCAACCTAATGGACAGGTCATTCCCCTAAATGAAATCGTAACGGTCTCAAGCGAAATGGTCACATACAAATGCAGATTATTGCATGTGTTCCATTCCAGTCCATTGGTTCTCAAACTTTGTTGGAAACTAGATTTTTTTAATGGGTGAAAATGGTATGGTAACGGTAACTCCGCCTGCGCTAATGGGATACGCTGGCCAGTTAGCCCATCATGATAAATTCATCAGGAATTAACCATGATAGTTTCCAGGGGGAACCGCGAGGAGGTTGACCTGGTTGGGTATATTGCTAGCAATGGGATTCTCAGTCTCCATTACTAACAAACCCTTTCCTCCCTGGAGTCTGGACTTATTAAATAATTTACGTACCTTATTTCTTGTTGTAAACCTATTGGTTGAATAATTATAAAAATTAGATATAGTCAAAGCATGTTTGTTGTCCTTTTGAACCTTGGATCGATATCTGACGCCCACTTAAATATATAAATTGTTTTAATGCAATTCCGCAATATTGCATTATAAAAGATTATTTATTTTTTATTCTAAGTGGCACTACCTTGAAAGTGGTACCTGATAAATTGGACATGTGATTAAACGAGTAATTTTGCATAAATATATAATTAACTCAACCGTGACAAAACGCATGTGGGACCAACACGGAAGTAAACGCCATTGATTGAAAAATTGCCGAAGTTCCCATAAAAAAAAATTATTGGCGAATTATGAATGTGCTCCTTTTCAACTGACTTCAAAAAGAAGGAGGTTATCTATGTGTTTTTTTTTTAATTTGTGATTTCATAACTCAATCGAGTCAATTATTAATCGACTTGGAAAATTCTTTTTTTATCTGAAAGGCCATAAGATTACTTACGGGTTGGTTCTTTAGAAATTTTACCATAATTGATTCAGTGTTTATTTATTACTAGCTGTTGCCCGTCACTTCGTCCGCGTTTCCGTTGTTTTTCGTAAAATAAGTAGCCTATGTCCTTCCTCACGGTTCAGTGGTTTTAATGTAACAGAGACATTTCCCTTCACTGCTCTGCTCCTTTTGATCGTAGCGTGATGAAAACTATACTACCTATATACCTGCCCAGGAGTATGAAGAATTATTGTACCAAGTTTCGTTAAAATCCATCGAGTAGTTTTTGTTTCTATAACGAACATACAGACAGACAAAAATTTTACTGATTGCATTTTTGGCATCAGTATGGATCACTAATCACCCCCTGATAGTTATTTTGGAAATATATTTCATGTACAGAATTGACCTCTCTACAGATTTTTTATAAGTATAGATAGATTGTAAGGAATAAAAATGAATTTTTTTATTAATGTATAACTCTTAAATATTCCATAAAAACTTACGCATAAGCAAATATGTTAAATTGTAATTAGACAATATATAAGAAATATTTAACAATAAATTGTATGAGTAGTGTTTCAAAACAAATTTTTTTTTTTAGATAATTTGTTTGTTTGTCTATATGTTACTTTCAGGGTCACGCAGAATCTTCTATATCAAATTGAATGCGATTTTCACAGTTATGTTTCTGAAGATCAGAAGATCTACCATGGAATGTTTTCCGAAATTTCAGGGCCGAACAAAACACACATTAGATGTTAAAACTACATAATACATAATGTATAAAAATATTATAAATGCTAATATATCGTTCTTTTGGACTTTTATGGTAGAATTTATGATTAACGAAATGTTAATCTCAATTTACTGGGCTGATTTGAGTATGAACGAAAATACGAAATAGAATCCGAAAATTCGGAATTTCATTTTATGGTAGACTCCCAGATCTTGAAAATCTAGTGTATGTTTAATTTTGATATGCCATCTAATTCATTGATGTTTTTCTATTTACAAAGTTACGGCATAAAAAGGTCGCGAACAATAGCGTGTACCTAATAGAAAC